GCAGAAAATAGATAATATTATCTACCCCTCCCAGTTTTATTGAATACAAAAACGAATTTAAGGATTTAAGTGGCAAAACGAAATTTTCGCATTTCGTATTTCCGTCTTTTTTTATTTGTAAAAACATTTTGATAAATTAGAAAATGTTTTTTTATAAGTATAACAAATAAATTAAATAAATAATTTCGTTTGATGATTTTTGTTGTCATGTGACTGTGATGATTTTCGTGTGCGAGTTGGGTAAACAAAGTGCGCGGCAATGTGGCGGCGGATGCAAAAATACAAATAACAGGGTCTAACAAACAACCTTAATCAATATTAAGACAAATGAGAATCGCAATTCCAAGTAGATTATGTATGGGGGTCTGTGATGAATGAACGCTGACTTTGAATAAGTAACGAAAAGACAAAAGTATTTAGCAAAACGCCTAACTAGAAATTTTGGGCACTTCTGTTTGTTTTTATCTTTGGGATGAGGAAAATTTGGAGGAAGCTAAAGAGCATTTCTTAGCAGGCACTCTAGTGTTTCGTATATCATTTAGTTTTGATTGAATTCGACCGTTGCACAACTGCAGGTGCAACTGGTTGAGTTTTGGCTGGGACTTTTAAAGATTCCTCTCCCACTTTTCCCGCTGAGCTGCCAATCTTGTAGACATCATTTTTAAAGACGATCACCAAGACAGTGATGTTGTCCACGGAGCCCCGTTTATAGGACTCCATGGCTAAAGATTTGGCTCCGAAGTCAGATTCTTTTAGATGCTCCTGGACGAAAGTGCAGGCCTCCTCGTTGCTAAATGTGTCCCAAAGACCATCTGAGGCCAGTATCAGAAAGTGGGGTCTAAAAATAAATAAAATATTAATTTAAGCTCTATATAAAAATGGTTTAGTTGTTAATATTGTGTAATAGTTTTATTTAACGAAATAAATATAACATTTACAAATATTTTTAGAAGGTCTATTTCAAAACCCATGTAATAATCAACAAAATGACTAAACTTACTTGTGATCGTTTAGTTCGAAGGTCAAAATGTCCGGCGTAGCAATCACCAGATTCTGTAAGCGTGCGGTTAAAAATAAAATCAAGACTAGCCTGGCTAGTAACTGATTGGGGTCATCCCATTTCCTACCTTATCTTTCAGTGGGTAGTCGCCGAGAGCACGTGACGTTGCCAAAACGCCGGCTACGCGCCAAACGCCTCGAAAGGCAATGAAACCGCCTGCATCGTGGATCCTCTTTCGCTCCCGCACCTGCTGCGGCTTGTGATCGAAGGAAAGGGGGATGGCAATTCCGCGGGAATCATACATGACGCCCCGGGAATCACCCACATTGGCCACAATCAGCTTGGACCCCTGGACAATGGCTATCAGGGCGGTGGTGCCCGCAATGTTTGTCTGAAAGAATAATAATAAAGTTAATATTTGCAAAGTAATGTATTGATACTTCAAAGATATAAATCACCCACCGCTCTCTTGGCCTGTTCCACAAGTTTGTAGTCGGCCGACATGATCTCATCCGTGATCAGTTTTCCAAAGTTAATACGTCCATTTTCGATGTAGCACTTGGCTTCATAAATTGGGGGTGGCGAATGCCCTGCTCCACCATTCTGAGCATTGTTATTATTGTTAAGGAACGAATCCTTGGCGGCTCCAACATTTCCACTAGCTCTCATTGCCGAGTTCAACTGGGCTGTGTAAATATCGGCAATTGAGGCCTCAGTTGTCTTTTGTTTAATAGAGCTGCAGTCTGCCGTGGTGCTGTGGGCCTTTCTTAAACTATCCTTTCGTGCCACGGCTGCTGATGTGGGTTCCGTGTTCTCCTTGTTGGAGTCTTTGCGACTCTGCTTTCGAGCTAAATAGGGACTCTTATCGTAATCAATGGACACTCCTCCATCGGTTTTCAGCAGTTTGGACATTTCGATGATCTTGTTATAGATGTTCTTTACCAGCACATCCTTGGCAAAATCCGCGGCAAACTCACCGCCATGGCCGTCGAAAACAGCAAAGAAGGAGATGCCAGTGTTGTTGTTGATGTTCTCTTCGATGATAAATCTAGAAATTGTATTAATAATAATTAGTTTAATGGTTATGTTTATTATCTTTTTTAAAATTTAAACTGAGAAACCTCAGTCGCTGAGCAGCGTGTTTGCATGAGTCTTATTTCTATAAGCTAAGCAATTTTATCGTCGTTATAAAATTCGTCATATGGAAAAGATTAATTTTGCAAAAATGTATTGCTTTACTTTCAAAGAATGTTTTACGATTTTGTCAATTTTTTGATGTTGTCTGTCAATAGTCAATTTAAATTGAAACCCATTAATTCTCAAAAATTTTAATTATTTTCTGGGTGGGAACATTGTTTGAGGTCAAGAGAAATACATGTTTGAATGATTTGTTCAATTAATTACACAGAATCACATGGAATGGTTTCAAGAATATGTATGGAAGACTTTACAATAGTGCTTTAAATTTAGCAAGTATATCGGGGGCAAAGTACTTTTTACTGACCTATCCTCCATACGGGGTCTGCGGCCAAGGACAGCAAAAGCGGAGCTCTGCTGCTTCATCTCCTCCCAGCTCTGGTGATCCCCAGCACTGGCCGACATCTCCATCATCTTAACGGCCTTCTGGCGACCCAAGGTGGCCTGGATGCGTCCTAGGATGCTGCGACTCCACACATCTACCGCTTGCAAATAAAGCAACAAGACGAAGAGGATCAAGCCGCAGAAGATGACCTCCGGGCGCAGGACATACAGTCGGCACAGCTTCCATATGTAGGCCAACGGGGAGTTGATGGACGAGAAGCCCACCGCAAATTTGGACAGGATTTTCATGTGCGATACGTATGTCTGATAGAACACCTTATCTTCCAGTTCGTCGTCCATGGGAAATGCCGGCGATTCGTTATTCTCTGTTGGCGTTTGATTTCTGCTCTGCCAATGATTTTCAAGTTAAACGCATGCGAGACTGTCAGCCGTGAATGTGGGTGGGTGTCTACGTGTATATGCATGAAATAAAAAACAAAATTAAAATAAACAACAGAGGGGTTGGGCATTAAATATGCAAGACTTTCCCGTTTCAAATTTGATCAAACTAGGCGGAATCGGAAGTAATATAATTTCACTTTTTTCGATGTTTAAGTTTTATGGTTTCAAAGACCTCTCAAATAGATAATTTAAGCAATATTTTAAAACTCAAAAACTGCACCTACATATCGGTTGAAACTTAAAGCGAATAGATTTATTTAATTATTTGTAGTATTTAAAAGAGGATAATATCTACTGATATTTTTGTTAAATTTGTCGATACCAACTGAGGTGTTCAGGATTAGTGAACTGTTTTTAATGTTATATTTTAAAAATCAGAGGTCCTCATAATTTTTGTATATATTTATTAAAACCTTTTAAGCATAGAATACGAATTAGTATTTGCCTTTTAAATGTTGGTTTTCAACTTAAGTTATTTCTTAATATTTTACTTATTTTGTGTTTAGTCGTTTTTGGTGTATTTCTCTAAATTCCGATTCGGCCTAAATGCAACTCAAATGTTACAGATTGCTCGCAAAATGAAAATCCCAGTCCATTTGGGGGAAAACGTACTCTGGGGGAAAACACTTGACGCTTAAACGTCAGATGTCGTATTATTTTTATTTTTCCTTTTTGTGTTTTTAATTTATTATTTTTCCCTGCGGTCGATGTTCCCGTTCTTTGATTGTCGTTCGCCGTTCGTTCCCTTTTCGTTTTTGCCGAGTCCCTTATTCTGCGGTTTTACAGACGCTCTTTGTTGGTTGGCATTATATTTTCGGATATTCGGATATTCTTATTTTAAAAATAAACTCGGTTTCTTGCATAAAATTAAATCAGAACATCCGCACTGCGTACGCGTATGTGTGTGTGGTGCTCTATATAGGTATGTACGTCGCACATCTGTCACTCGCGTATGTGTGAGTGTGCCTGCATAGATGTCGCAATAAATTAATAAATAAAAAGATAATTCCCACGCACTGCAACTTGAATAAGGATCACAACAATGTCGGTTTAACCAGCGACGCGGGCGCTTTTAATTAAAATAGAACCCGAAACCTGCACTTGTTGAGATTTCAGCTGAAATTGATGACATACGTTTCGGCTGCGAAATATCGATATGTGGACAGGACGATATCTTTTATCGATAGTCAGTAGGGATACTCGTTGCGCGAAAAGCTTACAAATTACAAGCTAAAACAAGGTACAACTCAAAATTTTATGATTTCAAAAGCATTTTCTAGACTTTCCACATAACCTTGACCTTTAATTGCGAAGTGGGCTTCTCTGCAACTGTACCGACTGCATTATTAGTATTTCAAATATCATTAATTACCTGCCGAACTCCGCAACGATCTTCTGTAAGGACGATCCATTCGAGTCTACTTCCGGTTTTATAATAAAAACACCTTTTGGCCACAATAAAAATATGACAAATAAATTGGGCAAAAATTAAAAACAAAAACAAGCAACAGCACGCGACGCGCAGAATAACTAAAACAAAACGGAATAGAATACAATAAATTGGTAATGTTTGGGGCAGCATAAAGTACCAATACACACCAAAATGTACATACAGTAAAACGTCAATAACATAAACTACTTTTATCATTTCAATTAAATATAAATAAAAAGTATATATAAAAGTATTTTGTTTTTATACAAAAATAGTGCTAACTTACAATTATTAAAAGGTTTTTAGAAGAAAGTTTGGACTTGTAGCATATTATTGACGCATTTTAAATGATATTATTCACTTGACTTTAAATAAAACATAATAAAATAATATATTCATATATTCATATAGCTACAGAAAAAAAGGAATTTTTTTACCGCCATCCTTATAAAAAAACCGTTAAATAAATTTGTAGATTGAACTTAGGAAAGTTCGACTGTGCTACCAAAATACTCTCACCTGTCGCTCTCTATTAGAGCATCCATCTCGTTCTTCTCTCTTTCGAGCAAAAACAAGTACAAGACATTTCCACATTTAAGTAGTTTTATTTAATTACATTAATTGCATTACAAAATGTTATAGGATAGTGTAAGAAAAACTTAGCTCAGTGTGTACACATTAAAAGTGAAGGCTTCGGTTTTTTTTCGCTCAATTTGTAAAATTAACATTGCAGTGTTGGTTTTCGCTTAAAGTACAAAACGTAACGGTAACTTAACAGTGGTTGCATAATAACTGTTGCCATCCTAGTTGTTATCGTAGTTGTTAACTTGATTCTCGTAATTCGCAGTTTGCTTATTTGTTCATGAATATGGCAATTAAAATGGCCGCGCAGAGGACTCTGAAAATAATTGTAAAAAATGATACCATTTTATTTTGTTTTTTATTTAATAAAATATAATTAATTGTATTGTCCTGGAATTATTTATTACCACTGTAAACTTTACCACTGCTATTTTTACCACTGTTGTTATCTAAATTTTAAAAGAAATTTTTTTGAAAAATATTGTAAGAACGAGATAAGTGTCAGTCAAAACAATTAATAAGGTAAAAGTTTTTAAAAAATTTGTCGCAATGAGTTTATTAATAAAGTTTTTATATTAATTCCTTTAATTTCAAAAATACGAAGTTGTAGAGGCCTGCATTTTGTTATACTCTAGTTAGACCATTAACTAATTGATAAGTTTGTTAATTAATTATATTAAGGGAAAACGAAATATCAAAACAAGATAAAGAAAAAAGTGTAGTCTAAATATAAGAGATTTATAAAAACTTGGCATGCTTACTTTTCCGAATCTACGTATAACACTGCCTATAGTGCGACCCCCGTTCCTTGATGTGGATCAGGTACTCGTTGAGTTCCTTGTTCAAGGGTCCAATTGCATCTCGCAGCTGTTTTAGCTGCTGGTTCTTGTTATGATAAACGGTCTGCAGATCGTTAAGATCCTTCAGTTTGGCATTGGTGTCGACGGTCAGTTTGGAGGCCCTCTGGAGAAGCTGCTTGGCCCTTTCCCTGGCGTTCTCGGAGCGACTAGCTCGATCGGTGAGGGTTCGATTGGTGGCACTAGTGGCCGATTGCAAATTGTTTGCCTCTCCGCGAGCCCTCATGGCCTCCAGTTTGACGCGACCCGCCTCCTTTGTAATCTCCTTGGCATCCCGATCGTTCTTAACGATATTATTCTGCAGGCGCTGTACTTTTTTGGCCAATTCCTCAACCTGCTGGGCTGTTTTATTGGCTGGTGCTTCGGCAGAATCCGTTTCCTCATCGATCTTCTCAAGATCCTGGGTGGCAAGCTCAATATTGCTGTTGGCCTGCTGAATGGCATCCTGGGCTTTTTCCTGGGACACATTTGCCGCCTCCAGGCTCTCCACCACAGAGTTTGCCGAGTCCAGTATTTTATTGGCCTTCTCCTTTGTGGCATTGGCCGTATTCTGAAGATTATTGACCCTGTCCAAATCGGATCGGGTACTGTAGATAATGGATTCCACATTCTTCAGAGATGAGACGGCATCATTGATCTGGACTCCCAGGGACTCAATCTCTTTGGGTTCCAGTTTCAGGTCCAAGTCCAGAGTAGCCTGGGCCAATTGCTTGCTCTCTGCTGGTGAAGCTGTCTTGTTCTCATGGAAATTATTGACGGCTATGAATAAGTTTTCAGCCAGCTTGATGCTTTCATTAGTTTGATTCAGATAACGCTCGGATTGTTCGAAGCCCCGCTTGGCTTTGTCATAGGCCTCGGAGGCATTCAATTTGGCCTGGGTTAGAGCCCTTATGGTTTGATCCGCCTGATCCTTTTTGAGTGTAATGGCCGCCTCGGCATCCTTGGCCACTTTCAGAGCTTCCTCCGAATGGGTTTTGGCGCCATGTTCGCAGGACAGATATCCTCCACATTGGCCGCATCCAGCACCTCCGCACAAGCTATCGCAGGGATCGCCTGGCTTGCCGCAAACCTGGTTGTTCAGTTCGGGAATTTGGGAGGTCAAGAAGGTCAACTCCACGCGATAATCGGCAATGGATTTTTCATTTTTAGCCAAACCCTCCGCCTCAGCTTGGATTTTGTTGGAGAGGGTTTCGACTCTCTTGCAATTTCTGTCTGTATTGGAGGCCAGTTCATTGGCTTCGTCTTTGAGGGTCGATAAATTGCTAACCCTTTCATAGGCGTGTCGTGTGAGGTTCAAAGCTCCTTCAATATTCGATTCCTGCAGCTGTATGCCGTTTTCCTTGAGTTCCTTGGACAGTTGTTGCACTAATCTGGAGTGGTTTTGCAGACCCTCTAGTTCCACACCCGATAAACTTAGGGAGTTGTATATATCATCTAGATTTCTTTCGGTTTCGCTTAATTTGCCATGGGATGCCTGTAGTTGCTGCTTGAGGTTATTGGTTTCCGTATCCAGTTCCTCTATGTCCACCAGACTAACTGACGTGTTCTGCAGCAGATTTCTGATGTGTTGTAATTTCTTATCCAGTTCACTGAACTCGGACGTGTATGCTCCTGTGGCACCAACTTGCTTGATTTCCTTGGCTCGTCGAATGGTGGCCGTCGTTGAATCCTCCAGGGCACTCAAGATCAAATCCCAGTTGTTAAAGCATTCACCGCAAGGTGAGCAATGAGGGAATTGGCCAATATAGCCCCTGGCGCACTCGTTACACTTATAGCCACCGATTCCTTCGTGGCAAACACAATGGCCTGTCTCCCTATCACACTGGTAATCGGCAGATCCGTATTGATCGCACTCGCAGGGCTGGCACTTCTCGTTCGGATTGCCCCAGAAATGAGCCTGACACTGATTACAAGCCCGGCCGCCAAATCCTGGCTTGCACTGACATTGACCGTCATAGGAATTGCACTGTTCATGAAGAGCTCCAATGGGATCGCAGTTGCAGGCCTCACATCCCTCGCCACTGGCAATCTTCCAGTGATTCTCGGCACACCGATCGCATCGTATACCCTGGACATTCGGCAAACAAGGACACTGACCCGTGTAACGATCGCAGTGGGCTATCGTGGCATTCGTTCCGAGGAAATCACAGTCACACTGCTGACAATTCTGTTTCAGTGCATCCCCGAAGAATCCATCCTGACAGAGCTCACAGTGATCTCCAGTCGTGTCATACAAGCACTTCAGGCAAGCTCCCGTCTGGCGATCGCAGTTTCCGGTGTCATAGAGATCGATATTGTTGCTACACTCACACTTGGAGCAGGTGCCACCGTTGTCCGGTATTCCAAAGAAGTTATCCGCACAGATCTCGCAGCGGGAGCCGGAGTATCCTTCCTGGCAGTGGCACAGCATGTTGTTGTTGGTCGTGTCCAAAAAGCATCCATCCGCATGGGCCATTCCACTGGCCAAAGTCTCCGGACAGCGGCACGGTCGGCATCCAATCTCGCTTCCAAATAGAGGGTTTCCGTAGTATCCGTCTAGACAGCTGTCGCAGCTGAAGCCCGTAGTCGAGTCCTGGCGGTGAAAAAAACAAAAGCTTAAATTAGCTTATCCATATTATTGTTAAAATCACAATGCCTTAATTGAACATATGTAACAAAAATGATAAGTTTAACCGATAACATAAACACCAAAATACATAATATTTATATTATACACAATATATACAATGTTTTGTTTTTGACTTGCTCACCTGACAATCCAGACAGGTTCCGTGGGTGGGATCACACAGCGCCGCATGGCCATTGCACTGGCACGCTTCGCAATTGGGGAAGTTCCAATATCCCGGCTGGCACTGATTACACTCCCTGCCGTAAGTACTCGGCACACACTGGCACTGACCGGTGATCAGATCGCAGTTGTTATCCTTCGATCCGGTGCTGTCACAGTCGCAGGCCTTGCATCCCTCCGGACCGAATCCATAGGTGCCCGGGGCACACTCATCGCACTGCCTTCCCACCACGTTGGGCTTACATTGGCAGTATCCACCATTGGACTCGCACACCTTGCTTATCGATCCCGTGGGATTGCAGTTACACTTTCTGGCTCCTTCGTGGATAACGATGCTTAAAATGTTTTCCAACTCCTTACATCTCGGATCGGTCTGATAATTGATGTAGTATAATGAGGCATTGCAATTGAGAGCTATATATTCCTTCATCCGAATATCGGCAGGTTCGGAGCCTGTAAAGATGGGGGTTACATCGATGCGGGGAATGAGTATCAGAGAATCCACCAAGATTGTCGCTGTGGGACTGTCTGCATCGTGTCTTTTCCGCTCAAAATAAATTCGGAACTTATAAACCTTTTCTGCCTCCAAGCAAACATTATTCAACGCCAACACCTGACGTTGACGATCGGGCAACGAGAATGGTATCCTGCTCTCAGAAGCAGTGGCAGCAGCGAATTCTCCACATTCGCCATTGGGATCCACTTGATCCGGTCTTACTAAAGTGATATAGGCATCCTCCCAATCGCCACGAGAAGTGCTCTGATAACGTATAACCACATCGTAAGGCATTGATTTTTCAGTCTTGACGGGAAAGACCAGTTCCCCATTCTCAGGCACCCTCTTAAAACCAGAGCCCGTGAAACTAGGATCCGGAGTTTCAACTACCACGCTGCAGTTTCCATTAGGTCCATAGGATATACATTCATCTACCACCTCCGCTTCATAAACATCCGTTAGCAGTGGAATGAAGTAATTCTGTTTCGGCTGAGAACAGGATCTTCCTGTCATGTGAGGCCTGCACCGACATTGACCACTTATCACATCGCAGTAATTATCGTAGGATCCTCCAGCATCGCAGTTACATAGGGCGCAACCCTCTGGTAATTCCGAAAGTCCATAGGTCTCTGGCATACATTGATTACAGTCCTTGCCCGTAACATATTGCTTACACTTGCACTCTCCTGTGCGCATTACGCATCCCGAATTGTTCAAGGTGCCGAGAATATTGCAGGTACAAGACTCGCAGCCATCGGGATTGTCCGTCTGTAGATTCCAGTAACCATCTTTGCATTCATTACAACGACGTCCCTTGACGAAAGTTTTGCAATGGCAGGCGCCTGCTACCGCTCCCTTCTCCTCATCGTTTACTGAATCACAGATACCTTCATCCAAGGAACCTTGAGGATCACAATCACAGGGCTGGCAAATGTTTTGTGAATGTATTTCCTGTTCGGGATCGCGGAAGAAGAACGGCTTACACTCCTCGCAATGTTGTCCCATGGTATTGTGCAAGCAATTGTCGCACACTCCGCCTGAAACTAATCCGGAGGCCGCGAATACAGCCTCTTCGAAGTGACAGCTAAAGGCATGGCCATTACATTCGCACTTCTTGCAGGCATTTGTTTGCTTTCCAAATGCCGGTTTCCAAGCCCGATCGTTGTACAAATCCTTGCACTCTTCACAGTTCAATCCCTTCGTGTTGTGCGTACACTCACATCGGCCATGAACCATACCTTCTTCATTGTCCACCGGTGTAAACGCAGGATCCAATGGTAGGCACTGCGAGGCGTGGCCGTAACAGGAACAGGATCCTCGAACCACCATATTGGAGATGCCATAATAGTACTTCTCCTCGTTTTCCACCCTGCTATCCAAGAGATTGTCACCCAGTTTGTGCAGTTTGGTCATCTGAATTCGGAGATTTGTTATCTTCAGTTGATTCTGCACATGCTCCGCATAGGGATCCGTAACATTAATGTTGGGTGGCAGCACCCTAAAGATCACTTCACCGTTCTTCGACGGCTCCACATTGGAGTATCTCGAAGTGCACATAACATCGGTGATGTTTTCCAACACAGTGGGCACTCCAGGGAAGGATTCTTTGCAGTCGTAAGCGAAATGCCTATAAACGTGCCACGTGGTTCCGAAATCAAAGGATCTCTCGATGTACATGGCCGCTGGTCGGAAAGTGGTAAAGGTAATGATCAAATGGGTGAAGTGGAACTCCGCCTCCAGATCCAATTGAATGGTGGCATTTTCCTTGCCATTCTCCGACTGCCACCAGGTGGGTAGATTGGTTCCAGGCTTAGTTTTATATATGATCTGCCCGATGCGATGATTCTTGTAGGGATCATGCTTGGTCTCCTCCCGCGTGTCGCAGAGGAAACACTTTTTATCCTGCAAATGGGACAGGATGCAGAATCTCTCCGGCGAATGCAGACCACAAGTGGAACTGGCAGTTAGTCGATTTTCTCTTCCAATCAGGAGATTACCCGTTGCCGGATAGCATGAGGATCTCTCACAAGGATGCGTCTTGACAAATTTGTTTAGTGGATGTTTGGACTTCTCCGGTCTGCCTTGCTGAGGCTGTCTTTGGGAATCCACTGTGCCCAACTGGCTGCTGAGCAGACCGAGCGCAATGACCACGATAAGCCGCAGTTCCAACATCTCGATCTCGCTCTCTGTTGTTGGGGTCGCGTTCCACTGGGGCACTTCCGGCCGGGACTTTAATCAGTTGCTTTTCTTTTCGTTCGTTTTGTGGGGACTTCTTATACTAAGACACGTGATCCTGGGTAGTAAGATCTACAAAAAATGAATGTAAGGTATTAATAATGTGGTTCATTTAATGCGTTTTTCATTAATATTCATAAAAAATTTGGTGAAACTTCTAACGTTCCAATTTGTGTTTGAAAAATGTACATACACATTTGTATTTCCTTATCAGTATTTAAAAGTCACTTTTGATTGGTGTTTATGACACCATTCAATATTTTTAGCATTAGCATCAACATTATCGTACATATAATTTAAACTAAAAATGTAATATTTTATTCTGCACAATTTAATATTGGAAGCTTTTAAAAACAAAATATTTTATTTCACCATTTTTCTTTAGAATATAAAATAAAAACGGCACATTCGGCACTTACTTCACCACTGCTTCTCTTCTTCCTTTTTAAAATTGTTATTCATTCATGCTGTTATTTTTTAACAAAACCCATAGCTGTAAGAATAAACAAAGGATTTCTTTATTAGTAAATTCTTTTGGATTTGATTTTTAGTCACTAAAAAAACTCTTCGTTTCTGCCCTCACTGTGAACTGCTTATCAACAGAGAGATGCTCTAGTTTTCTACACAACAAAAACAGAAAACACAGATTTATTTTCGTCTCGCACCATTCAAAAAAGGCATCCGCGCCCAATGGATCCTACGCACAAACTGAGACGCAGACTGAGTTGAAACTGAATGGATCCAATTCCTATTATCAGTCGAAGTGCGATAGTGGTAAAGCTTAATCCGTTGTTGCCTGGTGCGTTGAATTGTTCTTTTATCAGTGTTCAGTTATAGTTGAAGAGACTCTCATACAATTCATCACGAATTGGGACTTGCAAGTAATTTGCTTTTAATGAGAGAACCAAAAAATCGAAACACTAACAATTCACGTAAAATTAGTGAGTCCTTTATAACCGAATAGGATTTAAGCAAGCAAATTTAATATTATTTTAAACGAATTTAACGTTTTAGTTTTTTAGATTCTGTGATTGTTCATTAAAGTTTAAAATAAATATCTTCAAATTGCCACTACAAATTATTAAAATTATTACCTGGCATAAAGAAAACAAAGCCACATAAACCCGATATTTTCGTTAATGAGTTTTTGGTTTTCGTTTCAAAGATTTAAAATCATATTTATATGAAACATGTAAATAGAGACAAATTCATGTATCAATAGTATTAAACACGAAGTTGAATTGTAGTATATAAAATCATTATTATTTCGGAAATAAAAAATTAAGAGTATTGAAAAGTCAGTTTTTCAATTCAAAGTATTAAATAATGTTTTTTTTTGATGACCTTTAAGTTCTTATCTGAGCATCCCGGAGGAGCCACCAGAATCGAAAACTGTGCTACGAGATAAGCATGCAAGCGCCGCCGGCCAATCCAAACTCAATTTCGAGACCCAAACATGGAGCCGCTAAAAATACATATGTATTTCATAATTTTGAACTGTCCCGATAAGAGTTCATTCACAGATACTTTCTATGGGAACATTGTAGAGTAGAAAACTCGTCTTCACTCTAGACTTAATTACTTTGAGTGTGTTTAAATTTTTTTGTTTGCTTTTTGTGGGTTGGTTAATTTCGATTTCGTTCGTTTTGCCGCCGAGGAAACTGGCAAATAAACAAATAAGCAAAGAACAACACGTAAATTTACCAGGCATACAAAGCTCATATAGTATATAAATTTGTATATGTGGGTAAATAATGGAGCAGCAGTGGAGCGCTCCATGATTCTCGACTTCGTTGGGTGTGTATCTAAGTGTATGGGTCGGTTTTTATTTTCCATATTCTTTGTATGTCTATGGCCAGTTCATAAAAAATTTGCTCATACAATTGCTGGCTCATGTTTTCTTAGTTTCGCCGGGAGATGATGTTTATATTTCCAATTTCATCAAGACGCCCTGACTTCTACTGAGTTGACCACACAAATACAATTTGGATTGCATACAGTGTTCAGTCTAAAAACTTATTTTTTTAATGGAATTTTCTGAAATTCAAAACGCGGTTTAAATACATTGTAAGTACAATAAAGACCTAATAAAAATACATCTTTCAGATCATATTTACTCATATTTCAGTACATTTGCAACATTTATTTAATTCGAAACCCTGTTAACCCTTTACAATAAACAAGTCTCCTTTTTAATTAAAATTATTTAAAAACACTAAATCTCATATATGTTTCAGTTTATACATACAATATTTTTCTCAGATAATTTCTAAAATCTTACCAAAGTTAAAATTTTCTTTGCGACTGACCACTGTATGTTTATACTGTAGACATATGCACCATCCCAACGACAACCCCAGCCCCGAATTTCAATTCACAGTCTGGAGCACACATGTTGTGGAAGTCTAACGTCTAAATATGAGATCAGCCTGCGATAGTCCGGCTATAATTAGACCACACCGACTAAATCCTTTCTACCCACAGCCCGCAATCCAATCTAGATAAATTAATTCGTCGGCTGCACATCTGCTTCAAGGCGACAGGCCCGGCTCACATTTTAATTAGCCAGTCCCATTGTCGCTGATATAAAGAAAATCGGCTTGGCAATGCACTTTTTAAGTCCACATGTAGTCGTTGCCTTATGGCATCATGTTTCTATATGTTCGGGTATGTATGCTTAATCTACAAAAATGCTCTAGCCAAGTAATTGTACTATGTATGTACATTTATAGTTTTTTTTGGAAAGATAAGAAAATAGATCTGCCATAGGATGAGCTGTACGACAAAAAAAAATGATGAACAAATGTTCTATATTCTGCGTTAATACAATTAAAAAATGTTCAAAGAGTATTTTAAATTAACTGGAAACTGACAGTATTTTGAAATAGGGGGAATATATATACTGCTGGAGCTATTACAAGAATTAAATATCACGACTATATGGCAGCTATATATTATAGTCCGATTTTTTTATACCTTAACCGTAATTCTAAAATTTAAAAACAATGTAAATTATTTATTCCGATCGTTCTTATGGATCTGATGAGCCCGTTTCGACTTATATATATAAAGTATACTATCTGAAATAGAACGACGATTTTTAGGATAGTTTCATCTAGATACATATATATCTTTAAAACTGCGAGACTAGTTTGCGTAGAAACGGACAGACAAATATGGCCATGATCAAGAATATATAAACTTTATAGGGTCCTTTACTTCAAGGGTATAAAAATAACGAAATAAAAAGAAGGTTAGAAATTCCTTTTATAAGGATTGTTAGTTGGAAAATCATTTCTTGCTTAGATATAATAATCTTCGGGAGAGAGTGAAGAAAGCGTTTTGAAGTTGAGGACTTACAAGCATTGTGTCTGCTATACCCTTTCCGACTTTTTGGTAGTTATCTCGAGTTTTGTGCACACATAAACTGAGTGACGATAAATAAAAGGCGGCAGTATGCCACAACAACAAAAACAACGGCAGCGGATGCGAAGGAGAAGAAATAGAAGTACGCGAGTAACAACAAAAACAGGCCACAAGATAAACCTCAAGAGAGAGAAAGGGAGAAGATAGGTGAGTAGCGAGCGAGACAGGGACACTGCAGCTGTTGAAAACTGCGTTAAAACTCCGCGTGGATCCAAAACTATATAACTGTTAATCTGTTCTTTAAGGTTTTTTTTTAACTTACCAGATTTTTTTCAGCTACAGAATAAGACTCTGTAATTATTCCCAGAGGGGAAGTTTCAAAAGATAAATTTTCTGTTATACAGACAAAACAACAAACACACGTCTTGGGTGTTTTTATTTTTGTTGATGCGGCAAACACTTTTTGACTTCTTTTTATAAACTCCACTTCACACAGGCACTCATACACACGCGCACACACGCACTCGGCAAAGAAGATATTTTCCAAGCAGTTGGAAAGAAAATTCCAAGAGTTGGGGCGGGATGAGATCCAACTCTCGATCCGGTGCCGACTCCGAAAAACGTCCGATCGCGAGAGCTCCACACGAGAGAATGAGTATTGTATCGCAGCGGAGGATGAAAACAAACCTACTCGTACTCGATACCCCGCAATCTCAGCAACAAGTGATCGCGAAGAGAGCGAGAGCGCTATGGTTTTTGAAAATGCAATCAATGTATACCTACATAAATATTAACATTAAAATGCACTTAACAGAGTTACATCTGTTAGGACTAACTAACAGAGATATTACATTAGAAATGTATTTTTCAAATATGTAATGTGAAATTGGCCTAATAGTCGTCAAACTTTTGAATGTTGTCTACGAAATGAAGACTTTGAGTAGTCAAATTGATTTTTAAAGGCGGATCTTATAAACTATAGATTTACAATTTTCTAATAAACAATAATCTGTATTTTAGTCTGCTTTTGTTAAGTACCATGGGATAATTGTTCAAAACGTATCAAAACTTTTAAAGAATGTATTTTAGCTATTCTGCAAACAAGTTGCTGCCTGGTGAAGTGCTAACCACCCAAGCATCCACTTTCCTTCCTACTACGCCTCTGGTTAAATTAAAATTGCTCCCCCCAAGACTTTAGGGTTGCACGAAAAAACTATAGGCTAAATATCGCATAGAGATGGCAAGGAAAAACCTTATCGACCATTTAATGCTTTATTGATTTTTAGATCCGATTTAATCTCGATCCGGTGCATGCTCTAAAAAACGTACCGACGAAAGAGATTCATTTAGGTGAATAAGTACTAAATAACGGACATCAGCTCCAATCAAATTAGAACTGGGGATTTAGGTTTGAGTCTGCGCTAAAGTGTAAAAGAGACCAATCAGAAATTGGAATATTCAAGATGTTTTTAGAAATAAAGCTGTATTTTTTTTTTGTTCTTAAGGATTGTGTTTAAGAGATAGGAAAACTTTCTAGATTATATCTCTGAAGCTTAAATCTGTAACGGCAACAATCCAAAATATGACCGTCCTTCCCATAGGACAAAATCCATGCCGTAAAGACAATTCGAATAAACTATCGATATTTTTTGTATATTTTGCCAGCTCTCAAAAGAAGGGGGTGCATATCGCGCTCATAACGCTCCCGAATTCCAACAGCTCCAGTCGTTCCAACTGAGCTCCACTTAAAGTACACAAAAATACATAAATCGCCGGGAAGAGTATAAAAAACTTTGACAGTTTGTTTTAAAAAATTAGTGCAATAATGATCTTTTGGAATTATTTCGGATGAAAGCTTTTCCTCGGATACGGATGCTTTTTTTTGGTTTTTCGTTACGATATTTGAATTAAAAAAAGTGCAAAAGCTCTCGTTGAGAATGTTGTTAACTTAAAAATACAAAGGCAGACAGATACGAAATTCGATGTGAAATATTCGTTAACAAAATTTTCAAAAACAGAAAAATTATCCGCTACAAAAGTGTAAACTCAAAATTGTATAGTGTTATGCAGAGTGTAGTGTGGGTGTTGGTGTTCTTAGCTGGTGCTGCTGTTGCTGCTTCTCTTTTAATTTCTCCCGACTCGTGAATATCCATACACAACAGATCCAATAATAATAATTTAGGTGAGTCTTCCTCTTTTTGTATCCCCCATGAATTCCCCCATTGAATACTTTCTTCGGCCACGTACCAACAAAAACTGTGTAAATGTAACGACTCTCCCGCTCTCTCTTCCTCTTTCCACCTTTTACCGTAGTGCCACGAAAATAGTCCAGAAATTTTTACCCAAAAACTTGATTACGCAGTACACAGTACATATTGCAGTGTTATATTTTGATTTCCATGAGTTTTTAGTAGCAAAATGCGTTGGTTGCTTTTATTTATACCCAAACACACTCACAAAAATACCAAGAGAGTGTTAGAGAGGAACGCACATACAAAAGCCGCCAAAGCACAAGTGTGTGAGAGCGAGAAAGAGCAGCTTTTAAAGAGAGTCAGGGCATGCGCGTGAACAAGTGGGTGGAGTGGGAAAGGGGAGAGGTGCAGGTGAATGCTGTTGCCGTTGTAATCTCCATGTGTGTGTTCTGTTTTTGTTGTGGTATGCGAGCGCGGCAAAATCTCTAAACGCAGCTCTTCCAATTTCCAACTAACTAACTTGGCAAAAAAGAAACAACTATTGACGTTGCCTTTTTATTTATAAACCACCTTTTGTTGTCATTCTCGGTGACGTCATTTGAAAAACTTGTTTGTTTGCCCATTGTTTTTTTTATTTTTTAATGACCAACGAGAGCCTAGCCCATATCTCTAGGTCTCAATTTCCAACTAGAAGAGAAGGTGGCTATCTATCGCATTTTATGTTTACTTTTTTATATACAGCTCGGAAGCAGATAAACCCGAAAATGTGTTTGTACATACATACGATTGTAGATAAGCGTGTGTTTGATATGTTTTCGTTGTCGTCACGTGGGAGTTGTAGTGACTGGAGTTTTTGTCAACTCCAAAAGTCATGAATGGGTGGAGAAATAAATCCTGCTATATTTAGCAATGATCTTTGATTTAAATTAGGATTGAAGTGGTGTGTGTGAGAAAGAAACATAATGGTAGAGACATCACAATCAATTCACAGTTCAATTTTATAATTTCTTGGCGATCGACACTCGTGGGCGCAGCTTTTTATAAATTTGACAACTTTCTGAACAGCAAATAAATTATAATGCTAGAATCCCCCTCTATGGCTTAAAGCAATTCCATGTTGTTAAGAAAAAGTAACACGTGACACCCTTTTCCATTAAAATGGAACGATGTTATTGAATTTTTATTTAGTTTGGATTAAAAAAGGATGAAAAGTATATCGAATTTATAAAAGGCCCCATAACAAATTAAAATGCTCTACTTAAAGTCCTTGAGATACACATTTTTCGATAACAATTTACACGAACGAAATTACGCCCACAGACCCCAAGAATACTATTCCGCTTTGCTTCACCTTTTTTGATGGCCCGACTTGCCCTATATCCTGATATCTTCAGCTATTTTCGTTTCCGTTCGCCGAGGTCCGCCCAATGTCATGCGATATACCTTACACCTTACACATTCACCTCGTACGCCTTTGGCGCCCCGATTGGAATCTAAGTTTGGATCTGGCCTGGGCAAAACTATTTAGTAGACATGCAAATGTGCCATAAAAAGCGCTCGTCGTCGTCTTGACTTTTAAACTTTAAAGTCAGGAAGAGGAAATGCATAAGGCACAGCAAGGGGGATTTAGGGGGATAAAGGGACTAACTGTAGTCCCAGCTCAAGTCCGAAATTCTGCAAAGGCACGCCAACCGTTGCTTAGTTGTACATGGTAACGGTTACAAATTTGCATAAAATCGAATACTTACATGAGTTCCTAAGGTGTGCGAGTGTGAGAACGTGTGTACGTACCACTTTTGATGATAGGTCAACATCGTAAACCCTCCGAGGGTCCCATACCAATAAAATACTATTTATGTTATGGGGGATTTGAGGAAATGCCCGGGAGGGGATTAAGGGATTTTCATAATATATTAACTAACAGTTATTTCAAATACGGCCTTTATTATATACCTAATTTAATGTTAGAAGCCTTAGAAACTCTTTTCGTTATTAACTTTCAGATTTATTAGGCTAATCTAATATTTACTCATTATTATTGATTTAAATATTTGCACATTTTCGAAATATAAAATTTTTTACCAAAAACCAAATCCTGAAACGCACTTTCAGTGCATTAAATTTGATGGAAATTATGCCATGTACACCCCTTTGTTATCCATGGATTTCCACAGAGACGTGACTATCTTAGAATTTTCTACAACTCCCCATAAGAGTGTTCTCCATTCGAGTTGCCTTCTGGGCTCAGCCTTTGCCTTTTCCATTGTTTATTGGACTGCGGATGCCAGCCCAACTGACGACTTGATAGAATGAGTGCCTGACTGATGGCTATATGCATATTGATATGAAAGCCATCACCTACATTTGGATACGGCAGGAAAAGTGGAGCAAATAAGGCAGAGAATTGGGCTTAGGGGAAAAGATGGGGAGGAGCAGGGTGCAGACACTCATAAAGTTGGTAACAAGGAGGAACATAACACATGTTTCTACTCAATAGATAAGTATAAGTATAAAAGACGCATATGTACTTGTTGGTACGGACGGATGAATGTATGTATGTAGAACACCCTTTGCGGAAAACATCATTTACTGCTATCCAATTAAGGCAAAGTCAGGTTTTGTGTGCAAGTCGGTGTGGGCGCATTTGTTGCCAACAATCGGAGAAAAATAATAATTTAAATGAAATGATATTATGTAAGGGCTTGGACTTCAAAATGCCCTGTATTATGACTCTTTTAAAGATCGGTGGGATTTTAAAAAAGCACCAGCTGGATTAACTAAATTTTCTTGATGCTTTGTAAATCTTTTAAATTTAATAAATATAAAGTAACAAACATTATAATATTTATTATTATTCAAATAAAAAAATTATACATTTAATGCAAATGAAACTTTCAAAATATTAAAGATTGTTATCAACATTTTTTCAACTATAATTTGAAAGGAACTTCAACGACTCAAATTAATAGGTAAAAATATACATTTTCCTAAATACCTCTGATAGTGATGGCTAATAACCCAATAGCTATCAGTACAAATTAAATGTATTAAAAAGAAATAGCATGCGGAAGCTTTAAGCCCAATATGTGTGGGCTAGACAGAAGTGATTTAAGTCGCTTGACGAGAGTACTACCGCTGCCCAAAGATATCAAAGCCATAATAAATTTATATTTTTTAATGTCTTCGCAGACGCCAAACTGTCGTTTTCGTTGTCTCCGTGCTCCCGTGTTTCCGTACCCCGGTGGTCTGCCATGATGTTGGACGATGACAACTCGGATCTGCTGGTCTGTGCATCTGAGATGCAGGAAGGTGGGAGCTCAACGAACTTTTAATAGTCCGACATTGAGTGACGTGGATTATTCTATTCTGTTTGCAGACCGTTTGTACTTCGTGGCCTTCAAGAAGAACATCAAGCCAAAGAACACGATTAATACCCACTACTTCAGCATCGATGAGGAGTTCATCTACGAGAATTTCTACAACGATTTCGGGCCTTTAAACATCTGCATGCTCTACAGGTATTGCATGAAACTGAACACTAAACTAAACGCCAAGTGCCATGCAAACAAGAAGATAGTTCATTACACCTCTATGAATCCGGCCAAGCGACTCAATGCGGCATACCTGATTGGTTCGTATGCAGTAAGTGCTCCTAGACTAAAAACTTTCATTTACTGATAATGGACGTTCGAAATTGTTAACCACATTTTAATAATAATTAATATCACAGTTTTCATTCAAGAAACCTATAAAAATATTGCTTATTTCTTACAAGTACCTTTGATAAGAACAACTTCTTTGTTTCGGAATGGTTAACTCTTTCAAGCCTTTACTATCTTATCAAAAATAAAGTAAAAATAATCAATTTTACTGTTCTAGATTATCTACTTAAACAAAACGCCACAGGAGGCGTATCGACCTCTGGTCGCTGGCGAGATTCCCCCCTACACGCGCTTTTGTGATGCCAGCTACGGACCCAGCAGTTTCAAGATATCTCTGCTGGATTGCCTGAATGCCGTGCACAAAGGATTGCAGGCGGGATTCTTCAATTTCGACGACTTCGATGCTGAGGAGTACGAGTATTTTGAGCGCGTGGAGAACGGCGATTTCAACTGGATTGTGCCGCAGAAGTTTATAGCGTTTTGTGGACCTCATCAGAAGAGCAAGACGTTGCCGAATGGATACCCATGCCATGCACCCGAGCGCTACTTTAGCTACTTTCGGGATAATAATGTCACGACCGTGATTCGGCTAAATGCCAAGGTCTATCATGCTTCTTCCTTTGAGAACGCTGGCTTCGATCACAAGGATTTGTTTTTCATCGATGGCAGTACGCCAAGTGATGCCATAATGAAGAAGTTTCTCTCCATCTGCGAAACGACGAAAGGAGCGATTGCAGTTCATTGTAAAGCAGGCTTGGGACGAACGGGCAGCCTTATAGGAGCGTATATTATGAAGCATTATGGGTTTACAGCCCTCGAGTCCATTGCCTGGTTGAGACTCTGCCGGCCGGGATCGGTCATTGGACATCAACAGCAGTGGATGGAGGAGTAAGTCTTTATTTTATGACAGTCTTATTTTATTAACTAATTGATCTCCCAATCCCAATTTTCAGCAAACAAAGCTGGCTGTGGTCGGAAGGCGAACGAATGCGCCGGCGCACTACGCTCCCCATCCTTCAGCATACGTACGGAATCAACAGCATGGAGCTGAAGACCAAACTAGCCTCAGCTGCCTCCGATTCATCGGAGCATTTGGATCTGCTTCTAACGCGCGTGAAAGGAATTTCCCAACGGGTAGATACGATGCACTTAAACGACCAGGACAACTTGGATGCTGCGTGTGTGGATCAAACGGATGAGGAGATCTCCGAGCAGCAGCGATTGGAGAGGGACGAGCGAGCCTTGTATCAATCCGCTGAGGATCCCAATTGTAATGGGAGCGATGATAACGATACGGACACAATCAGTGCACCAGCGGATCAGCCACTGCCCTCCAGTTATACAATATCCACACGTCGCAGGAAATCACCATCGGGCGCAAATAAGCCGACAGTTATAGCCACATCTTTAAGGCGTCTGGTTAATCCTAATGCCAATCGAAGTGGTTTGAGTACTGCTTCTGGAGTTTATCCTGTACCTGAGGTGGCCAGCTGCACGGAGAAAAAGTTGCGCAAGCCAAGTGCAAATGTCTTTGAGGCAGCTCGTCACACCATCGCATCAACCGTCAGGATGACGCAAACGGCGCTGGAGAAGAAGCAGGCCCAGACGCAGGGCGACAAGTTGAATCAGATTAAGGCGCTGAGGAGGCATCACTCGCGATCAGTCAACGTGAACAGCAACAGGTGGGTCATCTGATTTTTTAAATATCCTTAGATGCCACATAGTTTTGAAACAGCTTTCCAATAAATAATTTAATTTAAATAGTTTTTTTTTTCTTTATTCTTCCAACTCTGAAATGTCTTTAACATTTTATAACTATAAAATCTTATTATTTTCTTATAAAGAGTTTAAAACTTAAATAGTAACTTAACAACTTGTTGGTTAATTCCAAAAAGTTTCTTTTCATCAAATAATTCTAATGTAATTAAACCGCAAAAATCGGGACAATCTAATTTTTGGGCTAAAACTAATATTTTGAAATAAAACTAAATATAGATTAAAGCTAAACAATCTAGTGCATCTAAGCCAAATGTTTTGTTGCTCCTCATTTACATTTGATGTTTTTTACCCATTCCAGTAACGAACAGGAATCGAATGTGAGGCATACAAGAGCTCGATCCCAACCCTTCCGCAATAATAACGGAGTGGTTGGGAATCCTGCGATGGCGACCCTGAAGGCGGGACAGCCCACATCCTCCTGTTTGCCAACAAGCACAGCGGCAGCCGCTCTTTTGGCCAATAATCTTAACAACAACAATGGAAGCGTAGTCGGGACTAGCAGTAGCAGCAATAACAACGCCAACAACAACAACAACAGTAATCTAAGCAATTCCCTGAATAACTATAACAACAACAACAATACCACTAACAATATTTTGGCCAGTTCGGGGAGCAGTCGCACCCGCAGTCTGGCGATTTATAGCAAACGGTAAGTACGGGATAATGCCCCCGAATCCCAGAACTCGAAAACTCCTCGAAAAATATTATCGTTTTGTTGGACATGTATTGGATTTGATTTCGTTCCGTGTGCGTCTCTGCTTTTTGCAATTTATACTTAATTTATACTTTTGTTGCTTTCCAAAACACTTTCTTTTACCTTTACTTTCTTTTACCCCCCTGTAAATATTTATAGATTTTAGATATATATATATATATACTGTCGAACTTTTTTGACTCGAATTAGCACCTTGAAAATCAAAACAAATTAAGAAACTTTAAATAAAAAATAGTTTATCATAATTAATCAAATAAATAAGTTGAAAAGGGAGCCATGCAATTTTATTAATTTATAATACACAAATAATTGAAGTCAAAGAAAAATACTCAGATAAAAAATTTTGCCATTCCATTTTAAACGCCTTAAAAGAATTCTCTCCTTTAATGTTTTTCGATTTTTAAAAGTTCGACCTTACTTAATAAGTTTATTAGTGATCCCTCTTATGTAATTGGCACCACTCTAACCCGAATGACGTTTTTTACACCACTCAACACTAACTAAAAAACAATATTGATTTAATTTACTTTACCTGCTAATATTAGTTTATTATTATTATTGTTTGTACTTAGCATTTTGCATTTATGTTTATGTGCATGCCAAAATTAAAAAATTATTTATTTTGTAGCGCAAAAAATAATAATAAACAAAAAATTTTCAAAATTATTTCAAAAGCTTGCAAAATTTATTTCCAATGATTTGTCCTTGTTTTGGCATTGTTTTCGTTGCTTTTATTTGTTATATTTGTATTTAGGATTATAGAGTATATTTGGTGTATTTTGAAAATGTGTATCTTTGCAGAGTTCAAAGTTTGTTCACAGATTATTCAATAAGTCCGTATTTATATTTAAAAAAATTATATTCAACTATACTTCCATACAATTTGTATTAAATGGTTATAGTTTTTCGATAGCTTTAAAATATATTATTTCTTTTGTTTTTTAAAAACAAAAATGTAATGAGAATCTTATTTAAACTGTTATTTAATATTAATTTAATTTAAAATATTTAAACGATTTGACTCTGCAAAGGTTTGAAAATCTTCGGTCTCCGAAGCTTTCCCGCCGTCCTTTTTGTAGTAAGACTGTGTTTTGGGATTCACACTGTACCCGTAACCCGTACACCATCTCTCTTCTCTCGTCCTTTTTCTCCCTGTCTCCCTTGGCTTCTGGTTTTTTGTTCCATCTTTAGAATGGAACTGAAGCACCTGCGAAAGGCGGAACAGCAGCAGCAGGAGCAACCGATGCTGCCGGTGGAGAAGCAGCTTCTTCGGCCATATGCCACCATTAACGAGAGTAAGATACCCGTGGTATCCGGGGGGAGTGGTGGTGCCGGCAGCTCGGCTACCATTCCACCCACTCGGGGCAGTGCCGCGCGCACCTCACATCACCACATGACGCTCCGGGGGAGATCCCGGATCCGTTACCAGCGCCCCAATGCCGGAGAACCGGCTCCTGCAGCGGCCCAAGCCCAACCGTGCACTGTGGCCACGGCTCGTTATTATCGGGACGTATCAGCCATACCCACAATGGGTGTCCTGGGTGGTGGTGCTGCTGGTGGGTCCTCTTCTTCTGCCTCCTTTAACATAGCCACACGCTCCGCATCCGCCACGCTCGATCTCAACTCCAATCCGCTGCCGAAAACCAAATTAACCAGCCTCAACAATAATCCAACTACCACTCCTCCTCCCTCCTCCAATCCTGCAGACACAAGCCGTCTTAGTGGGCGTGGCAGTGCCGAATTGCAGGCGATCATCGAGCACGGCCTGGTGGCAGGAGCGGCCAAGCGGAACAAGCGGTCGCTGAGCTCCACGCGACTGGACAAGGACAAGAGTGACGAGTACAACACGAAGCTGTTAAGGAAGACAGCGGCCGCAGCAGCAGCAGCGGCCACAGCAGCCTCATCCGCAGCAACTGCCGCGACAGCCACCAGCGGTTCCATCAACACCTCCCACTCCTCCAGCAGCAACATCAACAACAATTGCAAGTACAACAGCTGCAGCAGCAGCAACAGCGGCAGCTTCAAGCTCTCCCGTCGCCTTTTCGGAGAATCGGGATCCTCGGCCTCGACATCCGCCTCAAATTCGGGGATTCCAACGCCCACGGCACCGCCATCCTCCAGTCAATGGCACCAGCATCTGGCTCGCGGCGTGGGTCGAGTGTCAAGCGAAAGGGATCGGGAAAGACAAAAGCCTCTGGATCATCAGCAGTCCAATCTTAAACTGCGCAAGAAGATCAGCTACTGAGCCAAGTTGTTCTCGCTCGCATTAGTTTTGTAGATATTATTTTGACTAGTAAATTGAATGTTTCTCGATTTCCTCCGGGATTGGCAATTGCAATGCTTTTGTTAGCTATATCAATGCAATCAAATTTGATGATTGATTAGAAAATATTGAAATTATTTTTAAGCATTATCTCATTTATAATCTTTCATTTTTGTAGGCAAATTTTTTGAAATTGTTTTCAAACTTTTTGTATTAAATTGTCTTAAAATGTGTACAAAATTGTTTTACAATTTTCAAGTATGTACATAGGTGTAATTGAAGGCCCATTTTTACAAAAACTGTTGTGCACGCACTAGCAGATTGAATATTAACCTCTTTAAAAATATTAAACAAATTGTTAAATGATAAGAATTATTATTTTATTTTAATTTGCGTATATTTGGTTTTGTTCCAATCATTTGAAATGATTCTACGGAATTCAGAGAGGGGTCACCCATTATATTGTATATATAAATTGTATTAAGTTTGCTAAGGAAAATATGTCGAAGAGTTGTGTTTAGTACCCATAATATTACAGCTTTTATTCCTATCAAAAATATTTTGTATAAAATAATTTGATACAAAATTGGTGTATTTTAAGAGCAAAGTGGTGTAGTGTTATAAGTAAAATTGAAGCCATGGAAAAATTAGCTATAGTTCACTTTGATGTTGCAATAAAATTACATATATCAATTAAAATTAATTTTAAACCATACTTTTTATTTAGTCAACTATTTTAGAAATTATTTAAATATAAAAAATGTACTACACCAAAAAAAGTTAGACTCGTCAAATTTGATTAGCATTGGTATTGTATAACAACGCGGGTCTGATTTCCAACACAATCAAACGAATTCTCTATTACGGGGAATCACCAATCTAGAAAGTTTGTTAAAAGTGCCATTTCAACCTTGAGTTTTTACACACCAATCCCCATTGAGACTTGCTTGAATCTGATTTGCCTTAAGAATATTGTACAAAGTTAACATGCGGTTACCAGAAGACCTTGAATAAATTACTTTTTCATGTTTTACACCCACAAAATATGTGGAAGATTGTATTAACCAAATAGATAGTAAGACGTAAACAAAAATGTGCATTATCTGAACTTGTTTAAAGTGTAAATACAAGACAGTTTACTTATTTGTAAGCCGACTCTAGTTAAAAATAAATGTTATATATTCCATAGATATATTGGAAATTATAAGGATTATATCAACATTGTGCTGAAGTATTCTATCATCTGAAGGTAGATCTTGCTTTCAAGAGCCACAAATACGACATCAAAGTCGCAATTCAGTTCGATACTCAGCAAAGGTTCCATCGATGACGATTCCAAAGTACTTATGGTTGGTGTGATCTTCAACGCGCTCAGTAGGCTTAAAGCCTTGTCCTTGGAGCTGACGTATTCATCTGTGTTGATTACCTCAAATGCAGCTTGCTTAAGGGCTGGATAGAAGTTTTTGAAGTAGTTGTGGCGATCGCAGAGGCGCAGACCCGTATTGTCTACGCTTCCGGCATCTGTAAGCTCTCTGTAGGTGTTGAACTTCTTCCTGCGCTCCGCCTCCAGATCCTCAAGATTATCATCGAGACATGCATCCGTGGGTTTAGTGCTGACTACCTGCATTTTATCCGCACGAAAATCATCCGCATCGTTTGAGATCACGGCCAGCATTTCGATGGCCGCTCGCTGGCGAGCATCCTTTTTCTTATCCGACTTTCCGTAGCGAACTATGGAGGCCACGGAGCAGCAGGCCACAAATTCCGGGGCATTAGGAGTGCCACTCTGCTGCACAATCTCAATGGTGGGCAGTGGCATATCATGGCGCACGCAGTAGTCCCGCAGCTCCTTCAGCATGTCGCGATTCAGATTGGTCATCTCCTCGCACAGATCGGCCATCGAGTTGGTATCACACTCCTCAAGCAAGCTACTCACGCCTGGAAGTTTACGAATTTTACGTAGGATGTTGGAAGCAGCCAGGTGTTTGGCATCGCGTTTGGAGCGCCCTATAATTGGAAACATACATTTCAAATACATTCTACGTGTTTCGTTTAATTTTACCATTTCCATAGGCCTCCATTTCCATGAGAACAACTTTACACACGTATCCACCATCTTCGCCATCAATAAAATCATATGTTGGTGGAACGTTTTTGGACTTGGCGCAGAATTCCTGTAGGCCGGACACGGCTGACTTGTTATCCATGAGTATACGTGATTTAAGACACGTCTCACCAGCGGATATTTCACAAAATGTATATCTGTTCGAATTAGAAGTGTAGGAATTGATCTGCACTTTTTAATAGAGATGGCAGCGATACTCACGAACCGGCCCAATCACGAGAATAAGTCACAGTTTGTTTCGATAGCGAGAAAAATTAAATATATAAATAATTCAAAAAATTATCATTTTAGGAAAGCCAAACAAATAATTTTAGACAGGAACTAGTTATTTAATATCAAAGACATAATAAGAAAAAAAACAAAACAAATAAAAAATAGTAAACATAAAAATTTTTTGTTCATATTTACCTTAAAAAATGTACTTATGGAACCAAACTATAAATAAGCCACCAATTTGGAATTAAAAATTAAGAGAAAAATAAAGTTAAAAATATTTTAAGCCGATTAAGTAACATCCTTAAATTTTTGTTGTATGTCTTGTGAAATCTAAAATGAGAAATAATATAATAAGGAAGGATGTTTGTACAAAATCAAGCAACTAATAAAAACCTTTTGGGTGTTTTTTACTTACCCATTTAAATCTTATAAATGAAAACATGAACTCATCAGCTGCGAGGCCTTTAAAAAAACACCGTTTAGAAGCATTATCAAAATCCAGTTGAATAACAGCGCCAGATTGTAATAGAGCATAAACATTTTTGTGCAATTGTTTTATTTAGTTTTTGCTTTCAAACTTCAACGTATAAATTTGAATACATTAATCGTACACGTCACGTTGACACGAGTTGGCATCCCCAAAAGTCAAGGCAACCCTGTTGCTGAATGTATGGCATTAACAAGTGTTGCTGCCAGCGCTGAGCTAAAATCGCTGTCTTCAGTCACTATTTAGAAAGGTAATTTGGTGGAATTAAATTAAAATAAAGGTTATAATGGAGTTCTTTAAGTGCCAGAGCAACGACTTAAATACATTTAAACATAACATATTAATCAAACATTTTACTCGCCTTTGAAACCCTTACTTTAGATAGCCATAGTATTCTGTGACTTAAAAATATCTGCTATTGGCGGCCGCCCCGTGACCCAAGCTCATCTCTGGCCACAGGTCAGAATCAAATGGAGACGACTTTTTAATCAACTGCGGAACGTTTACTGCGTTTCATAATCAATAATTCTCTGCTGGCAGCCCAAACACCGAAAAAACAGCTGGGTAAACCAAACAACAACAGAGCAAATACAACCAAATCAAATGTCAAGTTCGGAATAAAACTATAAAAGAAAATCCCAGGAAGTGGCAGTGAGACACAGTGGCTGCGAAAAATTGTGCCCGCTAGCGCTGCTAAAACCCGTGGCCATTAATTAGCGATAGAAAGTTCTCCGATTTGCGGGGTCAACGAGATATGGAGGAAACCGCCGCATCCCCCGCTGCCGCCACAGCCGCGGGATGCGATGCTGCCGCCCACGAGAAGACTCCGGACTCGCCGATCTCCCCCAGCGGTTCCAGTGTCCGGCTGCTGATTAAGTCATCCAACCAGCAGTACGAGGATCTCAATGTGGACTCTGATCTCTGCTGGACGGTCCAACGTCTGAAGAAGCAGCTATCCCTGGTCTATCCTGGCAAACCGGTGGGTTCTCGTTAACTTCCTTTTCACCATAGTTCTAAATTTACCAACTCCTTATCTTATCGAATAGTTTGTTATTGTTTATCATCTTCACTTAACAAACATACATATATAAATACTCCCGGGGCTATTTGCGTCTTAGTCGCAAGTACACGTCAGTAGATTGCCTCTTTAAATTATAGCTCTCGTCATGCACTTGCGTCATGCACCTGGCCTATGCTGAATCGATGGCTTAAAATTAAAATTATAATGGATACGGTTAGGAGCTGTTAAGGTTTATAACTCATAAGAAAAATAACAATTTTTACAAAAATAAGCTCCGGTCATTCGTCGTATTGCTTACATCCCACGTATTAATATCGCTTATCTATACTAAGTAAAGGAACAGGATTTTTGACTCATTGTTTAATGTTTATTTATACAGTGCTCGTCTAAAGCAGTAACTCAATACGGGTGTTTATAATTTCATAAAAGATAGTCCATTTTAATTAATTACAGGTGCTTCCAGTCACCATTGGTTGTTTATTAAAGCACTAACCATACAACATGTTGTACATACAACATGCTGTATGGTTAGTGATTAAAGTAAACGCACTTGTCACATACAATTTTTAGAAACCTAATTTAAAATTCTCAAAATTTGTACACTCTTCAGATTCTGATTGTATACACGTCCGTTTTCGTAGAACACAACAATGTTATCTCATAGAGAGTACAAATAAACTGAAAGTTATCAGTTATCAAGCACTGCTTAATGTTTTACTATATGTACTTATGTATATATATAAATTTAATTTAAACAGTAAATAATGTTAACTGTCATTAAGTTTGAACAGACTTGGGAGCGGTAATGATTCGAGATAAAACATAGTTATCTAGCTCATTGCTCTCCATTATTTCCACAAAACTACGCTTTCTTATGTACATCTATATCAATTTAAAATGATATTTTTTTCCACAGAAAATCCAAGATCAGAAGCTGATTTACTCTGGCAAGCTATTGGATGATTCCCAAAAGTTATCGGAGGTGATACGCAGCTATAAGGATGTCTACCAGCAGCACCACATCTTTCATTTGGTGTGCGCCACAAAGCAAGTAATAACGCCGCCACCTAAGACTGTTACTGTGCCGCCAAAGGAGGCAGTACCAGCGTCGCAGGATGGAAGCGGGAATGCAAATGAGCTACGACAACGTCATCCCACACAACAGCAACCGGCACAGCAGGCAGGTGCTGCATTGCCCACGCCAGGTTTGGCCAATCCTTGGGCGCATTTCTGGCAGCAAAATCAGGCAGCAGCCGCTAGTGCTAGTGCTATTGGTAACCCTCATGCTCTGTTCCAGCAGCAGGCACTGATCTACAACGCTTGGATGCAGCAGGTGTACGCTCAATACATGCAGCAGTACGCTCGGTAAGTTGGCGGTACATGGATACCTAAAGAAGAAGTCATTTGATACCTTTACTTAAGAGTTTTAACATTTCAAAGGAGAAAAAATTAATTCTGTAAATAATTACAATCTAGTTTTGACAATTTCCGGAAGAACTGTTGAATTCCCTTTACAAAGGGAATATTTTGTATAAAAACTTGATCCCATTTTGTTTATTATAATATTTGAATTTTTGCAAAACAACACGTAATTGCTCAGCCAAAAATATTTTTGCTTATCAGACCCGCTTTCATATATATTTTGGAGGGCTGCCGACTACAGCCCTATATATTGGAATTTATTTTTGTATTATTCTGAACAGTTTTTTGTACGCATTTGGCTTTTCCTTATAAGAAGTGTACCAATTTCTGGCAATTGGAAATTATATTATATTTAAACATTGTTAACACCCCTCTTATTTACAGTTCTACGTTGCCTGGCTCGAACGAATCTGTTTTGCCGCCGCTGCCTCAACACCTTATGACCCAAGTCCCGCTGATTGCTGCGCGAAATTTCGCCGAGGCACAACCAGTGGCAGGAGCAGCTGCAGCCCCAGCGGCACAGGCACCACCTGCCCCTCAGATAAATGGGGCGCCACTTAACAGACCAAATTTTCCCAACATCCAGGAGGAACCCGAAATGCGCGACTGGCTGGATAGTTTCTTTAGCTTTACCCGATTGGCAATTTTCGTAACAGTTTTATACTTTAACTCATCGCCGCTGCGTTGCTTGCTGGTGGTGCTTATTGCTGGAGCGATTTATCTGTAAGTAAATGGTTTTATTTTGTGAAGTTAATTTATCATATCCTGTGTATCCTAACGCTTGTTTTGTATATTTTATAGGTATCACATTGGTGTCCTACGTCGTCGCCGTGAACGAAACAATAACAACATAAACCGTAATAACAATGCTGACGATGCTGCCGCCTTTGCTGCAGTGCAGCAAATTCAGCGGATGATGGATGCCGCAGTGGAGCGGGAGAACAACGATCCCCAGGCGGCCAATGAGCCTGGTGCAGTTCCAGCAGCGGGTCCTGCTGGCGCTGCTGCTGGACAGGATGTAATCGATGCACCAGCTGCTGCTGCTGCTCCCGTTGCAGCATCCGCTGCTAATACGGACCCGGCTGATCTTTCCGCTGAAGCCGTTGCCGTGGAACCACCAAATGCCAATAACTCTGTGATTTCCGTTGTGCGCACCTTTGTCATCACCTTTTTCACATCGCTGTTGCCCGAGGCGCCGGCGCTGTAGAGGATTGATATTTGGAATCTGCAGTGGAACCCAGTGGGACATCCGCGAACCAGCTTTACAGCTTTACGGCTTTCTTTTTTCTAACCACCCGTAATCAAAATGTTATTCCGTTTCCTTTCGGTTTTGCATACCTGAAATGTAGCAAAAACTCACCTTTGTTTTACTAGCTGTAATAATCATGTATATTTATTTTCTGTGCATGAGACGAGCTACGATTTCGTGGCCGCTGCTCCAGTAGATTGTAGAATTTTAGATAACTAAGAAAGTAAACTGTTTTTGATGTGAATAGTAAAATGATTACAATCTGCACTGAAATCTGTGCCAGAGGCGAACCTATAAAACCAAGATGCAATTAAAAATAAAACATATGCTTTAACACCAAAAAATCCTATTGTAAAATGGTGTTTACAACGTGCAATTCTTGCTAGAAAAATAATATTGATCGATTTATAAAATATTCTTAAGTCAAAAACCACAAAATAGGTTTTTAATTTAAGACTAGACTGTTACTTTGGATGATTTTAAAATCATTGAATTTGTTTTTTTAAGTTCTAAAATATGAATTGAAATACAATTATATAATTTTTGTTTATTAATAAAAATGTATAAAACAAAATGTATTTAAACAATAGTTACAATATCTTGGTTTAACTGCATTTAAATATTTTTGGTTAATTCTTGACAACAGTAAATTTTGATTTATGTTTCTGATGCTGAAATATTCTTTAATTCAAAATTATTTGATTATTTTACAAAAAGTTTAACCCAAATAGTTAAGTAAAAGTTCGAAAATAAATATTTGTTATTAAAAAATAGATATTTACAAAAGTTAATACGTTATTATTCACTTTTTCAAAATGCTGAACGTTTAAAAGAGGTAATTTGATTATACCTCAAAAATGTTTGTGAGAATTGCATTGTGTAAATAGCGCTTAAGGAATTTTCCCAGGGCAGTTCTCTTAATTCGGGGCAGCTCTCTTATCAGAGTGGAAAATTTTCAGCCCAAAATCGAACTGAGATCCGGCTTCCCCACGGGTAAGTGACAATCTGGCGTTGTTCGCTCTTCTTGCTCGGCTAACGCACAAAATTGGTTTCTTTTTAGCTGCGACGAGATGCATGGAGAGTGAGAGTCCGGCTTATCGCTGGATTTACGACGGGGTCCACTTGCTGATTAGGGGCTGTTTCGCGGGTCGCCTCCTCCGATGCCATCAGAAGAGTGCCAGAGCTCAGAGCCAACGGATCGGATCAGCACCATCCCAGGAAAGAATAAGCACTACGAATACAATTAAGTTCGCACTTGATCTGCTCGAACTGATCCCTCAGAGCTGCCGAAACATGTGGCGAGCGATTCAACAGCGCGCAACAATCGCGCATCCGTTCACCAGACAACGCCATGTGAGTTGATTCACCTCCCCAATTGCATCCTCAATCGGATAAGAAATATTAAAGATACCATTCATAAAATGGTCCAAAGTAATCCCATTATTTGTTTATCATATGATTTAAATATGCCAAGTAAATTTTAAGTGTTATCTGAAACTTTTAAAATATTTTCATTTTGATAAATAAAGACATTTTTATAATTTTTTTTCCTTTTCATTTTGTTTTAATTTGAAAGTACATTTTAAAATATTGAGGTGTCTTAAAACGAATTCGACCATATTTATATATAATTTATAAATTATTGCCAAATATATATAAATGTATATTATTTTTTTAATATTTAAACTTATATTGATAGCGCCAAACTCTGCTCTTTATTGATAAGTAACATTTTTCCTTTGCAGAGTCGCGTGATTGCCATTCGGCGAGAGGATCAGTCGGTGTGGGAGCGACGAGCTCCATTTGGACCCACCCACGTCCAGAAGTTGGTCAAGCAAAATGTCAAGGTCATTGTGCAGCCCTCCAACCGGCGTGCATATCCTATGCAGGTAAGCATAGTTGGAACTTACAACTTCCATCCACCATCTATCGTAATTTTCCATGACCAGTTGGCAACGGATTTATTGAGTCTGTGGCTAATCGCCGATGAAAATCATATCGGTAGTCAGGCCAGCAACTAGATGTATATGTAGTATATAGTACTACACACGCCCCCAAGTGCTGCATCATAAATATAAACTCAGATGATAAGCTATTCTACATGGAGCTCTAAATTTGGCAATTGACTGGCCTTGAAATTAAGTACAAAACAAACGAAGGGAGAGATTAAAGCAAAAGGAATCGAAGCTTATCGCTGGGAGCAATGATTCTAAAGAATCTATATACTATATTCACCTGATTTGTAGAGATGATAATGATTTTAAAAGGGGCACGTGAGAAAAAAAGATTAAATGGATTGAATGGGCAACGTTCATTAAACTATTATATATTGTTGGGATGTCGAGTAATCAAATTAATTGAAGTACTTATTAATAAACTTGGCACTTATCAAACCAGTAAATAACTCACAAGATTAGCCAAATTAAATAAAATTAATAGAATTAGAAAAAATGAAGAATAAAAAAATAATGAAATCAAATGCCCTGAACTTGAACTGATTCTTTTAGTAAGTAGCTATATAATAAAGATTAAATGTTTTAAACGACAACCAGCGTATTATAACAATAACTATTCTCATCTTTCCATTTGATCCACACAAAGATTACCACGTATTTATACATAGAATTGATAAGATAAGATAACTAGTAACTTAATAACATTACGTTTTTGGTTTTTATGGAACAGGCTTACATGAGTGCTGGAGCGCATATTCAGGAGGACATCAGTGATGCGTCTGTGATATTTGGAGTGAAACAAGTTCCCATTGATGCTCTGATCCCTGGAAAGACATACTGCTTCTTCTCGCACACCATTAAGGCGCAGGAATCTAATATGCCCCTTCTGGATGCTATTTTGGAAAAGGTTTGAGCACCTCTTTTAACTTTAATTAAGTTATGTATTTATTTTTCAACAATTTTTACCAGAAAATCCGCCTTATTGACTACGAGCGTATCATAGATGAACGCGGAGCACGACAGGTGGCCTTTGGCAAGTATGCCGGAGTGGCTGGCATGGTGAACATCCTGCATGGCATTGGATTGCGTCTTTTGGCCTTGGGACATCATACACCTTTCATGCACATTGGACCAGCTCACAATTATCGCAATTCTTCGATGGCTCGTCAGGCGATCCGTGATTGTGGCTACGAAATCTCACTCGGCATGATGCCCAAGTCGATTGGACCACTTACTTTTGTATTTACTGGCTCTGGAAATGTTTCCCAAGGAGCCCAGGAGGTGTTTTCGGAGCTGCCCATTGAATATGTTCCGCCCGAGATGCTTCGCAAGGTGGCCGAACATGGAAGTGAGTATATCTGCTTTAATTATTTATCCATTTACTTACAATTTGTAAAACCAGATAAGTTTTTAAATATTTTGTTTTATTACAATTTCTAATTCTTTATTTAATTTTAGATCAAAACAAGCTTTATGGCTGCGAGGTGAGCCGATCGGATCATCTGGAGCGTCGTGAAGGCGGTGGATTTGATGCCAAGGAGTACGATGAGTTCCCCGAACGTTATATCTCCACCTTCAGCACGAAGATTGCTCCATATGCATCGGTTATTTTGAACGGTATCTATTGGGCTGTGGGCAGTCCCAAGTTGATCAGCATTCCGGATGCCAAGAACCTGCTCCGACCGGCAAATACTCCCTGGTTGCCTACTAGCAAGGGTAGCCCAGCTTTGCCACACCGCATGTTGGCCATATGCGATATTTCCGCTGACCCCGGTGGTTCCATTGAGTTCATGAACGAGTGCACCACGATCGACACTCCCTTCTGTTTGTATGATGCGGATAGGAATAAGGATACTAAGAGTTTCAAGGGACCAGGAGTTTTGGTTTGCTCGATTGATAATATGCCTACCCAGTTGCCAAGGGAGTCCACGGATTTGTTTGGTGAGCTTTTGGCACCCCATGTCCATGAAATCATAAAGAGTGATGCCAAGAAGCCGCTGGCGGAGGAGGAATTCTCGTACCCCATCCAATCGGTAAGTAAATATTACTTATTTCTTCAAAACAGGATATCTTGCTACCCAAGGGGCCATAATGTTCATAAACAATTTATTAAAAGAATTGCAAAGATACAAAATAAGTTTAAAAACATTTTCAAAACGGAGTTATCTCTTTGCTCTTTTTTTCAATATTTAAAATGTATGTTGTACTCATTTTGAAATTTAAGAACTTAAGTGCAGTATTCCCTGTTATCAGCATCTGTTATCAGTTGGCTAACTCTCCCTCTCTCCGCTTATTTTCAGGCCATTATCGCAAGCAACGGTCAGCTGACCGAGGGCTTCCAGTATATTCAGGAGCTCCGAGAATCGCAGAGCCACCGATCGCGCCACAAGATGGAAGGAAGGTCCGAGTCGAACAAGAAGGTCTTGGTCCTGGGAGCTGGCATGGTATCCGCTCCCCTCGTGGAGTGGCTGCATCGCGAGAAGGATGTCAGCATCACGGTGTGTTCACAGGTCAAGGAGGAAGCCGATCGATTGGCTCAACAGTATGCCGGTGTGGACAGCGTCTATCTGGATGTGAACGAGAGCACTGGTCATCTTCAGGAGATGTGCGGCAAGGCGGATGTTGTGGTTTCCCTACTTCCCTACAGTCTCCATGGCATGGTGGCTCGTTATTGCGTGGCAGAAGGTACCCACATGGTCACCGCTAGTTACGTGAACGATGAGATCTCCGAATTGCACGAGGAGGCCAAGGCTAAGGGAGTGACCATTATGAATGAGGTGGGACTGGACCCAGGAATCGATCACCTTTTGGCACTTGAGTGCATCCACGAAGTGCAGGACAAGGGAGCCGTTGTTGAGTCATTTGTGAGCTACTGTGGCGGTCTGCCTGCACCAGAGCATTCAAATAATTCCTTGAGGTATAAGTTTTCGTGGTCACCCAGAGGAGTACTCCTTAACACCCTCTCCGCTGCCAAATATCTGAGTCAGGGCCAAATAGTGGAGATTTCTGGAGGTGGTGAACTCATGTCGTGTCCTCGCAGTCTGGATTTCCTGCCAGGATTCGCCTTGGAAGGTTTCCCCAATAGGGACTCCACCAAATACGGTTCACTCTACGGCTTGGGCAGGGATGTGCACACTCTGCTGCGTGGAACCATACGCTATAAGGGCTTTTCCGAGTCGATTAAACCCATGCAACTTTTGGGCTTAATCGATTCTGAGCCACATGCCTTGCTACATCCCAGTGGACCGGATGTCACGTGGCGCCAGCTGGTTATCCATTTGATGGGCATGTCCGATTCGAGCATCTTTTACGAGAACCTCAAGCAGAAGCTGAACGAGCGCATTGGCGATGTGGATGGGATTGAAAGTCTGGGTCTGCTGGATGACACACCTGTCGTGAAGCTAAATACTCCGCTGGATACGCTTAGCCACTATCTGTCTAAGAGATTGGCCTTCGGTGGGTATTGCATTTAAATTTAATTTAATTCTATAGTAATTTGTTTGACTTCCTTGCAGAACGAGATGAACGTGATCTGGTGGTGCTGCGCCATGAAGTGGGCATCCGTTGGCCCGATGGTCGCCGTGAGGAGCGTGGCATCAATTTTGTGGTTTACGGGCAGCCCCAGGGCCATTCCGCCATGGCGATGACGGTGGGCAAGCCGGCGGCCATTGCGGCCAAAATGATCCTAGATGGTGGGTTCCCATTACACTTTACATCTTTCTAACCATTTAAATAATTCCGAATTACCCTTTTCCAGGTGAGATCCAAGAACGCGGGGTCCTGCTGCCCTTCACCCCCGACATATACCGCCCAATGCTGCAACGTCTGCGCTCCGAGGGTCTGACTGCCACGGAGACCTCCAGATGGTTAAATTAAGAAGTCTGAACTCATTGCGACCACATCCTAGGCTTAAGACTTCATACTTTTTTGACTGCCCACCGCGTCGTGTGAAATTTCTTGTCTTATATATCGCTCGGGTTTTTCGTTGTTTGATAAGAAAATCATTACGTTATCTTAATACTGAAATAAGTTTTATGACTAGAGCTACTTGAAGTGCGTAAACAAGTTGAAGTTGTTGTCGAAATTGTGAAATATGTTTCCTTTTCGAAAATTAATTATGAACTGACTGTAAATGATTGCGGAAATTTTTATTAAATGATAAAATATTTATAAAAAAACAAGAGATTATTTCTTTGAGGTTGATTTTCTTCCAATAACTTTAAAATTATAAAAATAATTTAAGGCATATTCTTTTGTAAATGTGGATTTAGTTTAAACTCTTAGTGGTAAATTTCTTGAATTAATCAGTTTCAAAGTCTTGAATGGTACCAGTTACTTTTTATTATAGCAAGTTTGTTTACTGTAATATATTTAGTATTTGAATTTTACGTTCCGTTTAATCTTCAAGATTCGATTTCCGTTCGATTTGACCCCTTTGCGCCTGGCAACCCGATCAGCGATGGGTTATCTCCCGAACTTGAACTAAAATTAAAAACACGGCTTCAATCTAAATTTAGTGTTCTATAAAACACGCGCATAAAACAGCATGATGATCCGATTGGATCCGTTTGCGACCGGTCATTAACGTTTATAATTGTAATAAACAACAGGCCACAAATCTCCCTGAAATTATGGTCGCTCTAGCTGTGGAAATGGTCGGTCCTTAGCCTGATAACCTCTCTGCCTGGCAGTTATTTTGTTGCTCATCGAGTAGGAGCAATCTATTGGCGTTTTACAAATTTGAATTCACATTCATTCAATGCAAATACACAGACACCCACTGCCAGATAAGATTGTGTGCGCTAGTGATGCCGACTAAACTTAGTCAAAGAAAAGGAATTTTGAAAATAAAATGTATTAACGAAATAAATAAATAGTATTAAAGCCATAATAGTTTTGGCTGGAATACATATATTTTAAGCGATATCAAATCTTTATCATCATCCTTTTTTTTGGTGCGATAAAAATTGAATATAAAGAAGAGTTACTTTATTATACTGACAGATGATGTTAGTACTGTAAAACATTTGAAACCCATAACGGAGTACCTAAACCTTTGAAAAATCACTTCAATTTGAACGCGACTTGAAGTCAAAAACATAAAACACTTGTCTATTAAAACCATTTATTTTAAAAATTCCAGTAAAAAGTATGTGAATGGGAACGAACGATAAAGCCACAATTACAGCTTTCTGAATTGCGATTACTGGATAGGTATTTCGGTGTAGGGTACACAATAAAACCCGGATCCGTACGGAAAAACACCAAATCGCCATCTCTGGGGCTGTGCGCACTGGGATTTGTTTTTGTGGAACGCAAGTCGCAGTCGGCGTCACGAATTAAGCGGTGGGTCTTCAGGCCTGATAAGTCCGCAGTTCCCATTCGGACGCCGGTCTGTCCGGAATATATATTCCTGCTTCTTTAGGCGATACATACGTCTGCGCGCTCGTCTCCGTCCGGTTCTTCTTCTTTGCCAGTTATTCGAGTGCAAGAGTAACTGTTGTTTGCGTGTTGCGTGCAAGAGAGCGGACAAAACGATTATTTAATTTACCCGCATTCCGCTTTTAGCGGGGGCCGCGTGTGAACGAATCCGAAAATCATATATATCTGTGTAGATCCGCAGATGTTATACAATATGCCGGAGTAACCGTCTGACCCAAAACAAAGGTCAAGCCGATACGCTCTAATCTGACTTCCGATCCAAGTACAAACTTCTCCCCATCTTCCTCGCCGCCCCTCTGCCCCTCGCTGTTATCATTTTTCACTAACTAGTGGAACAGCAAAAACATATTGGAAAAGTACAAAATTCAAATTACAAAATGGGTTGCATGCGCTATTTGTCGGACGCTCATTTGAGGGGCTTCGAGCTTTACAAGGTGAGTTCTTCCAAAAGGGAGGGGGGATGGACATTTAGCCGCGGACCCCGGTGGGTGGTAAAAATCAATGTCCCATTTGGAAAATACCCTCCCCTACTTCAGTCAAATGATATTAAATTATAAATAAAGCCCAGACAATGAAATAATCCTTAATATCGATTTAACCCACTTTCTCTCCATTTTCATTTGTACCCTAAAAATCCTTCATTTTAAATAAGTGAAGTTTCCTTATTAACGGATCTTACAACTGTCGTTGGCGGCAAACATGTATTATATATCTTAACGGTTACATTTTTTGCTTTTGGTAATATCTTAATGCCACGAATTATTCAAATCAAAATTGATTTATCAAAAAAAAAATTATTTTTATCTGAATGTCGTTTAGAGACTTGAAAAATGTATATCTAAGATATAGCCTAATCAATTCGATATATTCTTAATATTTACCACAAATAATATAGTCATACAATAATAGAAAAATATTAGATTACAGGATTAGGTTAAAATACCTATTTTCTGAAATAATTTTCTGAATCTGATTGCATACCATGGCCAGCATTACATTTTATTTCTCTGTGTGTGTAGATTATGTCTTATTAGACTGTGATTTATTCTAGTTCCGGTTGGTTCGCCCAGCCAGATAAGGCAACCTTTAACTTGAACCCCATTGGTTGCCCGTTTATTATGTGTCAAAATTACTACTATTAAAACTTTAATTTTTTTTTACTAGTGTTGGTCATCAATTAAGTCATAATCAGACTAAACAAATGTTTCGCAAACTTTAGAAGGAGGCATTGAACTAACACGAACCCATGTGCTGAGGCTTCAGACACATATAGACAGATAGTGCGGGGATTTGGTAGAGCGGTTCGGGTTGGTGACTATCAGAAGTGGAATTTGTACTTGTAAAGATTACAACACGAAGAGACAATGAAATAAAAGGCTAGCGGGAACGCGGGAAGAAGGGATAATTACATTTATTAACAAGTTTTTTGAGTTCAGTGGAATTAAAATCCATCGAAACGAAAGTGAGATTAATTTCTAAGGACTTCGCTACTGTAGTAAACGATATCTTATCTTATCAAGACCTATTGCGATTAGGAAAACCACATCAAAAAACATGTTGTAATTTTAAATAGTTGGATATCGTTATGACTAAATGTGACTGTGAAAAATTTCATTTAAGTCGTGTATTTAAAAATTATTGTTAGAAAAATAGTTTTTAACAAATGGAAATCATTTGCAAGTTTTGTAAATTTATGATAGAAAGTATATTTAAATGGTTTTAGGTGGCCCATGCTTTAACTCCTTTTTCAAATATTAGGCCTTTGCATACGTTATACGATACGTTATAATATTCAATTTTACATTGAACAAATCAATTATTCCAAGGATATACAGATATTAAATAAATGTGGATAAAGAACGGATTTCAATCAATATCTTATTATTTATTCCGTAGTACAACAGCATAGACACAAGTTTCCTCAGTGTCTACGTAATGCACCCTTTCTGGAACTACTGTGTTAAGGTAAGTTATAAATACTTCAAAGCATATATACATTTTAAGTCACATAACATATTCCAGTTTGTTCCCAAATGGTTGGCGCCCAACGTTTTGACATTCGTGGGTTTCCTTATGACTGTCGTCAACTTTATCCTGATAGCTCATTACGACTGGGAATTTAAAGCGGCCAACTCCGAGACGGGCAATACAGTGCCCGCCTGGGTTTGGACAGTAGCGGCCATTAATATTCTTATTTACTATAACTTGGGTGAGTCCATAAGATATATAAGTAAAAGAAAATGTGTTAAACATTTTTATACAATTATTGTTGTCAGATGGCATGGATGGCAAGCAGGCTCGAAGGACTGGAACTAGTGGACCTCTCGGGGAGCTATTCGATCATGGATTGGACTCCTATTCAGCTGCCCTGATACCCATTTACCTATTTTCACTCTTCGGCACACACGATTTGCCACCTATTCGCATGTTCTTTGTGATCTGGAACGTATTTCTTAACTTCTATTTGACGCATGTGGAAAAGTACAACACGGGAGTTATGTTTTTGCCCTGGGGTTATGACTTTACGATGTGGGTAAGTAATTTAAAAATATATTTTTAATAAAATTTCAAATTATTTATTCTTTTTTTCTATTTCAGGGTGTTAGTGGCATGTTGTTTGTGGCAACCGTCTTTGGACCTGGGATGTATCGCTTTAACTTTTATGGTTTTACAGTGGCCAATTTGTTCGAAGTAGTACTTATTGGTTCCGGCATGGTCAGCAGTCATCCTATTATAGCTAGAAATATCTACCTGTGAGTTTCTCAATAATTGTTACATTAACATAATTTGGATCTTATTTTATTTAATTTATTTTTAGTTCCTATAAAAACAAGACGGGAAAAATGCGACCCATGTGGGAAATGCTGCGTCCCTTCTTTGCGTTCCTCTGGTTGTTTGTAATCACTCTAATCTGGTCGTTCTTCTCTCGAAATAATGTGATCAATCTGGAGCCCCGTATTTTATGGATACTCTATGGCACGATATTCTCAAATATTGCCGTAAGTTTTGATTCGATTATTCAACTGATCAGGAACAATACAATTTTTAAATTTTATTTTACAGTGCCGTCTGATTGTGGCCCAAATGTCGGACATGCGTTGCGATGCCTTCAATGTGCTAATGTGGCCACTAGCTGCTACCGTGGGAGTCTGCTGTTTTCCCTATTACCAACAAGTTTTCGACACGGACCTCACGGCAGATGTCGAACGATGGATTGTCCATGGTCTCACCATTTTCTCAACATTAGCCCACTGGCACTACGGCTACGGTGTGGTAAGTTAATATCTTTTGTTAAACAAGGATGCAATACACAAATTAAAATATTCAACCTATGATAAATTTCTAATAATGAACCATTTTTAGGTCTCTGAGATGTGCGACCACTTCAAAATTCGGTGCTTCAAAGTAAGAAAATCTAGCAGCCAACCTGGTTCAGATTTAACCCAACAACTTCTACAGAATGATAACAAAATCAAAACGTTGAAAAGCCATTGAAACTAAATCGCCCACTAACCAAAATCACATCAATCAAACGGGGACAACCAAAATCAACCATCTTGTGATATATAGTTTATATATATATATAAATGGGTTCCAAAACATTTAGCCCTCGCCTAAATTCTAGGTTCTAAGTGGTCCATACTCAAATCAAAACACTAAACCGATACTCGCCCCACGCGGTTTCTAATGTGGTAAAGTCCATACGAAGATATTATGTAATCAAAATCCTAATCGTAGGCTAAGAATTTAATCGTATTTAACTGTAGGATATAACTAAGCTAAGTGCATGAAAAGACCGATCTTCGTAGCAAATCTAACGAGCATGTTGATATATAGCAGCACTAACTGCATGATCCGATAAGTATTATGTGCCTGAATACAGCTACTGAATGTAGTTGTATAACTATGATAATGCAGAGGCTATGTTTACTGTACCGCCCATCGTATTGTAATTTTCTGTAGATCACAAAACCGACTGACGCGGGTGAGCAGGACCTGCAGGAAGTTGTTGAAGACGCGAAGCCCACGGAAAACGTTGAAGAAGTCTAGCACTGGCCGGTTCTTCACTAATTATGTTGTGTTTAAACTTTAAAATCGTTACATAAGTTCAGTTGTTAAGACAAATCGAAAGTGTGTTTAGCGTAAGTTCGAAATTGAAACGAAAATATATTTGTTACTCACTAAAGTAATATTTTATAATTTTAAGGTAAAAATTTAAATAAAAGGTATTTTTTGCATCCTACCAGCTACTTCAAAATAAAATGAATTGATTAAACCTCAAAATTGATATTATATCCTATTTTAAATATCCTAACTTTCCTAATAGAAAAATCTAAATTCTTTAGTATTAGCTTACATTTTATTTGCCAGTGAATATATCAAAATAATTTAGGGAAATTTCAATATCTTACATTACAACATAGCGCGCGTCATGGAGATTCCCCGATCTCCTAGTTCAGCAGCAGCTGGGCCACAATGCTATTGTCATCTGCGGGATTCGCAGAGTGCAGGCCGGAACCGCTTTCAAGGAACTCGCGCAACTCGTTTTCCAGATCGCCACCGCCATGCTGCTCATCCGTCTCGTCGATCTCCATGGCCACTGGTTGCAACTGGGGCAGGGCCACAGGCTGTTGGAGCAGCTCGGGCAGCTGGATACGCGGAGAAACAGGTCGAGGTGGCGGCAGGCCAGCTGTTACAAAAAATAGTTACATTTAACTTAAAACTTGTTAATTTCTGTATGTTGACTTACCATAGGACATGCCCATGGCCTTCCGCAAGGCATAGGGATCGGCAATGGCAGAAGGCGGCAGTTTCTTGGCCAGATCACTGATTTGCTGCGTCAATTGCTGGGCGGTTTGGGCCTCCTCCTGACCAGCGGGCTGCACTAGTCCTAGGTGATTCGGCAAAGGCTGTGACAAACGATCATGCTGCGTCACTCGCAGTTTCTCAATTAGCGTCAAGTTTTGACTGAGGTGTTCGTGCATCCGCCTGTTGAGCTCAAAATTCTTCATTTCAGCCTCCATGCCGTCCAAGAAGGTCATATCGATGCCCAAGTCCCCGAGAGATTGCAATCGCTTAAAGTCCACAGGGGTGTTTTTGTATTTCTCGTACTCTTTTTCGATTTGCTCGGTGGTTTCCTGCTGGCAAGGAGTTTCCTCCTCCTGTTCAAAGCACTTTTCAATCTCGCTTTGCTCGTACGAATGTAGCTGCATATTGTAAAGTTCATCAAGCGATTTGCTGTGCTCTCCGTTGGTGAGGATATCCAGCAAACCGTTTGCAATGGTTGTCCCATAGCTAGAGTCCTTGGTAAACTGTAGGATGCTCTCCGCATATTCCGCACTGGAGGCATCCCCATATGTACGCAGAACTAATTGAGTTTCATCAGCACTCAGAGTGGAAAAGCGGGAATCAAAAGTAGGCGCGAAGCTGGCAAAGGCTCCATAACTCAGAGGTTTCACTGGCTTCATGGCATTCCTTTTGTCAACCTGTCGCACCTGCAGCTGTGTGCTTCCCGTTTGCAGTTTACCCACCAGATCGCCAATAGTTACTACCTTTTCAGGACCCTCGTTCTCCTCTTTGGTCAGAAGATTTAGGGTGGTGGTGCCATCCTTGGTTTGACGTAGGAAACCCATCTTGTGGGCGTTTCTCTTGGCATTAACCCTCTGCTTGGCTTGTTGGGCGGCATTTTGCACTTGGGCTAGAATCTCCTCACCCGTTAAATCGTCTACAAAAGGCTCAAAATGTGTTTTGGGCGCATTCTCCAAACGTAGAGCACGTTTGCGCTCCTCCTCCTCTAGTTGGGCAGGAGTCGGTGGCTCCTCGGCTCCCGTTGAAGCTCCTTCGTCCGCCGAATCGTGAGTTTCCCGTGACATATCGTTAGAACTCAATTCAAATCCTAGTTCTTTAGCAGTAAGCTCCCTCATATAACCCGAGAGTGGTTTTAGGCTTCTCATTAAATTCTCCGGCTGCAGATGCTTCATTCCCACTTGGAGCAGCCGCTTGGCTGCCTTGTTATAAACCGTATCTACGTGGTTATACTTAATAGCATTCTCACACATCAGCTTGAAGTCATCACTAAACTCAGTCAAAGCGGCATACTCGTGATCATCGATCTTCTGTCGCATTGTTGAGAAGTCCATGGGTTTGCTAATTATTGAAGAGTAACCGGGTGCCATGTCATCGGTCACTGGCCAAGCAAAGAACTGGTGGGGATCCCGCTTCTCCAGGAAGCGCAGCAGATGCTCCAGAAGTTTGTTCAGCGGCGATTTCTGCTGCTTCAGCTTAAGCACACAGCTCCTGGGCTCTCTTCCCGACTCACTTGAACTGCTGGGGGTCTTTGGCGCCTCCAGAGCTTTGGGCGTAAGAGCATTTAGGGAGTTGGCACCGCCTGGCGTTGAAGGAGATGGTATCAAAAGCTGGAAAAGAATAATATTGTATTTTATTAGGTCTATGGGAAAATTAAGTTATATTAGAGTCACTCACGTCGGGCAACGGTTTGGTTGGACTGCTGCCCACCAATCCTAAGGAGGAGGATTGCAGCGACGAGGAGTTGGGCGACGAACCCATCAGGATTTCATCCAACTTGCGAGGTGCAATTGGCTTGGTCACTGGACAATTGGACGGCGAGTTATCCGTGGTAATGCCGGCAAAAAACAGAATATTCTCCGGTAATGGCTGCGACTGATCGTCGTCCATGAAGCTAAAGCCATCTTGACTGGAATCCGGATCGACGGTCGGTGGAGCCACCGAGGGTGGGGCGAAACCACTGCAGGCGGCATCGTCGGCACTTGGAACCATATCCTCATCAGCCGATCCCAGGTCTCGATGGCGATCCCTGCTCCTGTGACGCTTCTCTTTGTGGTGCTTGTGCTTCTTCTCGCGATCCTTCTTCTTCTTCTTTTTCTTGGACTTCTTGTGTCGCTCACGATGGACCTGGTTCTCCTGGAGCTCCTCGGGAACTGGCGACATCATGGCCTCGGCGGCTGTGGGTGGTCCTCCGTCCACCATTGGCGAATTGGCACTGTACTCCGGCGTAGCATTCGATCCCACCTTGAGGATTAACTTCAGTCCTCGCTGCAGTTGAGCAGGATCCTGGTGCTGACTGTATTCTGTATAAGATAGAGCAGATTTAGGTTACTTACAATTTTAAAATATATGTTATGAATATTTCTTCGAAAAATCTTAAATTTAAATAATTCAAGTTTTTGCAAAATAAAATTATTTTCCATAATTCTAAATATTTGCATACAATTTTTTTCTTTGTGTATACATGCTCAACAACAAGCGGCAAAACGGCAGAGCGAGATGGCATGTGCCAGCGGGGGCTCACGTAGACGAATCACTTTCCTAGCACTTACCCTCATATTTCTCGCGTCTCTCCGACTTGTTTTTCTTGTGCTTCTTGGAGGAGCCCATCTTGGACACCCAATTGTCCGAAAATTAAGCAAATAGGTGGCAAATATACTTAAAAAAACGAAAAACAAAAATCCGGTGGCGAAAGGCAGACGCCATGAGCAGTGTGGCCGCGGTTTTTTTCACACAGAATATCATAATGCATGGCAAAAGGTGACATCATTGAGATGCTTTCCAACACTTATAGTTATCGATAAGTTATCGTTATTTCCAGCCCTGAATTCAAATGATGAAATTTCTTAAGTATATGTATATTATCAAAAAATTACAGGGGATAAAACTTTTATTTAACGATACATTAATGTGACAAAGTAAATATTTAAAAATAAATTTGAATATTAGCGGAATAACGCTACCAAAACACCAAATATCTTTTTTCTTTGTCAAGAGACAAAAATCAACAAATCAAGCAAAAAACTAAGCATAGAAATACATTTATATTTAAAAATGTTCCTGTGCTAGGAATTCTTTGATTATTTTTTTTATTAGCATTCCATCAATATTTTATATATGGTTATTCCCATTCTTAAATTTAAAATTATTAAGCCCAACTAATTTTTGATATCTATAAAATTTATAATTTGCTATATTTTTCATGTATTACTTTTTTTTTTCATTTTTCATATGGCATTTAACGGACGCGGCGCTTGAGGATGGGGGCCTTGTGGACCAGGACACTCTGCCGGTTTATCGGAATGGCAGAGGTCCTGACTTTTCGCTTGCCACCAGAACGGCGATGGGTCGGGGTCACCATGTTGTGCGCTGGCTTCTGCTGGACGACCGCCTTTTTGGAATTCGCCTTGCTGACGGCACTGAAAAGGGTGCGAGTGGAGTTCAAGCTCTGCAGCGACGTGTCCAACTTGGTCCGAATCCTGTCCAGATCCGCCCGCATCCGCTGGATATCTAGGGCTATGGTCCGCCGGTCCCTTTGCAATTTCTTGTGCTGCATCAGCATGGTCTCCAGCACGGTCTTCTGTTGGATAACCTCGCGGATCCGGTTGTGCTGCTCAAAACCCTTCGATTTTGGCAACTTCTGGTTCAAACTAGCCTTGATCGCCGCCAATGGTTTGGCTTTGGTTTTGTTGACGAAACCATGGGCACTGCTCGCCCTCGATGAATTGCCGCCGCCCTTTATCCTACCCGATTTGCTGCGTTTCAGATGCTTGGACACCAGATTGGATGGCAGTGGTGGTGCTACTCCTGGAGCTGGAGTCGGAATCCCCGCTGTGGGCAACGGCGCCGTTGGCCGAGGTCTTCGAGGTGCTCGAACCGCTGAGGGAGAATTAAATTTTAACAATGCATCTCAAACATTCATTTGCATAAATAAAACTGGTAAAAATATTTTATTAATATGGGTTATATTTAGTAATTAAAAAATTAAGCAAGGCAAAACTGTGAAAGTCTCAAAGTTTTCAAATATGAAGGACAAGAGAAACTTATTTTTTTTGAGTTTATGAGGATAGGGAACGTCTCCTAAAGCATTACCAAAAAATATGAACCATCACTTAAAGATGTCGAAAATAAAAAAATATATAAAATACTTTTAAATTTTTAGCAATATTCCTTGAGAAATTCTGGAAGTTGGCAAAACTCTAGACTTACACTTCATGGTAGAGTGAATCCTTGCCACCATGTTATCATAGGTCTTGCGAGTGTCGGGCATCAGGTAGTGGCCCGGCAGCTGTCTTGATCTCAGCGAGGCCTTGATCCTGTCCCTCCTGCTCAACTGCGACAGCCTGGACTTGGCATTGTCCTCCTGCTCCCAGTCCTTCCGCAGTTGGGTGGTCAGGATGTGGTGCAAGGCCAGTCGATTGGTCATGGTCACGCTCTTGGGGCTCCTTGGTTTTTTGGGGTTTTTGAATTTTGATAGACAATTTTGATGGCCAAAGTGGTCAAAAAATGAAAGAATTTAGAATATTTGTTTACCAACGAATCCTCATTTTACGATTTTTGATTTAGTTTTGACACACCCGGAATATTTTTTGCTATGGCAAAGCTGATCTTGAAAATTTTAAATTTTAAATCGAGTTCGTTGTTGGGCATGCGCACCAAAAGGTTTTTTTAAATTTCACTATCCTTATTATCCCAATTAAAACAATATTCCTTTATTTTTGAGTTCTTTGAAATATTAATATCTACCGACAAAAGTTATAATTTTTGTAAATTAAAGTTTTCTTATAAATTTAAATTTTAAAGTCATTTATTAAGAGCTTATTTTTTGAAATCACAAACTATTTTACACAGAATACTTTCAAGCAACATTTAAAACTATTTAAATTGAGGGTTTTAAGGCAAAATTAACATTTAAAAATAATTTGTATTTTTATATTGATCTAAAAAATTCCAATTCCAATTTAATTAAATTGGGACTAACTAAGAGATCAGCCTAGAGATGACTGTTGATGTTCTTCCGGGCCAACTGGGCGTAGATGGTGCCATGTGGCTTGTCCACTGGGATGAATACTTCGTTATTGTCGCCTGGAGCAATTTTCTGGAACGGCTTTGTATCAAAGTTGAAGTAGTGCTTATTTGGCATTGTCATCGAAATGACCGACACTTGTGGCAGGACATCCAGGACCTGTCTTTCACTCAGATACAAGGTATGCTGAACAGAGGGCGAGGAAACGCCCACCTGTGGATCGCCGGCAAAATTCCGGATAATAATGTTTTTCACCGTCTGCCAGGCTTTTAAGAAGTCCAAGCTATCTGTATCAGAATACTCCCAGGAGCAGTCGATCACAGTGCTAAAGATGCGATCGTATTGATCTGGCAGCGATCGGAACTCATCGTTCACGAAGTTCACAAACGAGGATTGGGTTGTCTTCAGTACTCGTAGACCCTTGATTCCAGTGATGACCGTTTGTTTGGGATCTGAGGGTAAGAAAAAGGATGAATTTATATGTATTTTTTGTTTTAATTTCAACTTTTAGACTTGCAATAAATTATCTAATCCCTTAAACTCTTTTTTTCTTTTGTCTGCTTTATAGTTTTAAGTTGTTTAAAAGTAATGTTTGGTGAGGGACTTTATAATTATAAATTTTAAACCATAATTAAAAATGAAGTTTGTAAGTAAATTATTATTAAAAATCCAAGAAAATTCTGGCGTTCGATTACAATATAGCTGGATAAGCCTTTGCAAAATGAATTCTTTTTTTGATCTTGAGTTAAGATTTTGAACTAACCTGTCCTCCTTACAACCACATCGCAGTAGTGCTGAGCTGTGGGAGTGAAAATAAAAGCGTGATTGTGCAGCGATCGGTTGTCGATCGAACTGAAGTCGCAGCTGCCCTGAACTCCCTTCTCACAACTCCCATTGATGGTGGTTTTGGTCTCATCCTGACAGACCCGCTGCCAGGGATAGGCCTCCACATGGACGTGGGCCTCCTCCACATGGGAGTACTTGTTGATGAAGTGCCTGGCCAGGAGCAGAGCAAACTTTTCGGGACTCTCAATGCCATGCTTTTTGGCCAATAGATACACGGTGTTCTTCTGCGAATCCGTGGCCACAATGTCCGAGTTATTGCCCTGGTAGTAATCTTTTTTGCTGTACAGCTTCAGATGAGTGCCCACTTCGAATTCCTGGATGGTGTGGACAGGACCTTTCCGACTGACATGGAGCACCTTCACCGCATCCTTGCCGTATCCATGGTCAGTGATCTCGTACTGAAAGGGCTTGTCATGGCTATCCATGCCAGGCGACGTCTTCTGCATCTGGTTCATGGCACTGGGCTGTCTGAGGGGCGTGGCAAACATTCTGACTGCAGTTACTCTCACTTTGATACTGATGCCCATTTCAGTGTCATTAGCTCTTTTTATAGTGGCGAAATCTGTTATATCATCACGTATGCAAGTGTATCAAGGGATTTCGTTAGCGGATTTCACGGAAATTCAGTGCAATGCTCGCCAACTCATATATCATCACTCTCACTTAGAGTATTAAAGGTCTCACCGCAATTATGACTTATTGCGCAAATAGTTAAGATTTCACGTCATGCAAAGAGACTCGGAGATTTTCAAGGTCTGGACGCCTGTTGTCATGTTTTCTATCTTCAGTACTTTGTATTTACATTATTATACCCTTGCAGAGGGTATTATAATTTTGGTCAAAAGTGTGCAACGCAGTGAAGGAGACATCTCCGACCCTATAAAGTATATATATTCTTGATCAGGATCACCTCCTGAGTTGATATAGCCATGTCCGTCTGTCCGTCTGACTGTCCGTCTGTCCGTCTGTCTGTTTCTACGCAAACTAGTCTCTCAGATTTAAAGCTATCGAGTTGAAACTTTGCACACAGCCTTCTTTCCTTTGCACGCAGTATATATGTCGGAACGGCCGGGATCGGCCGACTATATCCTATAGCTGCCATATAACTGATTGATCGGAAATGCCATAACTTTGGTGTTTGTAAAGTTAGGAAGTTGGAATGTGCTATGGGTTTTATATTTGGCCAATCAATCCGATTTACCAAATTTCATAAGGATCGGCCGACTATATCTTATAGCTGCCATATAACTGATTGATCGGAAATGCCATAACTTTGGTGTTTGTAAAGTTAGGAAGTTGGGATTTTCTATGGGTTCTATTTTTGGCCAATCAATCCGACCTACCAAATAAGGATCGGCTGACTATATCCTATAGCTGCCATATAACTGAACGATTGGAAATGCCATAACTTTGGTGTTTTTAAAGTTAGGAAGTTGGGATTTTTTATGAGTATTAAGAATGCATCATATGAATAATTGTGGAGAATATAATTTACAGAGTATTCTGCAAGGGTATATCAACTTCGGCTCCGCCCGAAGTTAGCTTCCCTTTCTTGTTTTATTTAATATAGGCGTTATACCAGTAAACAAAAATGATTACGTTTTCCGCTGCACAACTGGATAGGACTCCCTCCGAAATTTTTTTTTGACACTTCAAAAGTGGTTTCGGGTTTTTCTTAAGACAATTATTATTACACACTTGTATTTATTATTTTAGAATAATAATAACAATTTGATTTTCAAATAAAATTAAAACTGTTTAATGAGGAAATAATATAATTATAATATTTTTTACTAATTTACTAATTTGTATATGAACCTACAAACATTAATATTCTTCTGGAAGCCTCGCATGATGCCATTGATCCTCGAAAATATAACTTAATTTCTGTTTTGTCTACGAACGTTATCTTAGTGTTAAGCCAGTTAAAGCATAAGCAAATAATGAAGATATGGCATATGCCAGATGTTGTTCTGGCTCTTGTGACCATTCTGTTTATTACCAACAAAATTCTTCTTTCCGGCTAACGCTTTTAAAAACAAATTTATGTGGAAGTTAAGACCTTCAGCGAATTGGCTTAGTGTTAAGACAGTTTAAGCCAAAAGCAAACTCGGGCAGTAGCTCTCATTCGAGTATGATTTCAAGATCTGTTTATTTGTTTGACACGGTTTTATGGGGGTGTGTCTTGTATGAACAACTCGCTCCCACGACCAAACATTTTTGTATTTCTTTGTTGGCAAGTTATGTAAGTTCCGTTTGTGGCTATTGGTTCAAGTAAAACTGGGTGAAGGAAATGAGGTGTCAATGTTTGCCAAGCGATAGCTGTATTGAGCATAGATAATTAAATTTACATTAAATCATAGTGTTATTGTTTGAAGTCATACAATTTTAAATATGATCTTATTGCAATTTTAAGAAAATTCACACTGGACAACAAATTTTACTGCTACATAAGTAGTCCACATAAACTTTTTATAAGTTAGCTTAGGTGTGTTATTGTTCTACTGATATGATAAACTATATGATCAAGATGATGGCATATCATAAAAAAGGAGAGAACCCCTGTCTTATGATTCATTCGACTGGAATTAAAACTAATGGTTTGGTAGATTTACGAAGCTTTTGGCACCTCCAAAACATGTTGTCCATCAGAAAGTTTCGCCCGAGGTTCAGTGAACTAAAATGCCACTTATGAATGAGCGCCTCAGACAAGTGAACGCTTTTGTTGCGACCATCACAAACAAAAGTGCAAATTGTTTTCCAGTGAAACCTGCGACGCGCCCATGTAAAATGTTATTTTTTGGCAGGCAAACATCGATGTTGAGTGAACCGCAACGAGTTAGTTGCGTTTTTGAGCGCGTTGCCAACGGACGAACATCGTAATCATGGAAGTGCCAGGAATCCTTGTCTTCGTTCTTTGTGTCCTCCCATTGGCATCCCAGGGAGCTGTCCACGATGAGTTGGCCCAGTGCGGCCTACACGGTGTCTACAGACAGCGACAGAGTCTGCTGGAATCGCCCAACTATCCGGACAACTATCCGGTGAACACCTGCTGGGATTATGTGGTGCGATCTCCCTACCGCTGCCCCACAAAGTTTCACATACAATTCCTGGACTTTAAACTGGAAAACTCGGAGAACTGCAGTCGGGATTATTTGGCCATTGGTCTGAACCAAGATGGCGATGACATGGATCTTTTGTGCGGACAGGTGCTGGGGATAAGGAAGTATCAAACTCCCGATGGAGTCCTGCGCCTGCGCTTCCTCAGCGATGATTCGCCTTGGACGACGAACGGTGGCTTCCGGCTGCTCATCACGCGTTTGGCCTGCGAAAGGGAGGACTTGGTGGCCAGGGGACTGGACGCCGATGACGAGGAGGATGTGGATGGGGACTCGGTGCAGGTTAGCGCCAAGTCGCCGCCGAAGAAGCTGCTCACCCAGCACCACCATCACCTGCAACAGCAATCTGGACATCAGCAGCAGCAGCAGGAGCCATCGTTGAACTTTACGCAGCCAAATCGTGGAGGCTTCAACTGGGGTTTGCAACCTGGTCTTGGTTATCCTGTTGGATTTTATCCTCCGCAAGCAGGCTTACCTCCTCAGCACTCACCGCCTTGTGCTCCCCAGCAACAGCAGCAATTTTTGCAACAGCAACAGGAACAACAGCGTTTCCTACAACAGCAACAGCAGCAATTTCTTCAGCAACAGCAACTGCAACAGCAATTTCAACTTCCACAGCAGCAACAACAACTTCAGCAGCAACAGCAACTTCAGCAGCAACAGCAATTGCAGCAGCAACAACAACTTCAGCAACAGATCCTGCAGCAACAGCAACTTCAACAACAGGTCCTTCAACAGCAGCAACTGCAACACCCACAGCAACTGCAACTCCCACAGCAACCTCAGCTTCCGCAGCAGCAACAGCAAGAATTACCTCTGATTTCTGACCAATATCAGACCACATCCTTTCAACCGCATGCTGTAACCCTCAAGGATTACGATTCGCAGAATTTGCAGCAGTTTGGAAGTCAATTGGATCTCTGCTGTGCCAGCAGCTTCAATCAGAATCACTTTTATCTGTCCAGTCCTGGATTTCCCAGAACTGTCTTAAATTATCTGCTACCAAATCAGCAAAGAGATTGTGTGTTCTACATAGAAAAGAGCTCTCCAAATGTCTGCCGTTTGAGGATACAGTTCAAGTTCTTTGATTTCGGACACAATTCAGGAAGTTCAGTTGGAGGCAGTTTTGGCGGGGGATTTGGAGGCGGAGTTTCTGGAGGATTGGATGGAGGGTTCAGTGGCGGTTTTGGAGGCCAACAGGCCTGCAATGGTGACTTCTTAGAACTGGATGGTAAGCGATACTGCGGCTGTCGTTCGGGATATATCCACAAATCGCATTGGGACCAGGGTCGCAAGGCGCTGCGCATGCGCATTGGACAGTCGAGCAGCACCACCTCGAATGGATTCCTGTTGGAGATATTCCAGGATCAGGACTCCGATGGCTGTCGGCAGGATGCTGCCTCAGGACTTGGATTGGGATTGCAGCAACAGCAGCAACAACAGCCACAAAGGGGTTTGGGCTTGTGGCCTCAAGTCGGATTACAACCTCAATTGGGATTGCAACCTCAATTGGGATTGCAACCTCAATTGGGATTACAGACCCAATTGGGATTACCTCCACAAGCACCACAAATTTGGCCCATGCAGACAGGATATCCTGGCTACGTCAATAGTTATCCTTTTCCATTCACTGCTACCCCTTACCGATCGGCCAGAAGGATTTCCTATGCCCGCGGAATCGATGCTCAGCAGCCTTCGAGAGTGGTAGAAACAAACTCTACCCGCAAGGAATTCTACTACTTTGATGGCGATGAGGCCTTTGCACGCTCCGCCTTGGAGGATGAGGACGAGGACAAGGCTCATTTGGGGGTCACAACACAACCACAATCTCAGTCACAAAAGCAACTCAAGCCCGAGTCCCCAGTGGCAACGAAAGCCTTCGAACAGAGCAGTTGCTCCTTTGATTATATGGAGGTCCTTAAACTTTCAGTTGACACACTTTGGTTGACCAAGCCCTTGTGTTTCTCGCCGCTGAGAAGTTGGTTTCCCAACATTTTTGGCTAACTGACAAATAAAAACCGAATTATTTGATGTAGCCGAATATTGTTTTATTAAGAGGAAGTCTTCTTATGCCTTAATAAAAAATAGAGAATTTAAAATGCAGTTTAAACGTTAAACAAAAATCATAGAAATAGTCACTAAAAATATATATTCATTTTTAATTGGAGATTTTAAAAGAGATATAGTTTGAATTTTGAAACCATGTTTTTTTTATTAAAATTTAAGTTTCATTTAAACACAAAAGACGACGTCACATTTAATTTTATAAAAAAAAAAAATAATCTTTTTGCAGATTGCAAAGGTCAATATTCCTTCTTAGGATTATTTTTTTTCCGGCAGACATTTTATTAAAGACTGTTTTCAATATAGCTATTATCTGTTACATGACAATGATTTCTTAGTTTTCCCTCCATTAATCTACGATCTAAGCCCAGTATATCTGTATTTTGACAATTCTGTTGACGTCATAGCGAAATAAATATGATAAAGAGTGCGTCTTTTCACTCCGCTTAGTCATTGGCAAGAGGTTTACACGCTCTGTGGTCATTACCAGCCTGAGGTACGAGTTGCCATTTCCCTCACCCTCATCTTCACCCACTCCCAATCCCATTCCGCATTTCGTTGTCATCCACAGATACTGATGCTTTCCAAATAGATAACCACGTCGCCACATTGTTGTCTCAGCAAACACAGAGCAATAGTTGGCTGAGATTCTCAGCTCCATTCAATCTCAATGTCAGGGTGGCGCGTTCGCACTTCCGAAGGTGTAAACTTGTCGGCTCGTTTACAATCGCAGTACTTATGTGGGATGAACAAAGACTTGGATTTGTAGTGGAAATGGAAAGTCAAGGTATTCGGGATCTGTCTAAGGAATGTTCTAGAAGTTGCCCTTTGCCACTCATCTACAATTGCTAAGATTAGTTTTATCCAAGAGTAGTCCCATTGTGGCTTACTGATAGCTGAAAAAATCTTTCAATTTAAATTGTTCAAAGTTTTTTTGCCATTTTAGTTATTCCTTATAAATATATCTTTAAAGGGGATTAAAATAAGAAATTTTAGGAACCCTTAACGTCAATTAAAAACGCTTTATCTCCATTTAATTGCACAAGAATAGTAGTATTTTATAAGTTTATTCGAAATATATATATATATATATTTATCGACTATACATTAGAGATAGTGTTTTTAATAAGTAGATAATAAGTACACATTTATAATATTTTATGTTTAAGAATATTAAAATATTTTCGTATATATGTACACATTGATATAGCATTAAGTTAGGTGGTTCCATTTATTATTTAATAGTACTAGCTTCATGGACCGAGAGACGTTACGAGACTTTTAAATGATATGGCAACGTTTTGCAATTGTTTGGATTAGCATACGCAACAACCGCAAAAAATATTAACAAAGAGAGCTACTGGAACTTCGTTTATTTAGTTAGTATATACAACACATTGAGAGCTATAAAAGTTTTAATTGTCTACAATTAGATTTAGGGCTGGGGCACGGGCTGCGTTTTAATTGCCTCACAAGGGGCTTTATCCCCAAAAGATAACTAAGTATTTTTAGTTTAGTTCGTTTAGTTGGGTAGCTAGATAGTTTAGTTTGGCTAATTGCAAGTGCTTGTTGTTCTCCAGTTTGGCGCTCGACTTTGTCAGCAATGTACAATTGATGCTTGGTATACATATGTGTCTGTCAGTGTCCTGTCGGTGTGATTGGGGGGGGTTAAGTGTACTGCCTGCATACATCCATCGCCTTAGCCCAGGAATCTTATATTGGTGAAGACCGCCTTGGCCGGACGCTTGCGATTGCAGAAATTAACCGTCTTGCTGTGATTGCCCTTGCGATTCTCGTGCAGATTGACCAGCAACTTAAATATATCCTCCTTACTAGGTGTGCAGGCATATCGTAATTCCGGTTCATAGTTGCTGTTGATAGAATTCATGTAAGAACTGATAATGGTAATGGTTATGTAGTTAGCAAATCGTTCACGTTTCGGCTATCAATAATCAATCTCTCTGTGGGCGGTTGGGGATTCTGGGTGTCTGTCTTTCGGGCCTAAAGAGACTCTGATAAATGCATTACAGTAAGTTGTTCAAGTTTTATAGACTACTACTAAGGGTTGGGGGCAAGGAGCTCCCCAAATTGCCAGATTTTCTCTTATTGATTATTTTCCTAGTCATGCTTTGATCTAGAAAAATGTAACAAAATTGAGTTAACAAGGAATTTTATCTTTTCTCTTTGAATAAAAGGTTTACATCTGTGGCCAGTGCTGCACCTTAAATATATACTTTAAAAGCAGACCCTTTAGTTCGGTAACCAAATCGCAAAATATTTTGGCAATTTGAGGATTTCCGTTTAAGGCTCTAAGAATATGGGATTTAAATCTGCGTAAAGGCTACTAACAACATTTACTAACTACAAATGATAATTGGGGTTGGTTAATTAGCAATCACTGGAACTCATTACAGTGCTTTTTGGGGGGGATATTTGGATTGGACTTGTGGTTGTGTGGGTGATATAGATATTGGAAAGCAACCTACCCGCGATTCTTGTTGTGACGCTTCCACGGATACCTGCGATAATAGCGCGAACGCTTGGGCTTACTCTGGCCCAAAACCAAATCCTGAACGGCGTTCTCCAAGTCGGCGTAGTCCTCGACTCCGGCGGATGGAATCACCGCCTCCGGCTCTTCCTCCTCAACGTAGACCAGGGGTAAAGTTTCGAGAGAGGGATCCTGAATCAAATGCAGACAGAGAAATTCCACGATTTGAAATGCAGAACAAAAAGACAACATATCATATAAAACATTGTTTTTTTCTCAGGTAAAGATAACAATTTTAATCAGATATTTTAAGAAAATGTAAAATGTAATTTTTTCTAATTGTCACCACTTTTTTAATTACAGTTATACTATTTAGTTTCAATTCTAAAATTAAATAAAATTTAATAAAATGAATTATAGTTTCGTTGTTATAAGTGTAGCTTATAAATCACGAGATTTTTCGTGGAATATTGTTGGCTTTGTCTCTTCACTCACCTCTAGCATTTTCATGAGCAAAGCGGATTTGTCCACCAGTTCCTGCTCGGCCCGTAAATCCTCCTCCATTTTCTTGAGCACCTCGAACTTGTTGGCCAGCTCGAGTTCGTTGTAAACGGCTTCGGTGTATTCGGGATTCGATGGAGCCAGTGCCAATCCGAGTTCCTGGGCGCGTAGTAATTCTGCCGTGAAATGAGCAAGCCAAAGACCTTGTTTAAGATTTGAATGTTTATTGAACCTGCCGCTAATCCGAACACAGAGTTGTCCATTTCCATTGCCATTTTAATCCCCGCCTTCTGCTTTTTGCCATCGGAAACTTCCGCCTCTTGATACTTGAAAGTTTGAATAGTTTGTTTGTCTGTCTGTTGGCTGGTTTTCCCCCGGCTCTGCTGTCGTTTCAATGAACTGACGGAAATTGACTGGCGGCAATGAGTTTATGGCCACAGAATTTCCCCTTTCGCGGTTTCCGCCCTTTGTGAGCCTCCTCCCTTTTCGACCACGTCCGTCAGTCAAATCAGCAGTCAGTGCAACTCCTTAAATGCCTTTTGTCGCTCTTGGCATCCAGTCTGCCCATCACTGTCTACTTGCTGCCTTTGCAAATATTCGCAGACAGACTGCGTTGAACCCACGCAAATAAATAGGCAGAGTTTTAAATAAATAGATTCAAAAATAATTTTTGTATCAAATTAGATAGTTTAACTACGATTAGACAAATATTAACGCTCCTTTAAGTATTAACTTATGACTTTAATATTTATTTTATCTAGTAACCAAAAATATGTTCGCCTCCATAAATAATCTAATTTGTTGTTTTGGCCCATGTAATTATGAAGTTGGTTCAGTTATTACTAAAATAGAAAACAATTTGGTAATATTAAAAATTTTTCAATTATTAATTAAAAACCTTTTTTTTTTACGACAGAAGATTCCCACTACTAAAATAGCTTACGTTTTCCCTACTTTATAAATCGATTTTTGTTGAATTTCCAATCCATTTACTCATGTATCAAATCACTTGGAAAACAAGTTCAATTATTGAAAATCCGATATGACATTTTATTTTGGGTTGGGTAAGGGAGGTGTTTGTAAGGCAAAACGCAAACGTCGAATCGAATTCGTCAACAAATTTGAAAACCTATCCCCTTCACTTCGGTGGGCGTGTAAAGTGCTGTGCACAAACACATATTCCATATTTTGCAAGGACAACAATTTGAGACACTTGAAAAATTGTGCACTGACCGAAAATGTTCAGCGACCGTTCACCAAACCATAATGGATGGTGGGCGGTGGTTACGGCTAAGTGCAGGCCATGTGTCACCCTAACTCTTGGTCCACCCCTTTTTTGGTGAGGGGGTGCAGACTAAAAGTCGACCATATACCATTTGGCTAACAATGAGATAATGGCAGCACAAAGGATTCATGGAAACCTACCTGAATTAAGGAATTATTAAGGTTTCTTGGAACCTATTTTTCAGTACTATACCTCAGATAAATAAAGAAAAGGATAGGTTTACAGGATTTCATTTAAATTCCATTTATATAGTTTTGCACATTTACTTCTTTACTCAAAGTAAATCGGGTTTAAAAAGAAGTTTAATTTAAATGATATTAGATGCAGTTGTTATCTTTTTAATTCGAATGGGGATTAGCTGGTGTCTTGGAAGTCTACTCAAGGCGAGGAACACGCAAGAAATGCGGTAATAGGGATGTTTATGACTCACCATCGCCGGGATCGTAAACAGCTCGCTCCTGTGCCTCCTGGACGTCCGACGAAGAGGGTCCTTGGCGAACGGGTCCTTCGCCCCCGAAGATGGGCAGATGCAGGCGCTGCGTTCCAGATGCAACGCCCTGATAGTCACCCACTTTTCCTTCACCTGCTCCTCCTTCGTTTGTGGTGGACTGGGAAGTAAGGAAGCCGGCGACGTGACAAGTACCGCTTCCCAGGATCGTGGTTGCCAGGATGCAGAGCGCTAGGATGTCGGGCTTCATGTCTGTTTTTTTTTTTTTTATATAGAGCCTCTCCGGATGTATTCGGGATTAATGCGCGGGTCGCTGTCAACGTGGATGCTTCTGCAAGGCAAAAAGTGGAGATGTATGTACACGAGGGTAATTACCATCACTACCTCCACCAGCGTCCTCCACTTATCTCCTGCACCACCCAACACACCGCGTGTGGGCGTCTCTTTGTGTTTAAGCAAACAATGCGCATATAAACACGCAAACAACCGAGGAGCCCCAACAAAAATTAAGACCGCGAAGAAAACGGGAAAAAATGGGTGGTGGGCCGGCCTTACGCGGCAAAAGGCGTCTCTTAGATAACTTGGCCGCTTATTCTTGGGCTTTTGTTTTGCGATGCTGCTTAATCTTTCTTTTCGCCCAGAACTGTGGTGCTATTGGCCAAAATGTATTTCAAATTTGTTTTCATTTGAGAGCGGTCCATATCTTTTTTCTTTTGTCAATTTATAAACTTTTTAAGTCTTTTTTTTTTTGGGTTTTTATCATTAAAAAAACTAACAGCTTTATTTTAAAGAATTCCATTATTTCGATACATTTTTTGCATTTTATGTAAAAAGCATTTAAATGAATAAAAATGTATGTAGGAAATATCTTACAGACTGTTTAAATACAAATTGTATCTTAATATAAATAAGAGAAACTAAAAAGATTAGTAAAAACCAAAAATGCAAATAAAATTTGAAAAAAAATAATATGATTTCAAAATGTACTTAAAACATATTCTAGTTTTGAAAGTATTATAAATATTATGCCATTCTCCAGCACGCAAGTTTATTAAAGCTGATGCCATGTTTACAAGTGCCAAGTTAAATTTGCTCATTTAAACATCATTGAATACTTTCTTTCGATTTTTATAGTGTTCTGAGCCAAGATATATATTTACTCTTGCTATTTTGTAAATAAATTTTTACCACTGTATTCTAGGTGTTCTTGTTTTCATTTTATTATTTTTTATCAGGTACTGCAATGGGCTTTATTGTGGGCCGCTCTTGTACCCTTTGTCGTTTCATTTAATTAAGTATGGGACGTCGCTGACGTGGGTGAGTTTGCTTAACTCTTTCACAGCGTATTTTGAGCCCATTAGTCGAGGCCCATGGCTGACAATCTGTATATATACCAATCCTGGGGAACAGCACGCCTCCCTTATCGTATTCTTTAAGTCTAAAAGCATCTGTTTGACGGGGAATATAAATGAGTTGCCTGGAATTTTTGGCACTTGTGGTCTGTAAGGTTGAGATGTCTAGGATCAGCTTAATTTGTTAACCAAAACAACCGAAAAAAATGTTTGCTTAGACAAATTTAGACAAAAAAGTGTGAAGAAGTGAGAATCAGTAATTCATTATTCAAAATTAAAGGCTTAGCCTACATTTTAAATTTTGTTGGTGTAAAAACACTTGGTGGGTGGAGCAAGAAACGTTAAAAAAGTTTAAATGAAAGAAGATATGGTGCCATTAAAATGACAATATACGACTTGCCACGACTTTGCTGTAGATTGCAATGCCTTCGAGAAATTTGCATTTTGTATTTTAAAAATGTCTTATATTTTATAAAATTGTTCCATTTTGAATGCAATATTTTTTGGAACGTACTGGATTGTGTGTTTACTAAAACTATCCTTGCCCTACAGGGAATTTTGTATTGAGATTTAATAAAATTTTACGAAAGTTAAAACGAGAAAAAAATATTCCCTTTGCGCAAGAATAGAGCTTAAAAATATAGTTACGTTTATTTAACACGCAAACAACTGTTGTTTTATTAAATGGTTTAAACACTATTAAAATGTATTAAAATGTATTTGAAAGAAACTTTTCAATACAAAAACGTCTGTAATATAGTCTTTGTAAATAATGTAAATAAATTTAAATTGCCCAAATTTATGCGGTTAATTAACCACATAAACCTGATAAAATAAATCAATTCGGGCCCGCCCAATCGAAGACAAAAATGTTCAGCATTCGTTTTGCACAGTTCATTAAAATTTTCTGGAGGAAGGGAACTTTTCTGTGGACAATTTTCCGGCACGTTTCCATTGAGTTTGATTGAAAATTTGCAACTGAACTGCGAGGCGTATAATTTAGTCTTAATATTTGCGAAAGAAATATGCTTGTTGGTGATTTTGAGGTTATTCTTTTGTTTCAGCTAATTCGAAAATAAATTGCATAACGCCCATGGCATTTCCGGCAGAAAACTTTTTCAATTACTTCGCTTTTATTGGCACTCGGAAAAGTGGACAACACTTTTGGAGTTTTTTTTTTTTGGGGAAGCAATTCGAAATTGTTAAGGAGTGGGCGAATTGGAAGTAAACAAAGCAAACACGAATCGTTGTCAAAATGCTTTAATTAACTTGTTGACACAGTGTCAAAAAGTGGACGCGACCAAAAAAAGTTCACCCTGGTCGGCGAGTCCCCAAGGTAAAATGAAATTAATTTAGCGGTGAGGGGAGTTCCAGGACTCTATATATATGTGAATCCATTTTTACCTGTCGCCTGTTTTCCTTGTTGTATACGTTTAGTTTTCGCAATAACCGCACGGCTAATTGCTAAATTGAGCTGAAGTGTAACTGAAATAGGTCCGAACCCAATGGAATATAGGCCTACATGCCACATGACAGGTGTAGTGCAAAAACGGCTTAATTAGTGCTAGAGATGTGGAATATACAGCTGGGGAAATGGAGTTGGACAAGTGCAACAGACATTTGTCCCAGGATTCATGCCCATTATACATGCTCCACTTGTGTAATAATTCTGGGGAATACATTACATGACTTCCTTGCTTATTGAATTGGGCCAGCTGGGGTATTTCCCGAAATTTACACACAAAAGAATCAAATCCACACATTCTAAGGTTTCACAAAGTGTTGGATCAGAACCAAATGACCAGACATCAATGATTGGGAATTCAAAAAGGAGAAAGGGAACTTTCACTTGAGAGTAAAAAAAGAGTTAATGTCTTAAATTTTGAGCATCAATATTGTACCTAGTCATTTTAATACACTACATGACTAAATAGTCTTCTAATTGAAGCTTAGGATTTAAGATGGGAACTTAGTTTTAATTCAAATTTAAAAACGAAGTTTTTTAAATTTTGTTGTAATTGAAACAAACTATTTTTCAAGCTTTATCTGTGCTATTAAAACTTATAACAAACCAACGTTTAGTCTAAATTTATACAATTTAATGTTGGCATCTTAATCCTAAAAATCCTTGGTATTTGTTTTTCACTAGGAACAAGTTTTTCGAACCACATTCAATATTGGTAGTCTCTACTTTTTTCAATCCATCAATACTAAGAACTCGACTTTAAGTTCATCTTGAAAAGGAACTTGCAAAAAATTTGCCTGTGGTTCTTAATTCGATACTCTAGTTGTCAGGTTGACAAACATACATTCACATCAGTAAATAAGAACAATGCCACAGGATTAAATCCAGTGGGATTTGAAAAATGAAAACGGCTTTGGAACGCATTGAATTTTCATTGCTTTCGATTTACTTATTTCTTCAACATTTCTCTGTGATTGCCAGGAATTTTCGCACGTGGAATTTAAGGCGTTTGTGACAGAAAAGGGGTCGGGGACAACAATTGCTTGACATTTTCCGTAAATATTGATGTTTTTTCTATTTATTTATGTTTGACATTTATGTTTTTCCTTGGTGGGAATTCCTTCGAGCTATTGACATTGATAAATTATTTATGGAATGGTTAGCAAAAAAACTTTAAAAGCAATTCTTAAAAATGTCCATCAATTCTAAAGCGGAGATTCGATGGAAGTGATACCTTATTTTCTAATCCGCTCGTAGGTTTTAAGCTGCTTATTTTTGTTAATTGGAAATGGATTTTGGTTTAAGACTAGATGAAAATAGATATTGATTTTGATATAGAAATGGAAATCCATGTAGAAAGATATTAGTAATAACTTTCTATTCTATTTGATATATTTATTTATGTGCATGTCTGTTTTAAACAATAAGTTTAATTCGAGTTTATTGTTACGTGAATGTTAAATTATCTAAAACGGTTAAAAGCTATGTCCTTTTTAGGAAAAAGAAAACGTTCAAGAAATTAGGAGTTTTGTTTTAATTAGTTTGTCATTTATATAAACTTATTTTTACTGTATTGTAATAAATGTATTTACAAAAAATTAAGTGCAGCGAAAAATAATATTTTTCTTTAAAATCACTTGTTCTATTGTCCGTTGCTAAGCTATATTATTTTACGAGCTCAATAAATCACAGTAAATTAACCCACTATTGAATATATTTTTAGGCACGTATTTTGTCAACCATCGACGACACTGTAATTGATGACGAAAGCGACGGCATTTGTAAGATTTCGCATCACGTTTTTATATCCGTTTTTATGAGTGGGCTGTCTTAAGTTCAACGCAGACCGCAAATATTTTATAAAATACTTTTAAATAGGTTTTTATGGAATTGAATTTCAAAACACACCGATTGCACTCACTTTAAAATTTTGTTGGAAACCGTTCGAATTCTGAGCCACAATCGGGGAACTGTCAACTGTTGCTCCTACTACTTGTTGAACACTGCGTGGTCGACTCGCGGAGCCGCCTCCTTTTATAAGGCTAGAGCCGAAGTAAATTCCGATTCGCCATCGTCGACCGATGACGAGTCCGTCGAATTCAAAGAACCGATGTCGACGCGCCAAAAAAAATTGTGTAAAAGCTTTGCCGAGCTTTCCCTGGCCACTCCTCCTTTCGCAAAGGACATCCTCGGTTTTTATCAATGAAATATTTTCGTTACATTTAAAAAGTTTAGCGCCTGCTCGGCGATATTTTCGAATGAAAAATGTCATTGGCAATTATTTACCTGGCGTAAGATATGCGCCGCTAAGTAGGCAACAAGTCGCGAAATGGCGTCACGGGCTTACCACCAAAAGGCAAGGTGATAAATAATCCGGGAGGGAGTCTTTGTTGACAGTACAGTTTACGGAATAATATGCCAACCGGACGCGTCATTTGATTCTTGGAATCTCGCCGTATCGTTTGAGTTTCCTGTCACCCAACTGGAATCCCTGCAGTGCAAGTCATTCAATGGAACATGACTGGTGTTTTTGAGGTGTTTTATGGCCATGTCATCGTTTCGTGTAAATTTGGATTTTCATATCAATAGAGTTCAGAATTAAGCCACGTTTCTATTTATAACTTAGTGATGATAACTTTGATTTTGTATATATTCATTAGTCTCAGCCAAGCATGCGTATTTTGGTCATGCCAAAAACTACTTAAATTTTATAAATTGTTACTTAAGAATTTCCGAGTTTTACACAACCATTATTTCAATTTCTAAATTTTTATAAATTATACCTAGATTGGTAGTCTGGTGTATGGTAATGAAATCAAAGTTCTTTATTTATTTATTAATAGTTATATAGTAAAATTAATTTATGACGTTTTGTAAACATAAATTCTTATCCTCCTCCAGTTTGAATTCCAATATTTATTTCCTCACTCAATCGTCTGAGTTGAGTACACCTTTTCTTGACTTCGCGCCCAACTATAAACCCATCGCAATACTGCAATCGAAGAGCAGGAATCGAGGGGTCAGGTCAGACAGTCAGATGTCAACAACCGTCGCAGCCCCCAGGCCTTTAAAAAAAGATGACACTTCACAGTGAAATTGCTGTGAGTAATGGAGTACAATCCAAGCGATCCCTCGATGTTTTCGTTATTGTTTCGAGAGTGGGTGTGTGTGTGTGTTGTTTTGGCCTAAAAGGCGGCCCAGGAAAATAAGCATATATAGGGTTTTATTTCCAATCGCCTGGGGCAACTAAGGATGACACTTACCCTAAGAAAACCAATAATAGCCCGCTGAAAAGTTTAAGTGCTCAAGGTTAGGGAGGGCGGGTGAAACAGGAAACCCCCTCCTACATATAGCGAAAGTCATATTTTTGGCCAAGTCTATTTTTAGCGGTCTCTGGAACATTTTGCCATTCCTTTTCCCTTCTTCGTAAGCGGTTTGTGCGCCTCACGTTGCATCAGACCAGCGTACACCCGCCCACCCAATGGACATCGAATCAACCACATGCGTCACGCCCTTCTGGCCTGGCATATGCAATCTCGTCCCTCAAAGCTGCCGACGTGCCAAGCAAATTGATAAACATATTAGCTCAGCTAATTACGCCGAGATTTGTGGTATGTGTTCTGGAACTTATTTTGTATATTTTCAGGTTTGATTTAAAAACACAAAATCATTTTTATAACGATGTAATACAATTAAACTTACTTAAATCATATTCTCTTAAATTTAAAAAAATAAAAAATCTCTTCGGTTGAAATTCTGTTGGAATGTACTTACAAGTATCCATCAAACAGATTTTTTTGTTATCCCGGATATAGTTCGCAATTTAATTTAATTTTTGAACTTCTTCTTTAAAACAAAAAATTATAAAAATGTAATATTACTTTAATATACTACAAGTGACATTATTTTTATTTTATTTTGCGAAATCGATTTTCAGAACGTTATTTCGCCCGCATATCTTTCCGGTACGCCAATCCGTATCACTGGGCAAATATTTGTAGCATACTTGTCGGTTGGCTAGTGAAATGTGCAATTGACTCACGCGTTTGTTTTTGGATTTTTCGGCCGCTTTATTATTATTGTCATGCGGGCACTATCACCTCGTTACAGCTCTAATTAAACCCCATTGACAGTTATCAACCTAAGCGCTGAGATTGAGTGACAGTGGCGCTGACGTTTTTCGATTCCACTTCCTCATTCAATGATTAACAATTGCGTCGACAAAAAACTGTAGGCCCCCATATCCTGACTAATTTTTGCACAATTTGGTGAAATATTTTGATTTCCAGCAGAAAAGCGAAATATTTGGCCAAACTTTGTAAACTCGCGAAAAGAGGAGCAGCAGGAGAAACGGTCTCCCGTTGTCCTTCGAACAATAAAACTGGACCTCCTATCGATTATTAGGCTTTGGCTGCATCCGGTTCCTCGTGAACTGAGGTGATTTCGAGCTCCTGCTCTTCGCCCACAGCTTCCTCCTCGACCTCCTCTGGCGCCTCTTCAAAGACCTCGCCGTTGATGATCTCCTCAGCCAGCAGATACAGCTCTCGAATGTCCTGGAAAAAGGAAAAGGGGATAAATAAGAGACATTAAAAACACTCAAAAACCGAACAATAGATAAATAATAATAGAACTTGCAGAATAATACATTTAAAGTTTTATTTGTAAAAACACATCTTGGACAAATATATCTAATAACAACAAAGCAAACCAAAAGCAAGTTTCGGCAAATCGAACTTATATTTCTTTTTAGCTATTACAAAAATTAAATATGATTAAACGCCTATATTTAAATATTTTTTAGTATTCTTAAAATTTTTATAACAACCTTATTTTTCAAAAACATTTTTGTAAATCTTTCTTGTGATAAAAATGTTGTTTTAAGTATTCAAATTGGTTATAAAAATATTGTTACTTGTATATTTTGATTTAACAAAACTTTTTTGGCAATTATGTTTATGCATGGGTAGCTTAAAGCTACTCGTTTTAAATACATTTAACAATATTAAGTACCGTCAAAAATACAACTTAATTTTTCAAGCTCACCTTGGCATTCCTGAGCGCCACGATCTTCTCATCCTCGAAGCGCAGCTGATCGTACTGCTGCTTGGAGATGAGCAGACCTCGATTGAACTCGTCCTCCATCTCGGCCTCCAGTTCCTCCGCGTATTGCTGCTTGGCCAGGGTCAGACTGATGGCATCCTCGCTGATCACCGTCTCATCGGAGACGTCGGTCACGTCGTCCAGATACCTGGAATGTGCCTCGCCTTGGAGCTCGTCGTCCTCCAACGAGGTCTCTCGCACTAACTCCACACTGGACCGATGGGCATCCTCGATGAGTTCAGTCAGCTGTTGAGTGGTGACCGCCATTTTTACATCCTTCAGTTTGTCCTCCAGCTGGTTGCGAATACGCAGCTCGGTTTCGCGGAACTTTTGCCTAATGAGGTATAACACATTTGGTGTCTTGTAATAAAAGAGTAACATATTTAGATAATCCTTACCTGGCCCTCACTATATTCTGTATATCCTGCGGATCGGATGAGAAGGGCTGGGAGATGCGTAAGGAACGCTCCTTCATTTTGGCACGCTCCTGTTCGAGGAACTCCTTCAGGCTCTTTTCGCACTCCCGCCAGTCTTCGTTTTCGATGCTGTAAAAGTGGGGGAGTTTTCCTTTCATTAGCCTCCATTCTGAAGCGAACTCACTAAACATTCAACTCATGCATATTAATGGGGAAAAAAGGAACCACGTTTAATATTGCGCACTGGGAACGAAACGTTTCACCATCATTTTGCGATACTCTTTTTCGAAAGGGGTTTGATATGCTTATTATTGTTATTTTTATAAAAACGTGCCATAAACTCATAAACCTTAATTCTGACTGATTTGTCAAAAAGGTATCGAAATAAACCTTGGTATGTACCGAATATCAAACATATATCAGTAAAATGTTATTTTGGTACTTTTATTTGCAGCATAAAACGCTATATTGGTTACCAAAATATCCAACTACGATATTTATAAATGTTTATGGTAATATGAGAATGAAGCAGATAATATTTATTAGGAATCGCCTGATAAAATTAGGATGTATTACTAAAGCAAAATTAAAACAACGATTTTTGTTCAATTAGCCAATGAAAATTGGAATAATCATATACAAAATTTGCATATATCAATGTATTAATATAAATAATTTTAAAACGTAAAATGTAAAACTTAATATACTTTTAAGGATTTTATGTTAAGCTAGAAATACTCAACAAATGAGCCAAATCGGACCAGAATTCTTCAGCTATACTGTACAATATACAATATTAACATTTATATTAACATTTAAATAGAATTTCGAATAGCGCTGTATGTAGGCTTCTTTTTTTCTTAAAATTTAAAGAAATTTTCCTTTATGTAAACTAATCTTTTCTTGGAACTAAGAGCATGCAGCCTTGGCCTACGATTCGCCGTCAGCCCCCCACTTTCCCACCCCCAACGAAGGCCGTTTAAGCCAGTGGGTTCATCTTTTTACAATACATGCATCTTAGCCCGCTTTTTTTCACAACTTGGTGGGGATAAAAAGCTTCCCAGAAGGCGTCGAGCGTCAACGTGGAATAATGTAACGTTATTGTTCCTGTTCCTCCTTCTGTTCATTTTTAATTTTGCCAACGTTAAATGGCGGCGGACTTTAAGTGACTTACCGCAGCAGGTCCATTCCCCTTTCGGCGTCCTCCGTCCTGTACTGTTCCACCAACAATTTCTGCTGGCGGTGCCGCTCACGTTTCTTGGCCAGCAGTTCGGCTTCTTTGGCGGCGTGTTGGAGCCGTTCCCGCTCCCATTTCACGCCCTGCAGCTTCAAACGCTCCGCATTCTTCTCTCGAGCGGTTTTCAACTGCTCAAGGGAAAAGAATATAATTTAAATGGTGTTCGGTTTTACAAATTTAACCCCACCTTGGAGCGCTCCTTCTGGATCTCCATGTTGGCATCTTTGTTGACCATAAATATGGGATCGTCGGCCAGTTCGTCTGGTATCACATCCGACTTGCCCTCGATAATCAGCATACGTTCGCGTTCCACTTCCTTTAACTGCAAAAAACATTATTTTTAGAATTTTCTTATATTTTTGGAGTTACTTCGAAGTAAAAACGGAAAGCTTAATCTTAATTAACTCTACAAATTTTAAATACAGTTGCTGTATTAAATATTCATTATACAATATGTTAAAAAAATACTTATAATTTACTAATAAAAATATTTGCACAAGTTCCTAGTCTGTTGTAGGCACATCGTTTTTCCATCAAAATCAAAAGTATACCATTAATTTTTCCAGATGGACAAATTTAATTAGACCACATTAAATTTATTAAGTGCCACACTGTTAGTTTTATTATCTAATAAAGTCTTTTGATGACAGAAAAAGCCGATGCCGATGAAAATGTTGGAACTTTATTAACGGCTGTTCTGCGGTTAATATAAAAGGTAAGTCTGGAGAAATGTGGGTGGCGTAAAGCCTCTTAGTGGCTTATACATTTTTTTTGGTGCTCAGGCGAAGTTTTTGTTGCATTGTTTTCAAGTTATCAATTTTCCAACCCCAACAACACTTTTTCCACCTTTCAACTGCTCTTTTTTTTGCCGCATTGCGCAGCAATTGATGGAAATGCAATCGGAAGCGTCAAGACAGTTATCCCATTGTCCCTTTTCTCATTTCAAACTTCAGTCAACTGCAATTGCATTTAAGGACATGTCGGACAGACAGATCTCTAAGTATCCGTATCCGCAGTGAAGCACTCTGTACTTCATAGTTTTGGCCCCTCGCATGTCTCACAGACATAAAAGGCAACTTTTGCTATCTTCCTCCCCGAACTTCCCTCTGTTTCTGGTCTAATTTTTATTACTTTGACGGCTTGGATTTGCCATTTTCATGTCGGAGGCTCATTGGATTCAATTGTTTGTGCTTTGGCTGGGCCCCCTGGAAAACAGAGAATAAGTAGGCGGTGTCGGCGTCATTGAAAAACTTTGGGACACTTTCGCTGCGCTCCCGTGAAAAGGGAAACTTGAAAAGGGTAGCATGAAAAAAAAATCGCAGCCAATAAACAAGCGAAGAGATAAAATACACAGCTTTAGACTATGAGATACCGGATACTATAGCAATGGTATTTATTTGCAGCTGGGAAAGAAAAAGAGGTATAAATATTCCTATGAAATGCTCAATCCTTTTACCGCACACCTTTCTTCCCTGTTAATATGTATAATATAAATTTTATACAATCAAAGATTATATTATATTATTTGAATTTCTATAGATTGACAAATTTATGTTGATATACAAATAAAACTATTGAATGCTCACAGTTAATTTAAATTCAAGTGTGGTCCTTAAGCATTTTATTAAAAATGTTTGGCTAAAAAACCAATCTTTATTTGCAATTATGTTTAATAAGGAATTTCTTAAATATTTCCTAAAGAAAACCAATACAACCCGTTATCACCCTCGGCCATTGTTGTTGTACGTGACTCTCCCTGGCCACAAATTTGTTTAGGACTTTCGTCTCATATTTTTCCCTCTCTAAACTTTATAAAAATTGAATTACCAGCCAAACAAATTGGTCACATTTGTGTCTGGTTTTTTTTGTCAGGGGCTAATTGGGGTGCCCGTATTTTGGGCTTACTTACCTCCCGGGCGCGAATGCGGGACAGAAGCTGTTTGCGGTAATCCTCGTCGATCCTTTCGCGCAGCTCCTTCATGTAGGCGCGGTCCGTCAGCTTGACCACATTGGTGCCCATTAGACGCTCCAGGCGGGCGCTAATGCGCGGCAAATTAAAACTGAAAATGAAAAGTGAACGGCAAGCAGGATTTTTGAAAAAAAACGTATACTATTATAATGAAAGGAAGAAATGGGGGAAAAGTCAATGTTAATGACCCATCCAAATGTAAGTCAATAAATTCTACGCTTAATTACGGGCTCAACCTTCGCCACCCCACTTACCCACACCTAGGTGGGAAAATCCCACATGGGTCGTCCGCTGAAGGCGTTTTAGCGCTTGTAACTGTTGGTAACGAATGAGGTCGGGCCACATTCTCGGCCTGTTACTATAGCGCTTTTCACTCGCTGCGTTTGCCAACTGCCGCCAGTATTTTATTTTGGTTGCCAAACACCCGAAACCGACAACACAAGGACAAGGAGTTCATTCTCTGACTTCTCCAGGTTCCGCACACCACTTCGATTACAATGGGCCAAATTAAAGTATTACAATATTTTAATTTTAAGAGATTTGAAAAAGCTATTCCAAAACTAAGAGCGAACCAACTTTTCTTGCTTAAGTTTTACAGTAAATTTTGGTTGAAAGATGCAATTTAATACTTTTTATTTCAACTTCAATTAGTGACAATTTAATGTTTGCAAAAATGATAATACATTCTATCATAAATATTTACATAAAATATTTAAATTCCGTAATTTTTGAGATTAGGTTATGACTTAAGCAATTTCTAACTTAGCTCACATTGCCGTTAATTTAGCCAATTAAAAAATATATATATATAATATTTCAAAATGTTGTTTTTAGTGCTTATAATTTAGTCATACGAAACGGGGTTATATTTTTGATAGCATAGGTGAAAATATGCATTAGTTTGTCAAGAATTCTTTTGTCATAAAGAAAATATTTTATTTTTAATTTGGCTAACTATCATTCCACTGTTCTCCCAACTTTGCCTTATATTTTTCACGTGATATGCACACCAGCCAAGAAGACTAACAACAACCATATAAACCTTACCCTCCAGCACCCCCAAAATTTAGCGTAATTTTAGACATGCAGAGCAGAGTGGGTACCGCAGTGAAGGGAAGGGCTGGTGGGGGGAGTTGGGCTGCCTAGAGCTATAGATGAGCGGTGGGAATAGCGGGGGAAGACTGTCTCGGCTCGTCAGACTTTCAGAATTTCGCTAGGCTTTTTAGCAATGGCTCACATGGTCTTTCATTCGTTCTTCTTTTTTGCGGTTCTATATGGTAAATAGGTATTTTATTTCTACATGCTATAAAGCAACTTAATGCAGGCAGGTCATGAGACTTGTGTACTCATCTAACAAACATAAACCCGTACTCGTGCCATGTGTATTCAGAATGCCATGGGGGGGATTAGTCAGCTCTAGTTAATGCTTGTCGTTTAGTTGACAATTAGATGGGTTAGTTTATAGAGATTGCCTGACTGTGGTTTTTCCTTGGGCTTTTGGATCAGAGCCAAGAACGCTATGTCTCCTCGTCAAGCACTCAATCAAAAATCGCTCAATCTATCGCACGTAAAACATTTTTAACGGATAATACAATGTTGTCTTTGATGTCTCCACCAAAAACGTAACTTGCAATAGTTCAAAGTCATCAAAGTTCAATTCAATCAATTTCCAATCGCAGGAAGGTGAAGAAAGTATGATTCCTCCCTTGTTGGCATTGACATTGATAATGAAATTTCAGGACATGAATGGGTGTTTTCGTCGTATCAATAACCCAGCTCATGTCACATGCTACATGCATAAATTACGTATACGCTCTGGTGGCCAAGGGACTGTGGTAAGAAAGCAATCTGTCATGTCTGTGCCCTAGAAAATCCCCCATTTGCGAGTCCCGATTTATGACCCGGTCGCCTCCATAAACAAGCAAACCCTTTCGTTCGTGATAGTTCCTGCGATAGTTGAAATCTTTTTATTGCAACTTCCGCGAAACTTTCCGAGTGCAACTCCGGTGACATTTGCAACGGTCGCATCCGCCGCTGTCACGACTGTTCAGGTTGGTCATGATTTACGGCTCCACCCACCTGGCAGTCCCGCTGGCATTAACCCATTTGCAGGGGAGTGCGTGGGCCTTGAGTGGGTTAACGCATATCCGATTGCCGTTACCCATTTGTGGCACTATTCAGCTCAATAACGCATTAAAAACGGGCTATTCTTTTTTTGTGATAGTATTTGTTTTTACTTTAGTAGTAAGTGCTGGCTGTGAAAAAGTTTTAATGTATATATGTATGTATATTCAGATCCATACGGTATAAAAAATATTACAAAAATACAGAAGCCAATCATATGTGGAAATTTGTGATCAGAAAATTAACTGAATTTTTATATGAGTTTTTTAAATGAAGGAATGATTAAAGCAAAAAAAAGTTTTAATACAGAAGAATTTAATAGACAAGCAATGCATATTTGAAATATTTAATTGAGTGACTAAGAATAGGGTGTGACTTGAAAATATCTTTATTAAATATTAATCATTCGTTAAATATTTTTTGGAGACAGTTTTGAAAGTATTTTTCTTTGACTGTTTTAACAAAGCTAAAACAACCAAACATTTAAAACTACAAACATAAGGAGGCTTTCCATTTAGCCTCCCTTTCTCCACTACCCCACAGTCGTTGGAATAATGTGTCAGAAAGGAAAGGTCCCATTGATTACATTTATGACTTAATTAGCGGCATTTCTCAGCGAAGCATAGAATCATATTAGTTTACAGCCTTGCCGTTCGCTGTCATCGCCTTTTGAAGGCGAACTATAAGACCAGAGCGAAGGATATGGGGGTAGCAGAGCGAGGAACAGGACTATGGGCTTCTGCCAGTATGCAACGCTAATTAATGCCATGGACGTGCATAAATTTGCCGAAGAGATGACATTTATGTCCTTTGCCATTTGGCCATTAAAATTGATAATTGCAACACGTAGCAGGGGAAATAAATATTTCCGAAGTGCGAGTGCTGCAGCGGAATATTGAAATGTCATTCGAATCCCGTCAAACAATAGTTACCAAAATATAAAATATTTACGATTGACTATTAATTGGTTGCATTAAATGGTACAAAAAATTTTTTAGTTTATTTATAATTAAAATTATAATAAAACAAATAACAGAAATTGGCAGGATATTTTCTTTTTACTATAAAGTGATAAAACTTACTTTCTTAATTGAGATAAATTGTGAACAATTTAAATTTCAGTTATAAAAAAAAATGTAATATTATTATTGAACACATACTATACTAAACTATTACTTGATTCTAGTTGGCCTTTTTTACCTCTCCTCCGGCTCCAGAGTGCACTGAACAAAATCGACGAGGAAGTCCTCCTCGATGCTGATCTTCATCATTGGCACTGCTTTTTTCGCTTTCCTCCCTTTCGAAGGTTTTCCAGCCATGACAGGTGTGTGATCCAGCAGGTGTTCACTTTAGTCCCTCATTTTCGCACCGATTCGAGCGGGAACGCAACCTGCGGAACTTTCACCCGAACTCGACAAAGGCGGCCGGCGAATGTGGCGCCCTTTTCACAGGACTCGATTCCTTGGGCTGCCGCTCCTCGTGTTTTGTTGTTGACACACACGTGTGTGTGGCGTCGAGTGGCACGTGGGAGAATGTAAGCCAACCCACTTTCACTTTTGCTCCCAAACGTCTCACGATATCGCGTTGCCACCAGAACCCCCATTCCGATTCTGAATACGAATCGGGTTTCAAGTCTGTTTCCTGTTTCAGTTCACCCATCGCATGTTAAAGCTTTTAATGTTAGCCGTAATGACATGACACCAATGTCAATATTTTGACAAAGTTTACGACGTAGTGTTGTATCAACAAGTTTTGAACGAGCCGTGCCACAAGATTTTCAGGGGACTTAGAAGAGGTAGGGGATTTTATTTTTTAAGGGCTGATTTAACTATATCTACAATAACTAAATTATATGAGGTTAAGAAGGTTAATCATAAACGCAAATTATTTTAAAGCCTGAATGCCAAGCAAATTCGCACAAATAAATTCCCGGTAAACATTTAAAATAAGAACATGATCTTTCGGCTTGAATATAAATAATGATTAATTGGGTAACAAAAGACCTCTCCGTTAATTCCCGATCCGCGTTCCGAGTATTTTAGATTATGTGTTCTTACACTGACAACAAGCTTATCCAACAACTGATCAGCTTGATCCTAAAATTAAATGTTTTTTTTATAAATGTTCGTATAAAAATATCTCATTATATTATGACAAGCACGCATTTTATTTGTTAGAGCGATTTGCACTACAATACTAGTCGACGTGTGTGTAGCGACAGCAGTTCTTTACTGTGTAATTTAACTTTATTAAAAGCTATAAAAGGGAAGTCTTGTAGTCGAGGTAAATAACCATTTCGGAACATAGTCGGTAAAGTATAAAAAAGGCACAGGGGAGTCTAGATCGTTCAGTTTGTAAAAAGCCTGACGATGGGCACGAACTATTTGATTTTATTTGCCTCTCTTCTTGGTGAGTTTTTGTTGAAAAATAAAATATAACTAATAATTAATTTTTGTATTCTGTTATTAGTGAACCAAGTTCGGGGACAATGCCAATTTACTTTCAAAGAACTATATGGCTCTAATGGTGCCTTCACATACCATGATTATAAAGGTAATCTTAAGTTGCAACTATCACCAATTGTGAAGGAGGACGTAAGCTTAACAATGCATTGTGGTGGCGAAGAAACCCATTCAATCAAATGCAAAAAGATAAGGGAAGATTCATCTTTCAACCTCAGTTGCCCATTCGGTGCATTGAAACACTTCCTGAAAGCACGGTCATACGGTACAATGGTGATAAGAAGGTTTATGCCGATTGTAAGGAAACAATGTATTCCATTGGACATAAAATAAACGGAAAATTTCTCACGTTATATGATGCGTGCTATGATACTAAGACTTTGAGAGCCATTTTCACACAGGCAAGAGTATACCCCCAGAAAATTCGTGAGTATATGAAATGTAGAAGGTACAAAATATACATATTATATTATTTCAGATCTCCCACGTCCCACAGACTTAATGTTTGCGCCGGCTCCAGTAATGTCGGCGAATGATGCATATTCGTTTTTCCAAAATAATATATACAACAGATTTGTAAAAGTCTTTGGAGTTAGGCAGTCCTACATACCCAAAACAGGTTTGGTTATTAATCGAGGACACTTAGCCACTGCAATGAATTTTCTTTTTGAGGATCAAATTAGATCGACGTTTAAGTTGGTAAATGTTGTGCCTCAGTTCGCCAGTATAAACGAAGGAAATTGGTACAAAATTGAGAAATGGGTGCATAATCTGCCATTGGACAAAAACGGACTGATTATTCGCACGGGGGCCTTTGGAACTCTAAAACTAAAATCAACACTGAAAAACGAGTACAAATTTGCCACTCTTCTTGAACCCGCAAAAAACCCAGTGCCCGCGTGGATATACAAGAATATAACAAAAAGCAAGCCGGACGGGACTGGTACTCAGAGCATTGTGTTCCTTACCTACAACAATAATATTGAACTGCCAGACAGAACCTATAATCAATTCTGTTATGAAGTAGTTTGTCCGCTGAAATTCGAAAAGTCGCCTAAAGCAGGCTTTACTGTGTGCTGCAATGCCCATACGTTCCTTAATGGCCTTACATAAATTGTTCACCATCTTTTTTTTTTAATTTTTCATTTAATATTCAAATAATATTCAAAGCCGATAATTAGAGACGACGGAACCACCAATGAGTTCCTCACGCATGATCATCTATAAATTTAACAAGTGTTACAGTTTCCGATCAATTTGGACAGACTACCTGCGACTGCAGTGACTTTCGGCTGCGAAAGAAATTGATATTGGCTTTCTGTTTTTGTTCTTGACCAAATAAATAATTGTTTTGCATTGGCATTCAGAGCATGGAATTTAAAAAAAACACAAAGGTATTTTTTCTGGGAGGTGAGAGGGATTAGAAAACCATTTCATTTAGACTTTGTTTATGGCCAACAACTGTCGGTGTTTATTTCACCCTTAGATCTCCTTTTTCCATGACTCTTTGTTTAAGCAAGTTTTTCGCAAGGGAATGGCGAACTATTCGTTGGAATAGGGAAGGGTTCCGAAAGGTGGAGTGGATGAGGGGTTGGCTTTTTGAGGTGGTGGAAGGCAGTTTCACATTACCGTGAAACCAGATAACAATTTTGCTTTATGGCCGCGTTTCATGCCAACGAGACATACAATAATTTCCTCTAATCGACTTGGAGCGAAATTGAGCAAACACTTTGTCTCGAGTTGGAGTCACCCGGTTGGGGTGTTCTATTGTTTGGTGGCTAAGCCATTTGAGATTTCTATATTGCCTGATTGGTGGTACCCGCGGCACTTTAACTATATGCTAGCCAGTGCTGCTCCCTTTTGAGAGACCATTCTTATTTATAAAATGGGAATTAATAATCAAAACAGGCATGAACAAACTGGTGGTTAAGTATATTTGGTTTGCCAATTAAGAAATTCAAGAAATTAAGCTTGCGATAACTTGAGTTTCATGAGAAAAGCCTATCATAAAAAAATATTCCAATATCATAAAAAAATATATATATTTTAAATAATTATAATAACTGGATATTTATAAAACCTTTTTTGATCTTAAACCAAAATATGAACAAAATTAGTTATTTAATAAATGTTGAATAATATATAAAATTTCTACTGGAATTTATTAATATCTAAGTAAGGGCAGCACTGATGTCAGTCACATTCGGAACTCGTCAGCAAGTCTTTTTATTTCCGGTTTGCCTCAAGGCCTTCGCTAACTTTAATTGCAACGTCTTCCGACATCGCGAAAGGTGCTCTTAGAAGCCCGACGAATAACTTGGATTACTCGTTGCTATTCTGATTCCTTGTTGAAAACAGAAAATTCACTTTCAATTGATAGTTTTCTTCGTCAGCTTTGAATATTATTTCCTAAATGGCTATTTATTCTTCCAGAATACGGGTAACAAATTATTTTTTTAATAAACTCCCACTTCCTCTTCCAATTTATCCACTACTTGTCAACCACAATTTGAGCAGGTTTCTTTTGGATACAGCTTAATTTGACCCCTAAGTCCAGAAAATAATTCTTTATTTGTGAAATACTAAAATATTGCATTTAAAATAAGCACTTAACATTACATTTTTATAAAATGCAAATAATGCACATAGAAATGCTTTTCATCATTACTCATATTGGTTGATGTTTCTGCTAAGCTTTCTATAAAGCTTTTTTAGTAGCTACACTTAGAAAAACCTATTGGGTAGCTTTAAAGTTTTTAAGAAGAATAATAAAAAAGAAGAATAATATTAATTACTAGCAAAATTTTGTTGACATAAAAATTGATAGGTTTAAAAAAAAGTTAAAATAAATTAAGAATTTGTATATTTTTTTCTTATTTGCATTGGAAAATCAACATGGCCATATATACGCTTATTATTCGATATATAGAATATTACATTTTTATTTTAAAATAAACTTGTTTGATATGTTATTAAGCGTTTTAACTTAAATCAATTAAGCTTTTAAGTATTGTAGAACAAGCCAAAACCCTATTTTAGCCTTACTTGCACTTGACCAAATCCTGAAGGTCTTCCGGCGACAGAGCGTACTCGGGATCCAAATTCGGAGCATTACGTTTCCGGCTGCGATGCTTTCTGCCATGACCGGACGGACTTCTCGCTCCAGATCGGTCGGCCAAGGCGACATTGTGGTCGGTGCTCTGGAAACTGGTACTTATGCCAGGATCCGTGACAGCGATTAAGGGAACACTCGAGGAGCGCTCCTCGGGATACTTTACAGTCGTTGCGGCTGCTCCGCCCGCCAATTCCTCAGCCTTTGCCTTCTCAGCAAAGCTATCCCGCCGCCAGGAGGGCGTAAGGGTCCTGATCACATTCTGGGTGTCCGCGAAGCCCTCGTAGTTGTACTTCTTACGCAGGCTGAGACCCGAAAGATACTCCAACGTTTGCCAGACGTTCATCTTGTTCGCACTGTACGAAGGCTCCTTGTCGACTGACCAGCGAGCGTTGCGTGCAATCCTTTGGGCCAGGAGCATAGTCACCGTGGCACATCGCTTGCCCGGCGGAGGAGGAGCCCATTCCCGGGACTCGGATAGTGCAACAGTTCCTACGGCGCCCACCACACCGATAACGGCGGCATCAGACTTCACAGCTGTGAGTGACATATGCGGAACAGTTTGTTTAGGCCCAAATTGAAATGTAATTAAGTTTCCGATTCCGTTTAAAAACTTCGTCCTCATCCTACGACAACCGAACTTTGTATGGCACACGATTCTGGGTGGGATTACCATCAACGTCGGCGTGTCCGTTGCGTGGCAGCCACGCGTTCGTACTCGCTGTTTATTGTATCCATTTTGCGCCATTAAAAATAATATCATTCTGATTGAGTGACGCGCCGCTTAAGTACTTTCCTTCTTCGTTGTCCTCGCACTGACACCGTTTTCCGCTTTCCTTTTTATTGAACACGCAAAGTGTCGGCATTGCATCGGTGTATTCTGTATAGTATATCCCATTCCCAAATACCTCTTTCATTACCCCGTTCGCGTTTGTTTTCGAGCTCTTTTCCTGGCACCTGGCTTCATTGTGGATACGCAGCTCAGACAAAAGTTGAGTAATGCGAGTGCTAATGGAGGGCAGGATAATGTATATTTTCTCACTTCTTTTTTTGCCGCATAACCATTTTCCACATAAAGGAAAATATTCAAATTTCTTAATTATAAAAAAAAATGTATAATTTAAGTCCCCCATCCAGTCAGCGACGACTCTTTAAAATAACAAAGTGTGGCTTATTTATAAAACTGATTTGAAAATACGAATACTTTAAAAAAACCGGCGACTGTATCATATAGCTGCCATTGGAATTATATACAAATTTATCGGAAAATCATTGTTCATTGTTTTTTAGCATCAAAATCGAAATATAGGAATATTTCAGTTTTGTAAGAGCGTCAAGAGTATATTCATTTTCGGTTTGTGGAAGTTTGCTTCCTTTCTTCTTTGAAGAAAAATTCAGTTTTGGATTAATTTCTTCAGAAGGACAAATGTTATGTAAAAAGACGATTTATGAACTTGAGAAAAACATTATTGTCCAGTTGAAAAATAAGTCCATAAGCGTTTCCCATGGTATAAAGAAATCTTACAAAATTTGTAATGGCCGGATCAAAAAGAACAAGTATGACAATAAAAAATTTGTCATACTTATTTTTATTTTTAATCAATTTTAAAGTAACAAATATTTACGTAATTAAATATGGTTTTCATTCCGAAAAGTCCATGTCATAAATGCATTTTTGCATTTTACCCAAATACATTAAATACACGGTTAAAGTTATCTAATGGCAACAGCTTAGGTAAAAGTTTTCGTTCCCTTAGTTTGAATTTTCACTTAAGCAAGGATCTTAACCTTGAGGGCAAACAATTCATGACTTATCCGCCCAAAAAAGACAACCCGCGAAACTTGAGTGCTCCGCCGACCCAGTGAGAATAACCAAGCCAATTTCCCGTTTCTATCACTCTTGTTCCCCAATTACTTGGCAAAGTTTCGCCGACAGCTGATGGCTGCACTTGCTCCCCATTCTTTCTTGGGTGTTCATTTGCATTCGAGAAGTTGAGCCATCTATCAAAGGCTTCGTTAGCATCGCGTGACTGAACGTGGCCCGGAAATTAGCACCACCCGCGCAACCCGAGAAAGATTTTTGGACAAGTTTTGGGCAGAAGGATGGGTTAGCGATATATAATCTTATCAGACGATGTGATGCAATTGAGTGCGAATGTTTCCCCATCGCGGATTTAATTGCCATGGAAATATTTCAGGGTGTGGTAGGGCATACTTTATGTGTAAGGCTGACAATTTGATGGATGCAATAAAATATTATGGCTGTGGCTGTGGCAAAGAATCTTAATTGAAAACCAGCGGCTGCATTGGCGCCAATCGGTGTCAGAGTCACCGAACCAACAATCAGGCAACTAAAATACACATGGCAAAAGCTGCAATAGTTCCAAAGTTGTGTTTATTTGTATAATGTAAAATATATAATTCTTTAATATTTAAGATTATTATTATATCATAATTAAAGAGTATTCTGATCAGAAATGTTATAAAAAAAATTAGTAAGTGTGATAGAAATAAATTTCTAGTAGTACTTTTCTTAAATAATTAATAAATAAATTAATAACTGTATTTCATTTGCTTAAATGAAAAAAAAAATTTATCCAAATTGCAACCTGCGAAAAGTTCTCCCTGCTTTCTCCCTGTGTGCCCATAAGAACGAAAAAACACTTGACGGCAATAAGTTCTGACACACGTGTGCCCTCCACGGCCACTTCCCCACCACCCACCGCCCACTTAGTTGGTCTCTTGGCATTCAATGTTCTCTACTCACGCAACAATGACATCGGGATCCTCCCACCATTTCTTGTTCGAAGGTTGTAGTAGAAGGCTAACCTGCCTCCAGTGGTTTTTGTGGACCACCTTTGGATTAGTAAATAATTTAAAACTTCTGTTTAATGTTATTTAAAGTGATCGGCCCTTACCTTGTATTTCTTGGGATCGTAGGCATTGTGATCTTTCTCTGTGAACACCAGGCGAGCCATTTCAACTCGACCGAATCCTTCCTAAGTAGAATTTAACGTGATCCTGCTTTTCAAGTCGATATCTCCTCCTGAAGTAAAAACCTTGAAAATATAAATTGTTCTTGTCTGAGATAGGATAACTTTGTTGTGTAGACTGACTGAAGATTTTGTTTTGACAAGATGTTATGACTGTTGAATAAAAGTGAATTATGTTGAAATATTTTAAAATGGTTAGGAAAATGTACAGTTAAAATAAAAAGAAAAATAAAAAGATTTTTTTAATTTTCAATAACTGTTAATAATATTCAATTCATTTAGAATTTATTAGATAACAGTTGTAAGTAAATTGAATACTTGCTTCCCGACTAGAAAGCGAAAGTAGATCAATTTAATTCAATAATGGATTTGTTATTAAGTCCATATAGGTTTTCGAAAAATACTCTACACTCAAATCATATTCCATCTAAATAAAATTTATTATAGTTAATCCATTAAAACTCCTTAGCATTATTTTAGTATACTGACTTCCTTTGTATACAAAAAATTTATTTTTAATATAACAATAAAAATAAGAAGAAAAATTCAACGTGTCATATGGTTTTATAATTTGTATTAATAGTTTCTGGTTTGTTGAGGTATTGCTACCATTGGACCACTTATATCGCATCATTGGACTGCGTTGGCTGCATAGTGATATTCAAATGAAGTTGAGAAATCGAGAGTCGGCGACCAAAATGGATCAATCTGTCGAGAACTGGCGTCGGGCATAATAATTTCAGGGCAAGCTTACCGAAGTGAATATAATTACGTTCTGCTGATGAAATTTTAATGGACAGCCAGTGGTGCAGAATGTGTGTGGGGCGAAGTTGGTACAGTGGTTCTGTGGTGCCTTGTAATTTGCCTATCCATTGTTGTTAGGGGCACCCGAGAAACAGCCTCACTCTGAATTATATAGATTGAAGTCATGGTTATGGATTGACCGAAGCAAATGCGACCAGTCTTGTTTTTCGTCTTGTCAACCAACGTGGCTAATTGCCGCGCACTTGAATTGTTGTCAATGGGCTGTAGATATAGTTATTGATTCAGGAAGGTCAAGGGGCTGGGGGTATTATGTGGTTTGTTCTCTGGGCCAGTTTCCGCATTTGTGCAGCAAACATACACATGGCTGTCCGATCAGAGAACTGGCCTTATATGCTAAATGGAATTATAGATCGGAGCTATAAAAGCTCTGGGGCAACGGGCAGATGTCAGTTAGTTTCGTTTTAAGCGTCACTGAGATCACAGAAGCCAACATGAAGGTGAGATTTAAGGGACAACGGATAGCTGGCCTAATTAGCTGAGTGGTAACAGAACTTAAGCCAGTTCTTGTTCAAAATTTAACAAAAATACTTAAATCTTGTATTTTTTTAAATAATAGAAGGAATCAAAGAAAAGTTCAATTTATTTAAACAAGCCTCCCTTTTATATAGTAAAAAACAAAATTATTCTAATCATGATTTCTAACACTTTAAATAATTAAAAATCTTTATTAAAGGTTTTTTAAAAGTATGTAAAATGTTCACACAAATTTATATAACGGTTTTATCTATGAACTCTAGTTAAAAGATCAAAATTTGTCTTAATTATATTTTAATTGTTATTTATTGACACTTTATATTTTTCTAAAGGAGAGGAATTATTTAATAATAAGAAAGGGATGTTTGTTCACAAATTAACCACTTATGAACACATTATATTTTAAACATAAAAAAAGGGCCTGTTGAAAATGATTCTATTAAGCTCTTAATACGAACACTGAAAATATGTTTTAATATAGTTAAATCTAATTCACTTTTCTAGTTCGCCGTTGTCGTAGTCCTGTTCGCTTTGGCCTATGGAGTCAACAGTTCGGTGGTGCCGCTCCTGACCTCCATCCACGGAGGAGTGGTGATTGGAGCTCCCGCCGTCGCCGGTTCGGTGGCCATTCAGGCATCGGCCGTTCCCGTTGGCGTTCCCGCTGCCGTTCCCGTTGCCCTGTCTCCGGCCGGACCCGTGCTCATCCAATCCGGTCCAGCGGTGGTTGCCGCTCCCGTTCCCGCCGTGGTGGCTGCCCATGCTCCCGCCGTGGTTGCCGTCGCCGCTCCGGAGGCCAGCTATGTGGCCAAGACCCGTGGAGCCGTCCATGTGGCTCCTCTGCCCGGACATGTGCAGTCTGCCGCCTCCGTGAACCTGGAACCCGCACCAGGCACCTGGTAATCAACTGGAAAACGCCATGAGTTACCCCCACTTCGATCTTGACTCCATTCTACTCGCATCTGTACCACATTCTTTGGCTTTTTTTAGTTCTTTTCACTCTTGAGATTCTTATTTCTTCAACAATCTAAGTCAATCCTATCCAGTCTATCGCTTTCCGCTTTATTCTCTGGTCTATATTTATCCACCCCACTGTTGTCATATGGAAATTTGTTTCTTTTGAATAAAAAATGTTATCAAAACAAAGAACGGAATTTAAGTTGGGAAAATTGTTGAATCGTTGAATTAACACAATTTAACATTTGAATTACTAAAATATTTTACTAACCCATTCGATTAAGCCAAATATCCAATAAGTAAATAATAAATCTCAAACCGGGCAAATCTATAAATGTCTGCAAAAAGCTAAGTGGCCCAGATGCCGATTTGTTAAAACAGGAGTAAGTAAAACGTTAGATATAGCTATTTAAGTGGTCAGGTTTTAGGTTTTAAGCAAACTTTTTTTTTTGTTTTTTAATGCAACTCGCAAAAATGTACCCAAAAAGATTTTGAGTTCAGAAGAATAATTGGAAATAATTCTTACGCAATTACCAGGGGATCGGCTCACCTTTTGATCGTCATTAGAGACCCCACCCTTTGCCCAACTCCCACGCCTTCAAGTCCAGCAAATATTAAGCAGCTAAATGGATTAAAACAATCTCGATCGATGGCCGATTATAGATGCCAGTAATTAATCAATTCCGGGGCCTCAACGCGGCGCTACAGCAGGGGCGTTGACAAAGCCGTTCCAGAAACGAGACGCTGTTGCTCGGCAGCTGGACAACTTTGTTGCCAGCTTGGAAACTGCCTCCGAACTGGTCTCTGAACTGAAATCGAGAGTACTACTCGATCTGGAGCAGGGGCGGTTTGCCTTGATCGCCGCACACTCGCACTTGCAATTATTAATAGAAAAAAAAACTATGGAAAAACTTGATATGGCCGCGATGGAGTTAAGTAATGCCCAAGCTAAGTAATGCAGTTCAAATCCGCCTTAACGCCCACTGCGGGCCATTGAAAGCCGTTAGGCGGTTGTTCCCGTTGCCAATGGGACATGTAGGATTTTATTTTGCCACAAAGGGTTATAAAATTATATTATATTATACTTAAGTCGATACATTTATTTAGGAAAATAATTGTAAAATAAATGTTGTAGGCATATTCAATACTCGAATAGTTTATAAGGGTATTAAATTTATTTAAAAATAAATCTTAAGCAACTTAACTAGTTGAAGATTTCTGTCGGAAACATTTGAAATGATGTTCTACATAGTAAAATACTGCCGCATAAATTCGATTTTTAAGAAGAAAAAATGTATAAAATTATTAACGGTTTGCAATATCAAAAATATTAGTTTTCCATAGCGAAAGCATTTTTTTGTTTGTTTGAAAGGAGTTCAGTAAATATTTTTTGTATATGATCCTAACGAAATGAATTTAAAGTTAATTTAAAAATTAAACTTATATGGTTCATCCATAAAATTCTTTTATAAATTCTAGTCTTATTTTAAATTCTAGGTTATTTAATAATGAAAGAAATAATTTGCATTTTTAAGGGTATCCAATTATTTTAAATTAAATAAGGAGATAATAAATGCCTGACTTGATGCCCCAGCTATTTTGACTGAAAATGGATTAGACCGAAAAACATGATAAGCTAAAAAATGCCGGGGCTTTCAATAAAAGTGTCAATTGGCGCCGGAACGTGAGGCAGCTAAAAGGGGTGGGGCATTGGGGGGCGGGGGACAAGTGGCAGTCAAACAAACAGCAGCTAAACATTTTGCCGGCGTTGTTTAGTGTCGTGTCGGCAGCCAAGCCCCATGGCAATTGGCCATAAATCTAGCCCCAGCCATTCACTTTTTGTTTTCTTTATTTGCAAGTGGGTTTAACTCGATCGACGGCTGCGTGCACGCAAATCCACAAACGCATGACGCAGCCACCGAATGCAACTGGGCCCAAACCACCACCACCACCACACCCCCTCCTTCCACCCCGTTTGCAGTAGAAAACACAGCAAGTTCAAGTTTACGCACTTTGCGGCTTCCTGCTTCGAACGGGTTCAGTGCACCCCGACGCACTTCGCAGTTTCTGGTTTCCACGCAGAATCGAGTTCAACTTGGCCCACTGAAATGCATTTCCGTTTATTTTTGGTCTACGCATTTCGCACTTATGTTGGCAAGGCGAGGGCAGTTTGGTTTTTGGCTTGGAGATCACTTCTGATTGCTACACATACAAATGTAATTTTGCTATTTTTAATGGGGAAAGTTACGTTTTTGTTTTATAATCTTATTCTTTAGTTGGACTATATGTATATTTTGTATATTTCCCATGACCCAATAAAAATAAAAAGAATTATTTTTTTTAGGAAATTCTATTGCTAACAAATACTGAGATAAGATTTTTGGCCTTAATTTAAAATTTAATTTTTTGTTAAGATATGAACTAAAAAAAAAACACATTTTTTTAATCCTTTTTATTTTTAGAGAATAACTATTATTGTTAAATAACATAAACAAGTTATGTAATTAGAAGATAACATATCCATCATATTTACTTAAATTTTTAATTCTAAATTAATATAATAATATATTTTTAGGTGCATGCAACAATTGCATCATTTCAGCTTGCCACTTTTGTGTGGGCGATGATTTATTGAATAAGGTCAGTATTTCAGCAAAGGATAGAGTCAGTTTTGCAGTCGAGTGATTCATTCGCCAGAACAGATCAGAACGAGGCGTTTTCTTGTGGACACTTGCAATCGATTTACAGAGCCAGAAAATCAAACAAAAATAGCTCCATTACTGACTGGATTTCGTAATGCCGCAACGGCACAGCTTTCTTATCCGCACCCACAACTGGTTGGTGGCCTAAATATAGTACGGCTGGCAACCTGTAGCCAAATATTCGCCGCCGAGTGAGCGACAAGTATCTAGCGGGTTGCATGAGCGGCAAACAAACTTGTTGCACACACTCGTTCAGATTGTTTTTTTTTTATGTTTCGTGGCAGCAGCTGGATGGAAAAAAAAGAAGGAAAAAAAAGGGGCCCACAATCCAGACATTCCGCCAGCCACTTGCTAACGTCATAAACACACTAACCAGCCCATATAGAACTCGTTGAATTAGCAACAATTGTATTGCTAAGCTCTCTGTTAGTTGTGACAGTTGTGTAGTGACAAGCGTGGCCACAAAAGTGGTTAATTATTACCCTCACCTAATGACCATTAAGCGTCCGCTTAGCATACTAATTGTAATTGGATTAATTACCCGCAGATCTTGATCGCCAGCTAACGGTTACTGGGGGAATACTTGACCAATCGATTACGTTACGATTGCAATTGCATCATCGGTTCGAAGTTCCAAAAAAAAAATACAGTCTTTTGGAGGCCGCCCACTCGAAAATTCCTTGCCAGAGTCCAAGTGTGATTGCCTATGCAAGCCAGTTGAATTAATTAAGTTCGAACAATTAAAACTTTATAAATTGTGCTTTGGTCGACATCTAGATTTTCTTACAAAAACAGTGTTTTAGCTTTTAGTAATTTTATTAGATATGAGTTCCCTGAATACTTAAATAATTAACTTGTTAACGTGTTGATGTTTTTACCAAATTATTATTTCGGCATTCCGGAAATCCATTTTTAAAATCTAAGCAATAGATTGGAGTAAATAACATATCTATCATATATAAATTAAATTATTATTTCCAGGTATTTCGATATGTTGTGTATATTTTAAAAACAAAACAATTGGCCGATTTTTGAATTCTTGTTGTTCCTTCAACTTTAATTTTACTCCAGTATTTTTTTAAATTTGTATGAAATTGAACAGGTGTGCCAGGTGAACCCGTAGTGTTTATTACACTAGTAGGGTATAAAAACCAAATTAAATAATGAGCAGCAGGCCAGTGGTGTTGGCGGTGTGGGTGGAAATGCTGGTTACCAAATGCTGGAAACCAAATTCGTTGGCTGGCAATAAGCCCACCCCACTGGGTCTCCACCTCGTTGCCACTTCCAAGTTGCCGGTTACAAGTTGCAACAATTGGCAGCCGCCAAATTGAATTCAAGCGTGGCTAACATTGATTTCCCCTCCAAGTCGATAGCTCCCCTCCTCCTCTACACAATTAGTTTCATTCTGCTTATGCGATTTTAATTCGAAATTCGCATTCATCTAGTCAAAAATGGGCGTTGTCAGTCGGGGAGTTGTGATAAGGACCCACCATATAGCCCAGTCTGCGGCCTTAGCATGATGCAATCCAGCGGTGAGATTGCAACAAAGACTGGTGCTAGCAGGCTGCCTTTGTTATTAAAATGCCATTAAAATTGGGACAACCAGTAAATTCAATATACAGACAAACAAATAAAGTCGTAGACTAACTTTGGTTTGTATAGATATTAATAAAACTAACATTAAAAACATCATTATTCACCACTTCTTTTTATTGATGTTGGTTGGTTTTTAAAATAAATAAATATCTGAATTGTGTTTTACTTGAAGCATTTGAACACTTTTTAACAAAACTTATTATAAAATTGGTGAATTTTTTAAGGTTTTTTTTTAGTCTTCAAAAAATTTGTTTTTAAATATTTGTTAGATATAGAAAAAATTAAAATTCTTTTGCAAGATAAGTGATATTAAGTGGTATTAACCAGTTACTTTTTATACAAAATATCTGGGAAATCATACATAAACTTTATTTATATATTTCTTGTTAGCAATTGTTAAGCTCGTCATGTTTGACTGTACCTACCTGGCGCAAGTTGGCGGGGCACACGTACGTTGCCATTGTTTGGGTTCGGGCTGTGCAACTGCCACAGCGTCAATCTGATTTATGCCACTTGACCGGAGTGCAGCCCGTGTCCGCTGTCGCACCGCCTTAGAAACATAACGCTTTGCCGCTCGGACGCCTGCGCACTCGCCTCGCAAAGGAGGAATCAGAATTCTAAGCGCAAGATCAATGCCAGCTCAGCTGATCGCAGATCTCAATTGAGCGCGTTGCTCATGCCGGGCCAATGGTTCTCCGGAATTCAAGGCGGGGCAGTAGTAAATGACGGAGTGGGCGTTTTCATGCTGTGCACCTGGTCACAAAAAATGTACATATGCAAATATTTACAAACAACTGAAAGACATTAAGAAAAACTATGTTGATTTCGTTTCCTTAAACAAATAAAGAAGGTTCTTCGGCTTTTAAATATGAAAAGACTTCGGAATCTCACAAAAAAAATGAGTTTTTGGTGGTAGGCTTGATAAACTCACACCATCATTAATTTGTTGGTGATCCAAAAATGTTTTCATGCAGATAGTGAACCTTTATTCAGAGCACCTGGTCACAGAAAATATATGTTTGCAAACAGGCATTTAAATAAAAGGCAAAACATTAAGGCAAATATTAGACAAGTTTCTGTTAGACCTTGTAGCCGACGAAGTGACGGCGACCGATGACCTCGCCCATGTAGAACCAGGTAATCACCTCCACGGTGACCAGAACATTTAGCCAGGCCTCGCTGACGGTGACCTGGCCGATTCCAGACTTCTTTAGCTGCCCCTTCATATCCTTCTTGGAGGCATTCTTTGCTGACTCTGCGGTCTTCTTTAACTTCTGGAAATCAGCGGGCATCGGAGGTGATAGCTCCACCTTGGCATATTTCCAGAATTCCTCGAGTTGCGGACGTGCTGCCACAATCACCCCTGTGTAATACCAAAGTGTAAGTGTATTTTAGTTAAACTAGTAGTGACAAACTTACTATTGGCAAGGGCCTGGGCCTTGGCAATCAATTGACTCATTTTTATGTACAAAAATAAAACAGGAAATACAAATTACTGATTTCACAATTTTTTTCGACGTAACGCTCTCGTAACAAGTTATCAAACTGAGAGCTGTCAAGAATAATTTGGCACTTTAGCAATAGGCTCCGTTACACCATTGGATATTAAAAAGGTTGACAGACACTGTACGATTTGAGGCCTGGATGTTAACTACATATAAATTTAAGACATTTTATACAGAAAAAATTGAGAGAATTTGGAAAAAAAGAATACAAAATATTCCCACATAATATTTTAAAAATTATAAATATTCAATAAATCATTTTCAAAGTTGTTTTTTTTGCTAATAAAACAAAACCATAAACGTGCGCTAGAAAAGGCTTTATCTTTTGGTATGCATGAGGTAGTGCCATGCAAATGTGTTTAAAAAATTAACATAATTGCGGCCGGGTTGAAAGTAACCTGCGCCAATTATGCGATTTGCGGGCGATAAACTGACCGATCATTACCAAACCGACAAGATGGTTATTACTAGAGCCTACTTGCAATAGCGAAACAATGGGAAAAAATAGAATAGGAAAAAAGCCAACACGCCCTAAAAAATTGGCCTGCATTGTCTGCTGGTCATCGTAATAAAAATCTCATAATTTGCAATAAAATGCTGACTGTTTCGTCATCAGTTGGGTGTAGGAATTGGTTGGCATAGTGCATATTTTAGGCAAGCTGGTTTGTTAATGAAGCTCTAATAGGAACGAGGTGAAGGGCTCGTTCTTCAAATGAAAATTGCTCTGGTTTTTTTTCGAACAGTTGATCTAATTGCGCCAGTTAGACGACTATGACATTCCACCAATACCCGTTACTGGGCCCTATGCATAATCATATTGGATGTGATTAATGGATCGCATATATTTTTCGCTGCAGCTGTCCTCTAAATGGTTTCAGTCTCACATTTGGCCAGTTTGACACTCTGACCCAGGTCTAAAAAAAACGTGGCCAATTCTTTTTTGATCTGCATGTCCATGACAATTTCAAGTTGAGTCTGCATTTGGCTGGGGGTTTTAAGCCGAGTGCCCCAAACATGGAAATGTAGTCCACCAATTCGCTTTGCTATTTTGCTATTTTGCATTTTTATTGTTTGCCAATGCTGACAGCGTTTGATTATATTTATTCTTGGGCGTAGCCCCGCCACAATACGAGCATTGCCTTCCTATTTTTGGCGGAGCAGCGGGCAGCAAAAACAAGGCAAAACTGCAGAGGCTAATTGTTTATTTAAAACACTGCGAATAATTTCAGATTTCAGGAATTTGCGTCTGGAAATAATGACCTCGCTAACGTACTTGTTAAATTGCTTAAGAATTTAAAAAATGTTTTTTTTATATTAAATCTTTAGTCTCTTTGTATTAAAGAAAAAATGTAAAAGGTGGGGAATGTATAAGGCTAAAGCTTATCAAACGTCATAAAATTGTAAAATAATATTAATAATGTTGGCCTTCTGTAACTTACTATATATATAATTGTCTACTTTTAAAAATGTAGTCAGGTTTTTCAATTCCCCTTGTGTGATTTAACCTTGTTGTTAAAGGGATTCCCTTTTAACAAAAACTGAATGTGTGAAGAGATAAACCCACCATCGATTACAATATTATTTTTACGGTTGACTAATTGTTTGGCATTTTAAACCTCATTCGTATTATTGCATTGATTAAGTCATTGCAGAGGCTAAGTTCTAAGTCCGCCTTGGGGCAAAGTAATTGTTGTTTCAGTGTAGGCACGCGACTTTATTTTACTTTACCTTACAGAAATTCCATGCCCCAAGCTGCAAACGAAACACTCATACCAACGGAATATATAATTGCAACAAAGAATTCTGAAAGCTAATGCAGCAAAAACTTTGGTCTGTGCCATTGCAAATTAAATGCTTTGGGCCGCAATGCTTATGACTTTTTAAATGTGTTTGTGCTTTATCAATATAATTTGGTGTTTGCGGCAATTTTCCAACCGCTGATTGGGCCAACCGATTGTGTTCGGTACAATATATATGCTTATGTGTGTAAGTGTTTCACCCTCGGCTGTAAATTCTTGTTTATACAGTCGAGCTTATTGAACACGAATTTTGTCGAACTTGGAATTAAATGTTGTATGTTGGTTTAAAATTGTAAGATCATTATTATCGATTTAGGACATTTTTGTACGAATTGCATTAAAACGTTATCTAACAAAAACAAAATTAATTTCAATTAATGCTACAGACTATTGAATTACAAAACTTAACTTATGAAAGGAAGAAGGCTTTCAAGATACTTATAATATAAAATTAAGTGAAAAATCAATTTAAGGATATGAGTGACTCTTAGATGTCTTATTATTATGGAGTTAATGCTATTAACTTGACATCTAGGCACTTAGTTTTCTTTAATAAAGTTATTGAATTAATTTTAAGGCACTTTTTATAAAAGTGTGTAACCAATTTTAATTTAGTACCACATTTTATTTTATTTTTAAGGATTTTCGATCTTAAGTTATAGAAGTTTGACTGTGGTAATTTGCGCAATCATTGACGCCCGCCGCCCCTTTTTTGTGGGAGAGAGGGGTGTGGCTTAGGGGCGGTGGTGGTCAAGTGGGTAGGGGTTGAGAGGGGGGCAGTGGCAGCGGGGCCGGGAAGCGACACCCAAGGCAGAGATCTTCGAGCAGCTGGGCAGTGAAAGGCCAAAACCCGGAGCGGATCTACACCAACCGCACTGGGTACTCCAATTCTGCCCGAGACTTGGGCGTCGGCGTCTCTAGAGCAGAGTCTCTCGCCTCTCTCATTTTGATATATATTTTCTTGACTTGGGGGGCAGGTTTCGGTTTTGAAATTGGAAAAGCAAGCAAAGTCCGCGCCGCGCTTTTCGTATAAAAGTTGCCACAATTTGGTAGTCGAAATCAGAATCAACTCGTTCGCTGAGTATTCAACACAAGCACTTCTCCTTCAACAACCCAACTTCAAAACCCACCCCAAAAAACCAACATGAAGGTGAGGACAACAAGCAGAAGTGTTCTGAGAAAACTTTAGAATTTTCAAAAGAATTTTGAAAATTTTCAAAAAACTTTTCAAGAGTTTTTCGAAAAGTCACGCCTAGTATCCTGTAAGTAATCCAAATTCGAATACCATTTTCCAGTTCGCCGTTGCCGTAGTCATGTTTGTGTGCGCCCTGGCTGGAGCTCAGGCCTCGTGGGCCCAGATCGCTCCTGGTGTGTCCTACGTTAGCCCCGTGGCCCATGGAGGACCTGGTCTGTGGAACGGTGCCTGGAATGGTGCCTGGAACGGTGCCTGGAACGGTGCCTGGAACAACGGCTGGAACGGCGCCCACTGGGGAGGTCCTGCCGCCGTCGCCGTCCATGCTGGTGCTGCTCCTTGGGGTCTGACCGGTGCCGGATGGCATGGAGCTGCCGTTCCCGGAATCAACCTGGCCCAGGGACCTGGTCTGGCCGCCGGCCATGGCCATGAGGGCGTCTATGTGGCCAAGACCCGTGGAGCCATCCACACCGCTCCCTTGGCTGGACACATCAACTCCGCCACCTCCGTGAACGTGGCCCCTGCCCCGGGAACTCTGTAAGTCGCGAGTGCCTGAGAAACTATACCCAACCGATGCCAAACGGAGCGGATGGACGGCAGTATCACTGATCTCCAACTGCTTCAGCGACTCCCCCACGACTCCAACCGGATAAATACCCATCTCTCTCTCTGTACACTTATTGTTAAGCACACCGCTCTTAGTCCCCCCGATACGAACACGATCCTGATCTTGGGTCCTTGTCCATATCCTCTGGACATTTCCCAACGCACTCAGCAAATATATAAGTCCAACAGCAATTACAACAACTACAACAAACCAACAAATGACAGCATGTTAATTTTATTATTTGAGAACTCTTCAAATGCTTCCCATCTGCTATCCTATCTTTCTCCACTCTACCACTATCACTATATCTTTCTATATCTATCACTGTCTGGCATATCGTCCTTCGATATGCCCTGCCAACCTGTAAATATCCCATTGTACTCTAGTAATCTGCAACAATGTAAAGATTGACGAAAGCGTTATAAATAAACTCAATCAGCGTTTTTTATACGAATTAACTATTGTGTTTTTGAAATATGGGGGTGAAATTTGTGGAAAGATCTCTACAAAATGTTATAAGTACATTTACTCTATGTGCTATTTAACATTTAATATAGGCTTATATCAAAATACATTTTTATTTTTAGCTGCCTTTGAAAATACTTTAATATCTCAAGCTGAATTTGTTTTTTTTTTAATTATCTCAGATTGATTTTATTATTAAAAGTTTTTTTTTAACTTTGAAAACTTTTTTTTTTAATTCCCCAGCTTGTTAATCTTAAAATTATTGTATAATGCATAACTAAAACCCTAAACTGTTACATTAACAAATTTTTGAGTTCGTAGGAAGGTAAAATTAATCCTAAGCCTGAATTAAAAAAAACTCGAAGCTTGAAATATGTTTTTACTGCAGAATTCTTTTAATACAAATAGTAAGAGGAATATGAAAATAATGTTTTGAGACTTTGCCTGAAAAGGTTTATACATTTGCAGTAATAATAATAATAGTAATATAGTTTATTTTCTTAAAAGAGCATTGCAGAGAGCATTGCATACTAAGACAAAGCATTGAATCGTTGTAAAACTCATATTAAATTCGACTAAATCATAAGCTCCATATTAGTTAATTATAACCTTCAGTCTTTTTTTGCACCTGCTCGACCTTGAGAAGCCGACAAATTGTTCAATTGATTTCATATCTGCCAAGACTGTCTAGATCAAATGTGTCTTTGTCTTTAAGTGTGTATTATTATAGTGGCAGTCCTAATTTTCTTGGCATTACTATCGGCAATCGCTGAACGGTAGTCAAGTTGGGGGCCAATGGTCATTAGATCGAGTTAATTGGAGCATACTCAGCTCATATGCACGTATTGGGCGCACAGGGCGTATGCTTAATTATGCAAACACTTAGCGCTAATTACAGATCGCACAAAGACCAAGTTTCGGATTCAGTCAGCACCTGGGCTTCTGGTACAACTAAATAATTGCCCCACAGATTAAATTATAGCAGCCGCTAATTACAGATTATCATCGCATCGCAAGAATTCAACTTGAACTTTTTTTGGTGTCTGCCAAGAGTTTTTGCCAAGATTCGAACGATCTCACCCACATTGGCAGCGAAACAAGTTTTTCCTCTTTTGTAAGGCTTTTTGGGCATAATTGAATTGTCTTTGCTGGGCTGCATTTGCACTAAATTTGGATTTAATTGCTGCACCTAATGGGTTTGCAATATATTTATGTGGGCTGCTCCAGGCGGCAGACACCCACACTCCCGATCCATTTCAGCCAAGTAAATGTTGCGCAATGTCGAATCCATTAGGTAATCGAAGGTGGAAATATTTAGGGAAACAGCCTGGAAATTTAAATACGTCTGTAATGGATTTAAGCTTTGCTTATTTTCTAAGTTCAGTGACTAATTTAATACTTGTCAGTGTAACTTTAGAGTTACATTCAAACTAATATCATTATCATAGGAATATTTTATGACTACTTTTTTACTACATACATACATTTTTTTTAAGCTTTCAAAATTAATATTTTCTTACATTCATAGCTTCATTCATAGTTTTTATTTCGAATTTTAAACTTATATCTTATAAATTAATTTAAATATATTTTATTGAAAAATATAACGAATTTAGTTTATTCTGTCTAAAAACCTATAAAATGATTAATTTTCCCATAGATATATTTTAATATCGATCGCTTAAGTGGGAGTTTCCTGGCATATCATTAACCCTTAAGACACATAAATCAGTTATTAGCCGGCCTTATACAGGATACCGATCGCTCCATAATTGTAATCGTGTTATAAATCATACTGAAATGCTAATCGCGCACAAACAACAATTAAGTAATTAAAGTAGCGGTGTGATGGAGTGAAAAATCAACTTACCGGAACTGCAGCTTAAAAGTGGGTTGGGCCACTCACTCAGACAGTTGGACCCACATGGCCACGGAGATGGAAAACACACTCACCGATAATGCATTTCTGGGGCGGTGCAAGTTGTGAGTGGTGTGGGTATGGTGGTTCGCCTGTGATTTAGTTCATTGTGCGGGGTTGTTGGTTATTGTTCTAAATTATGGTTAAATAATTATAGATATATGGTAATGCGACAGTTTATAGAAAACCATTTTAATTTATTTGCTTTTTCAATATTATGAAATCGATATTCAGCTTACCTTAAATTTAGTTAATAGAAAAAGCAAAAGTGCCCATATGCACTTTATGTTTGATTATAACCGGATCCGTCATTTTTTTTAATTTTATGCTATATTATACCGTATGTTAATATTTTCGATAACTAACTTTAAAATATTTAGATTTTCAATACAAGTGTAATACCCTTATACCTTTTGTGATAATATATTTGGTGTTTTTAGGAATTACAGGGTACATTTTGTGAAAGAAACTTCTTATCAGGATTAAGCATTTTGGATCTACATTATTTTTATTTTCCGCCCACATTTAATACAATAACTTAATAACAATAATCATAAAAAAATAGCAGCCGAACTAGTTCTTCAACTTTGCCTGCTTTGAAGTCGTTTAACCTAGCCGTGAACAACCGATCAGAACCGATCCGTTTCGTTCAGATCCAAGGCATGTCATTAGCATTGATCATATGCATGCGGAGCAGTGTCAGCAGTGTCCACCGTGTCATGGTGTGTGAACTCTCACTTTCATGAACCCTCCGACGTAGCGGTTTTCTAAAGCTGATGTGGTCAGCTGTGGGGTATAAAACTGGCCAGCAGCTCCATTGACAGATCAGTTCAGAACAAGAGTTCAATCAGAGCGCAACCCAAAACCCAAAACCAACAACATGAAAGTGAGTTATCAAATGGATTTATCCTGATTAGGTTATAGCTCCGAGCTATAACAAAAAAGTTAAAAAAGAGTAACTCAGCTCTTAAATGGATTAAACTTCAAACGTTTGTATCAATTAACATCCTAAAGAAATTTCCTAATTACAGGATTTTTAATCCTGGGGATGCTGATGTAATCCTAACTAATTAAACAATGGGATGAAAAATATTATAAAGTTTGAAAGCTATTAATATTAAAAATGGTTTTACTATTGCAGTTCGCCGTCGCCGTTGTCTTCACCTTGGCCCTCGCCATGGGCGTGCAGTCGTCTGTGATCCCTCTCCTGTCCCAGGTGGCCGGCCATGGACTCTCCTACACCGCCGTTTCCGGACCCGCTGTGGTGGCCTCTCCCTGGGCCGTTCCTGCCGCCCACTGGCCCGCCGCCGTGAATGTGGCTTCCTGGCCGCCGGCAGCGATCCATGCCCCGGCTGCCGTGGCCGTCCATGCCGCCGCTCCCGCCGTGGTGGCCGCCCATGCTCCTGCCGTCGTCGTGGCCCCGGTGGCCCATGAGGGTGTGTACACTGCCCAGACCCGTGGAGCCATTCACACCGCTCCCCTGGCCGGACACATCCAGTCGGTGGCCTCCATCAACGCCGCTCCCGCTCCCGGAACTCTGTAAGAAGGATGCTATAGAATAACTATAGAATCCTTTTTGCTGATCGGACCCCCCCGCCTCTACCATGGAAACTGCCATTGATGGGGAAACCCCCGAACTAAAAATGGGGGACCCCTCGACACTGTTTTGTAAATACATTGTATATATAGACATATATAGACAGGGTACTCGCACCTAGCACCTGAACAGGATCCCTCCACACCTGTCCCTAAAACTGAACCATCAAAATTTTCTTTCGACCTAAGCACCCAGCCACTTTTGTGGTTGCCTCTTTCTCTCGCTTACCTATTTATTTAGCAAACATTTTCCAAGCATTCCTGTGAAAAACCACTCCAAGCTTTTCTTCGAAGCGAATGCCAAGTGCATTCTGGGAGGAATTGTTTGAATATTTTGCCAATAAAGAAAATGTAACTAAAATATAAGAGTATTAATTTGGGGGAACTCTAAGAGGGGTTTCAAAGGTTTGGGTGACGATATAAATATTTAAGCAAAATTAAGCACTTAATACCCGAGTTATGAATTGTTTGTTAGTGTATCATTTTTGTGATACAAATTGTTTACTTAAGTATCTTGCATTTGTGATCATTCTATTGACTGTTCACAGAGTATTCTGTTTTTCCTTCAAGTTTTTGTATTACACGCATCATCGACCATTAAAAAAGATTAATTGGACTTTAGCATGTAGGATTGGTTTATGCAAGTAATTATCATTTGACAACATAATTGTATCGCACTAAAACGAGCTCAAATTATACATCTGATGGCTTTAAAGTAGCCCGTGAGTGATAAATTCCCCGCAACCACAGTCAATTAGTATACACAGTCCGTTTGCTCCTAAACTATTTTCGCAGCATTGTTACGCCTCTTAATGCATTTGATTGATTCATTGCCTCAAACTGTCACATGCTATTTGCTTATATCTCCACTTCCCCCGACATAATAAAGTGCGATTAGAGCGACGCAATTGAATCGAAAGCTGAAATGTCAAGTTCATGCGCATGCGCAAAGTCTCAAACTGCGTTCAGTGCAAAATACAGGCCACAAATCAAATGAAATCAGTCGGTGCCTTTCACACTTGTTTTTTCCGTCTATATCTTTTGTTTTTCTATGGAAGAATACAACAGTTGTGTGATTTTTCCCTCTATCTCCAGCCCCCCTTTTTTTGTTTTTCCCACTTCAAGTTTCAGCTGCGGTTTACAAAGTATCGCGCTTGTTTTTCACGTTTCTTGTTTCGATGTTGTTGCCGCATTTGGCCGTTGAATGAAATGCGTCAGTGTATCAATAACAGTCCCCCCTTCGACTTCCTAATACATTTTCTCACCACACCTTCTTGTAAATACAGTGAGCAAAATAGTAAGCAAAATCAAGACTTTAAAGAAAATGAGTTTGAGAAACAGATTTATATATATAAATTCACGTTCTAAGCCAGGTCTGTAAATATATAAATTCCGTAGCATTTCACTAGCAAATTTTGCTCTCTGCAAAGTCATGCGATTAAATCGGTAGTATTGAACCGACTGCAATGATTTATTGTACGCCGGCGGCCAAGAGTCAAGCGTCAATCGTGTCGACAGTCTCCCCTTACTTGGTGTGCGACTCGAAAATGGCCAGAAATTTCCTACTGGGCTTCGTTTTGGCAATAGCCGGTAATTGACCAGCAAAGAGAAAATCACACAGAAGTCGCGGGGTCAATACGAATTTGGCGTGCTCTTGTGTTCGCTCATACATGTACATATATGTAATTTAAAAAAATTGATACGACTTGAGGGTTAATAATTTCCACTTTGTACTTAATTTAGTCGGAATAATCGGAATTGCATTTTTCGAAACCGATTTCACATTTGTTAGTGTCTTGTTTTTATGATCCATCTACTGACTTGGTAAGTGTATTGAATTTAGTGAAGTATGTTTAAAAATGGTTTTTTTAACCCCTAATAAAAAATTTCTTAGCCTACTAAAAATGTCTTACTTTAATTTCAACAAAATAGTCTATATTGTATTTTAGCTTTATTTTATTTTGCATTTTATATATCAAATTTATTATATTTTTTATAAAGCTCTTGTAACTTAGGGTCTTTAAAATAGTTCAATGGACCTCATGTTAAAAATAATCAATTTAAAAGCTCTTAAGCTATTTTTACTGTTATTTCTGACTCACTTTACCTGTAGAGCATTTGAACTAGACTCATGCTTAAATCACGCTCTTTCTTTTTGTCACTCTTTCGCATTTCCCCCGAAGAGTAAAAGTAGCATACAGCAGAAAATGCGATAACAGACAGCAGCAACATCTGCAGTAGCAACAGCAACAGCAGTCGCAGCAGCAACACCAGTAAAAACAGCAGCAACATTCGCATTCGTCTGACATTCGGCGACTATCTGGCTGAGTTTTTACTCTTCAGTTTTCAGTCGTTCGCTGGCAGACGCGCCGACAACGTGCGTCGCAGTCGCAGCAGATTCCGATTCGGGTTCAGATCGAGATTCAGATTCGGATTAACATTCGCGCAGTGGAAGTTTGCAGGAGTCTCGTGCATGATTGCAAAAAGTGTCGCCTAAACAAAATATAAATAGAAAAGTGCACTGCATGAAGGTGCATGCAAATGTGAGTTTGCAGATGTTTGAGATTACTAGCGGATGATAACGTTACACGTTGAGTTTACATGGCGCCAATATTATTATCTATATGTGCATAGTCTTCAGGAGGAGGAGAGAAGTTGTAAAGAAAGGGGAGAAATGACGACGGGAGGGAAAGGTACCGCCCACAGACTTGGCCAACACTTGAGACGCCAAGTTTTTGCGTCTTTTCCTCACAAGCAAACAAAAATATTTATGCACACTCAGAGGAAAAATGGCGGAGGACTGTAAATAGTTTTTGATATGAAAATGAAGCAAAACCATTTGTAACATTGATTTAAAAGCAATGTTGTTAAGTGTTCGTTTTACAATTAAAAAGGTCTCTCACAAAATTGTTCAGCCAGGATAGTCCATTTTTTTTAAAGGAACTTTTACAAATATGTATGTATGGGATTAAGGATATTATTATACAATGTCCAGTTATGCTTTTCTCACTGTGCATATTTTGTGTGTGCTTTCCTCTTGGCCATATAAATTTTTTCGCAAATTTATTGCTCACACAAGAGTGTTTGTTTGTAAACATTTCGATTCGACTAATTGGACACGTTCGCCGCGTTCGGTGCACTCACTAATTTACTTATAAATGGAGCCACACCAAATCAACAGCGTCATCGCCGTCCGAAACGCGTGAGCACAAGGGAAAAGCAGAAAAGTTGTAAAGCTGAACATTTCGTATAAATTACACAATTCACACAGTGCAAAACAAAAAACAGCTGATTTTCGAACACTCAATTACAGAGTCCCTCCGTTTTTCATCGCTTTACTTGTTGAAACGTTTTCGGGCAAAAGAGAACGAAAGAGCTGCCTCTAATTCAGCCAATGAGCAATGTCAAGTATACGCTCCGTAGGCCACCGGCATTGTGTGCGAAGAGAGTGGAAGTGGGGGTGGGAAAGAGCGCCATCAGCTGTCCATTGCCCCCGTTCACTTGCCATTTAGTTCGATTCTTTTCTTTTCGATTTATTTTCATCCACTTTGTTTTGTTTCGATGCGATTCGATTAAATTCTTTTCATGGCTTTGTTTTTAAAAATAAACTTCCATTTGTTTTGATTTCCCCTTCTGTAGGAATTTTTCTTTGTTTCGCGATACCGATAATAGGATAGGTAAGGCCCATTTTGTCGGAACCATCGTCAGATTGGCCAAGATAACACAATCTAACATGGGACTTCAAACATTTTCATTTAATATTGAATAATGTTGTTTTTTATATGTTCCCATTTTAAAAATGATTTATTTGTTTATAATCTTATCATCCTTTTTATGATATATACTAAAAGCCTTCTCTTTAAGTTATTATTATAAATGGTTAATTTTATTTATCAAAATAATGATAGAGGAATATTTTTGAGCAATATTATAAAACACTTGTAATATTTTTCATGATTTTTTCACGATTCTTATTAGTAATATTATTTTGGTTTTTTAGGCATTCGTCCCACTGTATATCGCGTATAATCGCTGCACACTCACTGGCTCCCATATACGCATTGCACTAAAAAACTACGTATAAAGACTTATATATTTAATTAAATTTTTGAGTTGAGCCTTTTGTTGTTGGTGCTGCCTATAATTCTGCTTCATTTTACGTCGCTTGAGAACGGCAATCCCCATCGACTAGCATCAATTGTCGCTGAGCATCAGAGCTGATAGCTTGGAGTAATAAACAGCGGGTTTCATTTCGAATAAGATTTACATTTGCGGGGTGAGGCCGCCGGTGGCAGTTAAAGACTATTAGAAGATAATCTGACGTTCAGATTTGTACTACTACTGTTCATCGTGAAGTGACCCAGAAAAACTGCTGCTCAAAAACTAGGTCAGACGACCAAAAAAGACGTAGCAAAACAAAAGCGGAACAAAACGGCATGAACTTGGAACGACAAGCAACTGGGCAATTTTAATTGAGACTTCAGAGTCTCAGGTATTGTGCTTTCTCACCTGGTGGCCACTGGATGAGCCACCATGAAGGGCATCTGCGGCGAGCAGCTTAACAACTTCATGCTCCTGGGCGACTGTGAAAATAGCGAGCATGGGGCAGGACTACCCCATGATGGATCGGAAATGGAGTCTGGAGCTGGAATGGGTGGCAGTTTGGCCTTCGCCGCGCGCCGTATCCGGAACCGACAGGTGCACAGCATGGCCGTGCGATCGGGCAGTGCCTATGACACACTGGAGCGACCCTATAGGCATGATAAGTCTCGGGGTCGTTGGGCCAAATCGGCGGACTTCTACTTCGCCAGCTGCACATTTGCCTTCAGTTCGCTGATCTTCTCCGAACTCTCCACCTTCGGAATATTGCAGGGCGGTTGGTGTAAGTACCCTTTAACATTGTATAAAACTTGTGTAGAAGTACTTTTAGATTGTAGCCTATTATAAGTGCTATTTAAAATGAGTAAACACTGAAAGAAAATCATAATAAATATATTCCTTTTTTTTTTTAAATCACTAAAAATCGATTTCAAAATATTAATATTTAATTTTATGCGAAATACAAGTTTGAAAATTCTAACAAATGCTGTGTTCTTATACAAATATTAAAAACGAATTATTATCCAATTAATAATTACAAATTATATATAAGAATATATATATAATATTTATTACGATTTAAAAGACAAGAAGTACAAACAAGAATTTGAAAAAACAATGTATTTGTTAAATAGAAATTGTTTCGGTGGTTTCGGTGGCGATTCCCACATTCCCATTGCCATTACTTATCAATATAAATTAATTAACTAAAGCAAAGGTTATCAAAGCTGTGTTATTGACGGCTTTTAGCGTTTGCGTTGAATATTAATTACATTTCGCGAGCGATTAGATGAAAAGCAGCGGCTGTGATCACCGCAAAAATCAAAACAACTATCCCTTGATCTTAACTGAGTTATTAGGCCGGAAATTGACGGAGCTTAATCATCTCCAAAACTAGTTTTTCATCGATTTTCCTTGGTAATTGACAGGCAATAGCTAATTACAGAGTTAAGATAAGCTAAATAATTGCACAGTGTTCGTCACGACAAATTAATATAATATATAGTAGTAATGTGTGATAGGTTTATAATAATTAAGAGTAGTCAGGGTTCAACTGGCCATTATATTACTCACAATTTATAAGAAAAAACCCCATGAGAATAATTATAACATTTTCTTAGTAATGCAGAAATTATTTTTTATACAATAATAGATGTATGTTAATCTTTTAAATGAATGTTTCTTTCTTTTAATGATACAAAATATTTGTTTGTGATTAACGCTTTTATGTTCCTTATAGAAACTTATTATAATAATTAAAATATTTATTATATATTTTTTTACCCCTATAGTATTGTTCATAATCGCCTACCTTGTGGGTATGTTTTTGTACTCGCTGCCAATATTTTTGATCCAAGCATTTCTGGGACAATTTTCATCATCTGGATCTATCTCAACATTTCGGGTGGCGCCCATATTCAAAGGTGAGAGTTCTGTACATATTTTGCAAGTGAATATTTTACTAATTCAAATTTCACTGCATACTTTTAGGCATCGGCTACGCCATTCTGATCCTCAATCTTGGCACTCTCACCTACTACAGCATTGGATCTGTTGTGCCCCTCATTTATACCGTGAATTCCCTACACAAGGTGATACCCTGGATGAGTTGCAACAACACTTGGAATACTAAGGAATGTTCCTTACACGAGAATTACGATGTCGATGTGAGTCTTTAAGATTTATTCGGATTACTGTTATTAATATTATGGATTAATAGGATTATAGGGTCGATCCACATTCCACTGTTGAGTTCTTTAGGTGAGTGTTTGATAAAATTCACTTTATATTGATCTTACTTTTATTTCAATTCTCTAGAGCGGCTATTGCCTCTACTGAAGAAAGTTCCGGTTCCATGAGCATATCCTGGTCTATGCTCATAGGGGTTTTGGCCACCTGGCTAATAGTTCTGGGCCTGCTGCTCAAGCCAGTGGCTTTTGTGAGTAGATTATTTGAAATCATATAGTTTTTATTTACCTTTTGTTTTGTTGTTTAGATTGGTAAAGCCTTGCGATGCTCCTGCGTGCTGATGTTTGGGTTTTTTGTGGCTGTATTTCTATACTCCGTCATTCACGAACGAGTTAGTTTTGATACCCTGCAATTTTATTGGATGCCCCAGCTGGATAGCTTTGAAAGCGTCTTAGCCACATCGCGCACCGCCCTCCTGATGGCCGGAGTGGCATTGGGACCCGGATGGGGTAGTATCATAACCTTGTCCAGTTACAACAGCTTCCGCAGCGATGCGGAGAGATTAAGCATCTGGGTGTGTCTTACCCATATCACGATCGGATTGATGGCTCTCCTATTCTGCAATGTAGCCCACGATCACTTTGAGGGTGGGTATATATAATCCATTATTTATAAATCATTATTGTTAATTAATTGTCTTACTAGATCACGTGGGCATGATACCATTACATGTGGATGAGAAGCATCATATGCAGTTCTTGTATCTCTGTTTCTCCTACTTGTTTGGGAGGTTTACCACGACACCAAATCTATGGGCTTTTCTCTTTTTTGGCATGATATTCTTATCGGAAATATGTGCCTTGGTGAGTTTTAGATTTAATTTATTTTAGGAAAAATTTTTAATGCAAATTTATTTAAAAAGATCATTCAAATGATGAACGTTCTGACTGCCCTGTTCGACGAGTTTGAAACGTTGCGATCGAGAAGAAATCTAGTAATTTGTTCTCTGGTCTTCTGCCTCACAGCCTCCTCTGTGTATTTTTGTACCCAGGTGAGTTTGGAACTAACGTTTCTCTGAATGCTTTACGTGATTTTTAAAATCTTATTTTCAGTTGGGCTTTAGTCAGCTGACTCAGCTGCCAAATTTGGCCTTTTTCTCGCACGTATTTTTTTCGGGAGTGCTTCTTTTGATGACCACTTGGGTTTACGGTCGAGTGCGATTCCAATGCGATTTGCAGTTTATGCTGGGCAAAACTATCTCAAGTTTCAAAATTTTCTTTATACGCTTTGCCACGCCCATATTTCTGGGACTGTGTTTGGTAAGTAATGGACTGAAATAACGATATTTTAAGGTATCTTTCTGGCATAATATCATTATATACTTTAAGACCTGCTTATGGAATTTCATGTTTTTTCATACATCTATGTTTGTTTTGACAGTTTCAACTCAGCTTCTTATTTCTGCGCGATAACATCCACGATATCCTGATCTACGTGAGTCAGGGATTGATTCTCCTAACGGCCATATCGTATATGGTCTATAAGGTGTCGCGGACGAACGGCGATTGGCGCCAGCGAATGCAACAGTGCCTTGCTCCACACGATTGGCATCCGGTGGATGCTGATAACCGGCGATTCTACGAGGAAATCATGGGCATCTCCGAAATGCTGGTGATCGATGCCAATGCCAATACCACATAGTGCCTAATTACCGAATACTCTTTAGATCAAAACATAACACTTAAGGCATCGCCACATGACAAATGAACTGAACTGAACTCACTTTTATTATACACCCATAAGCGGTCACACTAACACACTCGCCGACGAGTGATCATACATATATACAGATCATGTGCAAATGGTGATCGTTGATTTTTTAATGGAGTTGTACTGATATTTTCCAAATGTTAGCTATAGTGAACTATAAACTGGTGATATTTAGTAGTTGCCTACTAAAAAGTTCAACAAGCTTCGGCCAAAAAACATTGTTACGAATTAATAAAGTTTTACCTTTTAGCTATGTACTTGACTGTCTAGCCTGTTTCATGGGGGAAAAATTGGATTAGTTTAATGGCTTTTAATAAATTAATTATTCGACACTCAATAAAATCTTAGTATACAAATCTTCTATACAAAATGTACCAGCACTATCAAGCATTGGGCGGAATTGCCTATTAAAATTTTTAAATCTATTAGGTTTGGTACTTAGCCTTAACTAAATTAATTTGAGCAACAAATATAGCTTTTTAAAGCTTCTGAATTAATGATTAAATATACTTCTTTATTATAGATTCAAAAAATTTTTTAGTTACTTCTCTTATCTGCTCAAACTCAAAAGTGGTCTCCCAAAGATTAGAAAGTTTACCAAGGCTATCTCACACAGAGAATGATTCAAATACAAATAAATTAAATATATATTGTTTTAATAGCAATATCAAATTTGAATTTTTATAATCTTCCTGAGGGATTATTCCGTCAACGCAGTGACCCTAAAAATATATTCAGGCGAGTCGATCCTACCATGTCCGTCTGTCTGTTTCTACGCAATCTTGTCAATCAGTTTTAAAGGTACTGGAAACATTGCAAAAAGTTATTTTTTCTGTGCAGGTAGTGTATAAGTCGGAACAGTTCGGATCGGTCAACTGCATCATATATCTCCAAGCAATCGGAAATAAAATTATAACGTCGTTGTTTCCTACAATATATGGGTATATGGGTACTCAAAAATAAAAGGGACTATTTTACGATTTCAGAATTACGTTTTTTGACTATGTCATATATATTATTAATTTCTGGAACAGTTGCAGGGTATATAAACTTCGGCTAGCCGAAGTTTGCTTGCTTTTTTGTTTAAAGTGTAAGTGTTCGGTTTTACCAACTTTAAAAGTAAAGCTTTAAATCAAATAGGCAGGAAAACAGCAGAAAAATGTAAGTTTATTTTACTTATTTTATTAGTTAATCAACGTTTAATTAAAATACACAGGAAAATAATAAATGTTTTCACTTCCTTTTACATTGCTCATTGAGATTTTCCCGCCTTCGATGACGTTGCTGTTGTTTGTCTGCCCACTTTCCAAGCACGAAAATATCAATTTCAAGTTCCGGCATCGAAACAAAAATGATAATGCACGACGACAGACAGACACAAGTGAGACAGTCACAAATTTAAGAGGACTGATAATGTAAATTTAACATAGAAGTTATGGTCGGAGGTGAAAATACCCTTAAGGTGAAAATACCCTTACAACATATGTTGTATGGTTAGTGGCAGAAACCTGCGGTCGCAATCGGATTCAGTTCGCCGGCATCGGTTCGACTAATTAGTTCGTCAATTTAAAGCAAAGCGCTCGCGGATCGTTTGCCGCTTACAAGATAATATTATAATAATACCCTTATCCGCATGTAAGGTTGGATATTGTTTGCATATAAAAAACCAAGTGTTGGCATTGCAACATGGTGTACGAAACATCATATGGCAGCGGCCTAAAGCCCTTTACTCCCGATCCAAGTCGAGGGAGATGGGAAAACCCCACGGACTATATCTTTGCCTGTTTTGGATTATCTTTGAAACTGGATGTCTTTTCTCTCACATATTGGTTTTTTTTCGAAAAGGGCCGTAAGTAATTGAAACACCGGTCGCTGGACGTATACTATAGGGCAGATAAACTCGGGGTTGTCTAATCTTTTTAGGGGCGTTGCGCTGCTAACCTACAGATCTGGTGAACAATTCTCATTCTCCTGCGTTTTACTTGATTTCAGCTTATAATAATTGGAATACTAATATATTTTATAGAGATTTAATGGAACGCAAAAGGTTAAAAAGAATTTATTTTAATATCAGATTGCTGTCTTGGACAATGTGTTTCTTCAAATTTCGTTTAGGGCCAAAAGTATAAATATTTAAATTTTTTTCATTTTTAGTTTTTGGAATGCTCCCGCACTTTGTTTATATGGTGATCTACTTGGTTCCAATCATGGTCATTCACTCGTTTATGGGTCAGTTCTCTAGCACTGGCTTTATCTCAGCCTTTCGTCTCTCTCCTTTTTTAAAGGTAAGGAACCGATGTAGTTAAAGAGAGATAATATTAAAATGTATATCAATTTGAATTTAAGGCATGGGATATGTGAGCTTATTCCTAACCATCTCGATGCTAATTTACTATGGTATTTTTGCTGCTGTCCCGCTTATCTTCATTTTAAACTCTTTTCGACCCACTTTGCCTTGGAGTTGTGAGGCAGTGAAAGCTTGGCACAATGACTCCGCTGAGCAAAAGACGGTAAGAAATTTGTGTAACATTGAAGTAACAAATAATACTTTTGCATAATACTTGAAGGTATGCAATTATTCAAAGAATGAGGTAGAAGTTACTGACCCTGAAAACCTCCCATATACTGTACCTCATGTACCTTCCGTTCTTTACTTTCAGTAAGTTTTTATTTTACTCAAAATATGATAACATTTATTTTTTAAAAAATCAGAGATTAAAACTTTATCTACATAATAACTACAAATTAATTTAATTTTAAATTTTTTATAGAAGTCACTTTGCCATTATGAAAATCGATTATTTTCGGGATACGAATGCGGACTATGAACTATCGTGGAATTTTGTGAGCAAGTTCGTTTTTATTTGGGCGATGATTGCATTTATTTTTTATAAATTCCCGGAGGCGGCCAAGTTTGGAAAATTGATACGTTACATGGTTATTGGGACCGTGGCTCTTCTTTTAGTATGCTTTGTCCGCTTTCTGTTTCTTCCAGGAGCAATTGCAGGGTTAACAAGATTTATGACTCCAAAGGCATCTCATATGGCAATGGGAATTTCCTCTACGTTTATAATGGTACTACATGCGTTTGGAGCCGGCTGGGGCAGTGTAATAGCCCTGTCCAGTTTTAACGGGTTCAAGACTAACATCATGTCCTACAGTTGGATTATTTCCTTCGGACAGATTTTCATTTACATTATGTTCGGAATGGTTTCTTTTATGCTGGAGCATTACTACAAAGGTAACAACTGTCGATTATTTTGCCTTTTCTGATCCCTGTTTTCTCGTCCTCGTGGTATGTGTTTTTTTAGCTTACTACTTTTTGCTTACTGTAGCGGACGAAAAAAAGAGTCAGTGTATTATAAATAAATCAAATTAATATATTATTTTCAGGTTTCTCAGAAGATTCTTATAACACTTATGTAATAAACAGTTGGCTGTTGTATGTGTCAAGTGCTTCTGCCTTGTCCTCAATGCATTGGTCGAACCTGTGGACTATTATTTACTACACTATGTTATTAATGGCTGCTCTTATTGTAATGGTGGGTGTGATTATGCTAGAAAATATCATAATTTCTACATACATATTCCATTGCAGACGACGCAAATCTTTACTATCCTTCAAAGTTTGTTTGATGAATTTGAGAATCTTAGAACAAGAAAACAGGAGGTAACATTTGGCCTAATTGGCGGCCTGACTGTCTGCTCCTTTTTCTTTTGCACAAATGTAAGTATAAAGCTTGTAAGAATCTCCAAAAATTAAAAATATTTTTTTAGCATATATAAAGATTCTCAAAAACAATAAAATTTAAGATTCATTTTTTTAAGAAACTTAAACTGTTTACCTCAGTTCGTATTTATGAAAGTATATTTTTTTTTTATTTTTCAGCACGGTGTTAATTTCTTTTCGGCCTTGAGTCTTGATGCTCTTTTCTCCCACAGTCTGCTACATTTACTGCTCCTTTTAGTGGTTTTGTGGATTTACGGCAGAGAACGATTTCAGCGCGATATTGAGTTTATGTTGGGTCAGCCATTTGCCTCATGGAAGATTTTTATACTTCGCTTCATAGCTCCATTGTTTTTATTGATTTGTCTGGTTTGTTATAGATAAATAATTCTGTATAGTTTTCGATAAGCCTTCAATTTGTATTTTCCCTACTAGGTTTTAGGAGCATTGGCGGCCGTAATGGAGCACTTTTTCTCCGTAGTATCGGTCCTCATTATATCCATTTTACTGGTGGGATTACCAATTCTGGCAATACCTGGCTACGGATTTTACTACCTTTACCAGAACACGGGCACCTTTTGGGCACGGTTTAGACGCACTTGTCGACCCACCGATTGGTATCCGGTTGAGATGGAGCAGCGCCAGAAGTACGAGTTAGACGTCGGCAACACTGATATTACCCATATTATTCTTGGGGTCACGGAGGAGGTTAACTAAGTGGCGGTACAATTACGAATGTACTTCTTGTCAGGGAACTATCTTATAATGCGTGTAATTGGATTGATCTGATCATTAACAAGAAAGGAAAGCTAACTTCGGGCGTTGATTTTTTAATGGAGTTGTACTGATATTTTCCAAATGTTAGCTATAGTGAACTATAAACTATACTACTAAATAAGTAGTTGCCTACTAAAAAGTTGAACAAGCTTCGGCCAAAAAATATTGTTACGAATTAATAAAGTTTTACCTTTCAGCTATGTACTTGACTGTCTAATCTGTTTCATGGGTGAAAAACTGGTTTGGTTTAATGGCTTTTAATAATTTAATTATTTGACACTCACTAAAAACTCAGAGTACAAATCTTCTATACAAAATGTACCAGCACTATCAAGCATTGGGCGGAATTGCCTATTAAAATTTGTAAATCAATTTGGCTTGGTACTTAACCTTAACTAAATTAATTTGAACAACAAATGTAGCTTTTTCGAGCTTCTAAATTAATGATTTAAATATACTTCTTTATGTATAGATTCAAATTTGTAGTTCACTTCTGTTATCTGCTCAAACTCAAAAGTGGTTTCCCAAAGATTAGAAAGTTTTCCAAGGCTAACTCACACAGATAATGATTCAAATACAAATAAATTAAATATATATTGTTTTAATAGCAATATCAAATTTGAATTTTTATAATCTTGCTGAGGGATTATAATTTCCGTCAATGCATTGACCCTAAAAAATATATTCAGGCGAGTCGATCTTGCCATGTCCGTCTGTCTGTTTCTACGCAATCTTGTCAATTAGTTTAAAAGG